GCCTTGGGGTAAATGCAAGGTGTGTTCCGGACCTTCAGCCGGCTGTGAATTTGTCTCCGTGAGCTAGGACTTGGCCCTGGTGCTGGCTTTAGCTCAGAACTTGAGGTGTTTGAACTTGGCATTTCACAAAACACAAGGGCTTCCCGAGCAGGCGATCAGCCGTGGAGCACCAGTGGACACGGACCGGTCTGCGGTTTCAGGGTCTGCAAAGCTCACTGCTAACTGTCTGTCGTTTCTCTGTCTCCTCACAGGAAAGCTTTGAGTTTTATGTGAAGCAGCTAAAGGAAGCCAGGGAGAGCCCTTCGTGAAAAAGGCAGCACTGAGAGGAAGTGTGTGTGTGTGTGTGCGTGTGCGTGTGTGTGTGTGTGTGTGTGTGTGTGTGTGTGTGTGTGTGTGTGTCTGCATCTAAGTGTTATTTCTAAAATGTACTTGAGGAAAAATAAACAAATGAAACTGAACTTGTTTGTGTCTTCTTGTATGTAAATACACTGTCCACTTGTTACCAGTAAGTTCATAGATTAGTCACGGCCTTCTTGCGCTTTCTCTAAGATGCCTCTTCGAGGCCAGCCCTGCTCTCCCGGGAGCTGTTGAGAGCAGAGGCCACGCTGTTGTCAAGCCTGCAGCTCCATAGCCTCTCCCTTCTTCCTTCCACCACAGTGCTTCCCATGTCTGTTTCTAGAAGCTTCTAACATGGAATCATGGTCTTGACTTCCTTTGATTTCAGGATTTTGTTAGTACATGCTACATCTTACACCAAGCCCATTCCTGTAAACTTACAAGCTGTGCATCTATGATTCATATAGGAATAAGTAAAATAGACAGTAGTCCCTGAATTGTCCCTTACACTTGTTAGGATCTACATGTAAGTAAATTTAATTTAATTTAGTAAGCAAATTTAAAATAGTTGAGAATTTGCCATTTCTAAGGTAATTTGCAACATTCCCATATTTGGGAATGAAATGATTGTCAAAAATGTTGGGAATGTTTTCTTTGAGAATTACCCCCAATTTGTAGTCCTCGTTTATTTGAATTTGGTGTCTACTGTTCCCGTTGTTTAAGAGGCCCCCTTGCCACAGGGTAGGGCTTGTGCCTCTGGTTTGTGCTGTTACCTGTCTGTGGGACGGACCCTCCTTCGTCCAGGGTCTCCCTGTGGAGGTTGATGGAGAGAAGCCAGTGTGTGTGTCCCTGGGATCCTGGGATAAGCTTTGCTCCATGTTCGTTTGGCTTTGTGGAGTGAGCTGCAAGACCCAGAAGCTCAGCCAGCCTGGAAGACACCATGACCCAGCACACAGCCTGCATGTGTGGTTGGACCGCTGTCTGGCATGCCAGGAGCCTCTGTTTACACACCTGTCTCCAGTGACTCCAGAGCCGCCAGAGTTCGGCAGTCATGCCAGCCCAAAGTAATTGAGCTCAAGTTTCCCTGATGGTCACTGATACACCTCTGGATGAAATACAGCCTTGGGGCCCACTGGGGACTTCACAGTCATCTTTGGAAGCCAGAGGTGCAGTCACATCTGCATGGAGTGATAGATGGGTGTTGAAGCAGTCCCCAGCTAGCATTCTGAATATATGTTTTAGAAGACTGCTTGTTCAAATACCTCTGCCACTATTTTTGTTCCCATTTTGAATATTAATATTTATAGTGTATAATTGTATATTCTAGGTGGGCTTATAAATGCTTCCTCAATGTGTCATCTACTTTGAAATAAATAGAACTATGGAGTAAGCAAAGTCACAAATTCTAAAAAGGAACCATCATTGTAAACTTTTGGAAAGTATAATTTATACGTAATGTATGTTCATGTACCAAAAGCTAATATAATTTAAATGGGAATTTCTCTGAATAAAGTATATACTATTTGTCAACTGCCTTTTTTTTTTTTTTTTTCAATCCTATCAAATATTGGATGACTCAGGACTGTAGTCTTGAATTTTTGGAAGTTGTGTGGTGGCCTCCATTGTAGGGAGCTTCCTTGTCAGGGTCTTCTGGTTTGTTGTGGAGAACCAGTGAGTTTACCACTTACCTGTGCCAAGGATAAACTGTGTCTGAGATCTCTGAGGGACAAAGCTGTCAAGAACTGAGAAATGGAGCTAGGTATGATGGCGAACACGTTTAACTCCAACACTAGAGGCAGAGGCAGGAAAATCTGTGAGTTCAAGGCTAGCCTGGTCTACATAGGACACCCACGGTTAAATGGAGAAACTGTCTCAAACAAATGAGAATTGGGAAATAGTAGTTCTGATATGTGTTGACACTCGGTGAAGAGCGGACGTCTAAGCTCTGGAGAGATGGTTGCAGAACTCACATTCCACAGGATCTTCGGTACCACATTCTTTCCAGGAATGCTCACTCAGCCATCAGCACTACCTGCCCAAGGCTCCTGTGGCTGCATGCATCTCACGTTCCTTCTGGACAGGTTGTGAACTCTGGCTCTTGGTTCCATAGTCTATCCTCAGACCTGCAGGATCTCGTTGAATTGGATTATCTGTTGTGAGTTCCCATGGCTTCTGTGTGGTTAGCACTAAACACCGACTGCCATGTCACGTCTTGCCTGATTATCAGGGTAAGAAAACAAGTCCATTTGCAAAGAGTCAGAGCCTTAACCAAGTCAGATGGCCAGGACTTTCTATAAAGGCTTGTCCTTGGGGCTAGAGAGGTAGCTCTTGCAACAGTCCTGGGTTCAGTTCCAGCACCCATATGATTGCTCACAATCATCCAGCCGTGTGTAACTCTTCCTCCAGAACTCCCTCTGGCCTTCTTGGGCACTGCATGCCCGTGGTGCATTTAAATGCAGGCAAAAGGGATGTAAAATAATGTTTTTTAAAGTCGTTCCCACTGGACGTGGTTATGCATGCCTTTAATCCCGACATTCAGGAGGTAGGGGCAGGTAGGTGTTGGGTTCAAGGCCAACCATGGCTACACAGACCTTGTCTCAAAAACTAAAATAAAAAAGTACCTATGAGAATACAAAAATAAGGCAATCTGACTTTTCAGATTGGACTCTTTAAACAACAAAACATAGTACAGTGTTCACAATAATACAGTGTTCCCACTTCCTGGAAACCTTACTGTAAAAAAAAAAAAAAAAAAAAATTCCCTCCGTTTAATCCAATGCCCAGTGCCTGGTATAATCACCAGTGCCTAGTATTATCAAGTATTATGAGTCCCAGCGAATTATAAGCGAGCTTTATGTTGCAAATGACTCTTCCTGGTATAATTCATGTCTCCAGTCTGCAGTGTGTGTACATTCTGCATGCTTTTCCTCATGGCTTTCGGCACAATTTTCATTTAATATTTGCCTTTCTGAAAAAAAAATACATATTTGTAGAATTTCTAAGCAAAAGCAACATTTCCTCAAGTGTGGTGGGACTGATAGCCACAGGAGGTCCACAATCACGGTAATTTATCGCTTTGCTGTTGTACAATCATGCGTGGGAGTGTTTCCATTAGAAATGTATCCTGCTTTCAGGCCAGCAGACTTACAAAGCCCACATTATGCAGCCTTAGTACAAATAAAGAAAATGGCTGCATTAGCAAATGCGGAGCAGACGCTTCTTTTTTTTGCATAAAGAATAGGAACATCAGAGCCAGGTAAGACAGACTAGACTCTAGACTTGCTGCTCCAGCAACGTGTCTTGGACAGTGGCTGGGGCTGAGATCCATCCATAGCATAGTCACTGCCCCTGCCCTGGGCAGCCACTGGCAACCATTCTGTACTCTTTCCAAGGCCTGGTGTCCTAGTGTTCTGAAGATGTACCTGATGAGTTCACAGTAGGTCTCTTGGAATGAGTCACATGGACTCAAGGCCATGTTCCCCTCTTGCAAGTTCTGTTTGTGAGATGCCTGATTAGTGCACATTGGACAGTTCCTCCCCATATGCTTGGGTTCCCACATATGGCTCAGCTGGGAGAGTAGACCAAGAATTCCTCCAAAATGAAAGTGCCCACAAAAAGCAGTGAGGCCAACGGGTCATGATTTAAAATCTCCGATAAGTTGATGACTTCAGATGTTTGTGCGGGGAGGAGGCAGCCTCGAAACTGTTCTCAAGGCAGATCCTGGGATTCTAGGGATTCTGTGCTGCAGTAGTGGAATTAACAGAAGCAAAGGCCTGCTTTTTTAGAAGGCACAGCAGAGCTGTCTGCAGTTTGGAGAAAACACTACGAACAGACAAAGGCTGTCACATAAACAGTAAACAAGCATGTTACCTAGCCAGTGGGCAGGCGGCATGTGCTGGGGAAGCTCAAGCCACTTCTTAGACGTTACTGTTTTAATTACAAGCTGTTGGGCCCACACACTGCTGTTCTCCGCACACCACCTACTCGCCCACCTTAACCTGGACACAGGATGTTGCTCTGGACCATATCCGTGAATTTTCTTTTGTTTTAGTGTTGGGGCTTGAGCCTAAAGCTGCTTTTTTCTTTCTCTGCCACCAAGCTATCGATCCTAGCTATTCACCCAGACCGTCCTGGACGAAGAACCAAGTTATCAAATGCAAGTGGCATCTGAGTTGAGATTGGTGCAGACTATTCGCAAATAACATTTCAGGCATGCGCACTGACTGTGTTGTCCAAATACATCTATGTCGGCAGCAGAATACCCAAGAGCTTGTTTCCTCTGCAGCTGGCTCCCGCCCTGTGCCTCACGGTGGGTCTATGCTAGAGAAGCTGGTCCCCCGTGCTGGGCTAAGTGTTGCTGCTAAGTGACGACTAATGTGAGTGTTGGAAGAACCCTTCGCCACAGGTCCTGCTACCTCTTGGGTTTGACATAATTTTCAATCTCTCTGCTGTGTGTGAGCGGTTTAATCTGAGATCAAGAGATTTTTAAGAATGAGTGAGAAAAAAAAAAACAAAAGCAAGCAGAACTACCTCTGTGGACTGGCTCAACCCAGGGAAAGATTATGTCTCAAGTAATCTTTATAAGAACAAGAGCGGTTTAAAAAAAAAAATCACAAGAGCTATTTGAGTCAACACAGGTGATTATTGTCGGTTTAATTGTTATATCCCCCCAACAATAGCATAACTTGAATTTGGAGAGCTTAAAAATGTAAATTTCAAAACCTTCATCTTCGGATCAGGAGTCTGCAAGCCGCAGCCTCAGGCCAAATCCAGCAGCTGTGCGGTTCTGTAAGCTGTTTTATTGGAATGCATCCACACCCTCCACACTCTACTGCGGTTGAGACTGCTTTCACACCGGAACAGCAGAGTGACAGATCGGGACAGGTTAGATGACTATCAAAGCCTAAAATACGTATCCTTAGCAGCGAAAATGTGCGACCCACAAGAAAAGTCTGGCTCTTTGCGATGCAGAAGGGTCATTGGAGGATATTGGGTGTCCCAGGGCCCAGGCCCTTCTCTTCCCAGGCCTTGTGTGCCCTGGAGAACACTTTCAACAAAACAAACTCATGAAGTCAGAGTATTGGGGTAGATTGATACCGGCCTCTGTGTGGGCAGACAGGATGGAGGACTCCTGCCCTGAAGACAGGCTCCAAAGAACCAGCAACTGCCTGATGTTCGGCATCTCTCATGCCCCAAGTTCTGGGTACCACAGCACATGGAGTGGCAAGCTCCCCAAGTCAGATGACATCTCTCAGTGGCTGCCAACCTTCCTCTCCCCAGCCTCTCCATCCAGGCCTAAAGACTGCAGGTTACCTAATCAAAAACAGAGCTGGGATCTGGGGAGGGAGCCCAGAACAGGCTGAAGGAGAGCTCTGTGGATGCAGAGTGAGCATCCTGTCCATACAGGAGGACAGTGACCGGAGATAGAGTACAAGTGGGATTCAGCAGGTGAGGGAAACGGACACCGAAGCCAGGTGTCTCCCAAACAGAGACTGAGGAAGACAGAACTGTAAGAGCTAGCACTAGGTGGCAATTACAGAGCATGTGCATGAACTTACATGCAGTTATGACTGTGACTACACACATGAACGTAACGCGCACATGTGTTCGTTCCTTCTGCCCACTGAGAGCCCTGAAGCAGTAATGTGCAGCAGCAGAACAGAGTCCTCACTCAGATCTAGGCTTCTAACCATCATTTCCCACTAAAAAGAGTCAAGCATCTTCAGAGACAATCCCAGGGCTGGGCTGGGGAAATTCAAGATGATCCCCAAATACTTTGCTTTGTCAGGGTCCTCAATGAATGACAGGGACATGATTAAGAGGATGCAGAAGCCAGCTTGAGCTTTCCACTGGCCGAATCAGGGACAACCGGAGCATCAAATTAATGATGGCAATGGATTATAGCTTGCTAGATTAAAATGGGATTCCACAAGTATATAGTTTATACCAATAACTCGGTAAGTAAATGGAAAGTTTGATGAGGAGTGAGTGATAAATAGTTCCTAGGCACTGGCATGCAAAAGGTTTATTCGTTATGGAAGGGGGAACATAGTGAATGTGTAGGAGTCTGACAGACAGACAGACATGCCTTCCATCAACCAATCCAAGTGAACATTGGCATAGGACAAGTGGAAACCATGTGCCACTTGATGGGACACATTTGGCGGCGGGGGGCGGATGGGGGAGGTGTCATTTCTGGATATTCTGACCAAAGGTGCCCGGCCCTAGATTTAATCATAAAATACACCAGATAAACCCAAATTCAAAGCTACCCCAGTGTCAGGAGCATTGAGGAGCATTCCAAACTGAAAGGAATTAAAGAGACGGTGCCCTGGACTCTCCCTGGGCGAGGAGGGCACTGTGGATCGCTTTCTGGATCTTAAGTGGCATCTGTGCACTGAACGGTGGCACTGGGACTGTGTGAGCTCCATGAGTCTAGTGGGTGCTGGGAAGGACAGTTGCTGCTCTAGTAGTTGTTGGGAAGGACACTGGGGTCTGCACTTACGTCATAGGGTAGTCTGAACACACGGATGCTGAGTCCGTGGGTCTGGGCAGCCCTGGGATTTTGCCTACCTCATCTGCACCCGGTGATGCCCTACTGCTGGCCAGGGACCACACTGGACATGGGATCTGGGGAATTGGTGGAGAATATCTCTTGGCCCCAAACACCCTCCTCCCTGTTCCTTTCAGTGCCAGGCTCTAGTTTTCGTCTGGGAACAACTGCCTCCCATCTCTGTGCTTTGAGTCAAATGGTCCTCAACACAGGCCTGAAGCATATAACCCGGGTGAGCAAGCAATCCATCCTCTGGCCATTAGGAGAGGTTCCAGGCTAATTCTGAGACCCAGACAGTGGGATGCACCTCTGAGGCTTGCCTGGACTGGCACAACCTCTCTAAGCTGTTTCTAGAAGCTTCTTGAACTCCAATGCCAGTATCTCAGGTCCGGTCTTTTGCTCTCTAACTCCCAAAGGCATCAAGATCTTTTTGATTCCACCACAAAGCAACCATGTAAGCCGAGACAACTGAATATGTCTTTGCCTCAGGGACCTCACCTATAAAACAGGATGCTGCTTACATCCGTGGGTTGTTCTGAGAACAAGTGACGATAGCCACGTGCCACTGTACCTACCGTGGAGTAGATGCTCAATAAACTCTTAGTTGTTCAGCTTTGGGGTTTGGAGTCTGTGGATCCACACAGAGATAAGAAATAACGTCTCGCTAGTCTGTTTTAGACCACCTTCTGTAGTGGGAGCGGATCAACACAGGATATGAGGACTGGGAGAGATAAAGCTCAACATTTTTGCTATTAAAACACCATTCTCTCTGGGTTCCAGAAATTTCTGCATGGCCTGGCTACTCAATTTATATCTAAAGTGGGTTGCTTATATAAAGATATAACCAACGGAAATAAATGAGCAACATTGCGGGTGCACCAAGTCCCGGTTTTTTTCTCCCATCACAAGCCCAGGCCAGTGAGCAGAAATCCCTTTCAACTGTCTTTATTCTACTGCCATCCTGTGGCTGACCTGTGGCACTGCAGCGCCAAGGGGCGGATGCTGCTGAGCTCTGTGATCTTTGTCCTCAGGAGGGCTGCACAGGAGGCAGCCAGCCCTGGGAGAAGGGTCCCACCCAGCAGGAGCAAGCCTGGGTGAGCATCACCAGTCTTGAAGTGACTTCTGTTTGATGAACTTCAAGGACAGATAGTACAGGAACAGGAAGCCACCGCTGATGCCAATGACGATGAGGTAGATCGCATAGAGCGGGTGTGAGTTCAGGTCCATGACAGCCACCATCTGCGGACACGGACGCTTGGTGAGCTCCCAAGGATGCTGCGCCCTCAGCAGCCCTTGAATTGAGAATTCCCAGCCTCCACTGCTCACCTCGTCTCCAGAGACTGAGAAGGTGAAGTTGCCGATCTGCATCGTGTAAGGGTATCCGTTAAACTGGATCTGCATCAGCCCCGAGAAACACCACCGGAGGAAGGACAGCTTGGAAATCCACGAAGGTACTGAAGACAGCAAGAGCTTGGTTATCCGCACGCAAGGTCGCCGCTGCTGCCACCTCTCGCTGCCCTGCCTAAGTTTCCACCCACTCCCGGAGAGAGGGGCCATGCTGGCTGGGGCCAGGAGAAGAGTCCTCTGAGGACCAAGGGGCAAAAGAGATAAGGGGCAAAGGAGTAACGTCTGTGGCTGGGGACTGTGCTGGGGAGGCCAAGGAGGGCTGACCCACATGCTTGATCCCTACCAATTTCATAACCCCTCCAGTCATTTCATTATGCTGCGTATGCTCAGCCAGCCCCACACCAGAGACCCTGAGCCTGGGGAGCACTCTGCTGGGAGAGAAGGACCCTGAAACTGGGGAGCACCCTGCTGGGAGAGGAGGACTCTGACCCTGGGAAGCACTCTGCTGGGAGAGGAGGACTCTGACCCTAGGGAGCACTCTGCTGGGAGAGGAGGACCCTGACCCTGGGGAGCACTCTGTTGGGAGAGGAGGAGGACCCTGACCCTGGGGAGCACGCTGTTGGGAGAGGAGGAGGACCCTGACCCTGGGGAGCACTCTGTTGGGAGAGGAGGAGGATCCTGACCCTGGGGAGCACCCTGCTGGGAGAGGAGGACTTTGACCCTGGGGAGCACTCTGCTGGGAGAGGAGGAAGCTGCAAGCCCTGCCCACATGTCAGGAAAGGCTGGCTGAGGAGACAGTGATGGGCAATGGTGAATGCAGGAAAGAGGCCCCATAGGCTCCACAGAGAGAAGGTAGAGATGCTGGAGACTTCACAGGAGTTGGGGGTTCCATGGGGACAAGGAACATCAGGGAGCCAGTAGCTCTGAGAGGCTTTGAACACAGGAGGGACAGGAACTTGTCCCTCAGAAGGCTCACTCTGAGAAGGCCACCGAGAGACTAGACTATAACGGTGGCCCGGGGCTCAATGATGAGAGCCAGGGCTGTGATAAAGCCAAGGGATTATTTCAGGCCTGGATCACCGGTGGATGTGGTGAGGGAGGGAGTCGGGGTGACTTCTGGGTATGTGCGAAGGCTGCGAGGAAGCGTCGTCTACCCCACAGCCCGCAGCGCGGCTGGTAGAGGCATGGAGACACACCTAACCGATGAACTTCCACCTCTAGCTGAGGACTTAACCCAGCCATGGGGACCCTACAGGCGCTTGGTCAAGCAGAGGGGAGCAGGCCTCACCTATCCACAGGTTGTCCAGGTTTATCATGAAGCCCGCGGTGAGATAGAAGGAGTTGTAGAAGGCGTTGCAGAAAAAGGAGGACATGTGGAAGGTGGGCAGCATGGCGGAGGCAGCCAGGGCCATGGTCCTGCAGCAGAAGACCACCAGCCACAGAAGCATGAAGTGCAGGAAGAAGAGCTTGGCGACGGGCCGCAGGTTGGTCAACCAGTAGATGGGCATCCCGTAGATGATGACGTAGGCGCAGTGCTCGGGCAGTTCGCCCAGGACCTGCAAGGCACAGCCTTTGCTGGGGTATGGGGCCATCACCCGGGGCTGCTAATATCGGAAGGTGTTTTAAGGAGTGGCACCTCCTAGGATGCCAGTGTTCCTCCTGGGTGGAGGAGGAGGTGGCAGGTAAGACCGGCGAACCTGACCCCGGGCTTCCACTGCAGGACCATTTCAGAGCTGTGCTCCATGGAGGCAGCTGGTCTATGCTGTGCTGAGACCTGGCTCGATTCTCCACCCTTCCTGCCCAGACCTGGCAGCTGTGTGGCTTTATGAGAGTCAGAGATCCTCTCTGAGCCGCTTTTTGGAAATGCCTGCCTGGCTTGCTCAGCGGCTCTGGAGATGTAAAGAACCTCTCGGGGTCGCCCACTTCTTTCTCTCTTGGTTCTGGCTGCCCAGAAAAGTATCATTTTTGCTTCTCAGTCCCGGCCTTCCTGTGGGTCATTTAATGACTAGCAAGTCTCTGAGACTCTTCTAGAGGATTCGGTATCTGCAGCCGCAGATAATGCACAGCCGAGTGTTTCCACAGAACCCTTCCCTGCAGTATCTGTACCACGCCCTGCCCCGCAACCCTTGCCCTCAGCCCTGACCTTGGCAAAGAAATATGGACCAGCACTATACAGCCCATCTTCCAGCTCGTGGTACAGCATCGATCTTTCCGAATGACCTAAAGATGGGGGAGGAGAAGGAAACGAAAGAGTGAGAATCATCTAGAGTATTACTGACGCTGCGCCTGAGGATGTCATTCATCTCTCGTAATACCATTGAAAGCGGTGATATGAAGATGGTGTGTTTATTCAATGGCAAAACCCTTGTCCAGCATGCACAAAGTTATAGGTTCAATCCCCGGCACTGGAGGAGGGGAGTGGTTACACTTTCTAAATTTGTTCATATGCTTTGTTAATTGTAGGCACGGTGAAGCCTTTCCAGGTGTTCCACAGGCTCTCCAGGTATTGCAGCAGGTCGCTGCCAAGCATACATCCTGTTTGGATGGGAACAACTAAGACTCCATGATTTGCCTTCATTGCATGTTCCTATTAATGTGCAAACTTAAAACAATTGCCTCATTTGTCACACAAGCATGATGAAATGTTCCCATAAAGCCACTGTCCCAAGGTGCTGGGAGAGACACAGGGGTCAGCCTCAGACCAGCACAGGGGGAGGAGGCTGAAGTCCCCCGTCTAGCTGCTGATGTTCCTGTGTCCAGCTGCCCCACAGCCCGGCTGAGGAGAGCAGGTGACACTCACATTTGGAGACGACATCCAGAATGACGTTGAAAGGTATAAGTGCTCCTATCATGAACAGGAGGGCTGATGTGTCCACGAAGGAGAGTGGCTTGACGTCATAGCCATAGTAAAGGAACCCAATAATGAGGGACATCAGGCAGGCTTCCGCCCCGTGGATGAGCAGGGTGGGCAGGTCTCGGAAGTCATTGGAAATCTGACGACTTTTAAGAAGAAAAAGAAAAAAGAAGCGTCAAAGGAACAAACAAAACTTTATGGCCTTAGGGATGTCATATCATTGCCAGAAACCTTATGTCCTCAAATGTAAAATGTGGGCTGTAATACCCACCATCAAATGTCTATGACAAGTAAGAAAACTGGCAGGGTGGGTACTGAATATACGATTATTGTTTGGGGGTGTCTTTCTTGTTTGGGTTTTCAGTCAGGGTCGGTTGTTAGAAAGCCCAGGATGGCCTCGAACTTGAGATCCCCTTGCCTCATCTCCTCCCCATTTCTGGCATTTCAGACATGCACCACCACACAGCGAATGATTACTTTTTATCATCAGTGATGAGTTTGCTTGCAGGGAAAAAATCAGATATATCGTAAAGATGGTGGCCACAGTGTGTCTCATAATGGTGAACGCTCCCAAATAAAGACACCATCCAAATAGACTGGACTAAATGGCTAAGCCACAGAACTCTAATCGGAGAGGAGCAGAGCACAGCTCTTGGTTTGAATAGCTGGCTCCTAAACAATACATGAGCCTGCTCCCATGTCTCTGTCCGAGCAGACCCCCCAGAAAGATGGGTGTGGCGGGTGTACCTAGCTTGCATTGAGCGTGGTACAGTAGGAACACTGCCCTTCCCGGGTCTGAGTTTCTTACATGGCTGTTTCCATAATGATTGCCACTAACATGATTTTCTTTTTGTTTCGAGATTAAGATTATCAGGAGCGATCCATGTCACGGGAGGGCTAGACTGGTCCTAGGGATGCTGGCTTTCAAACAATTTCACCGTTTGCTCCCTCCCTTGAATTCCCCTTGGGTAGGGAATGGTTTACTTTGATACTCAGAGGCATGAGGGAGCAGGGAGACAAAAAAAAAAAAAAAAAACAAGAGACATTTACCGAATCAGGGTGGTAAACTGTTGTATCATCCCGGGCGGCTTCACTGCAGTCCCACAGTCCACATCCTGTGGGAGGGTCTGGCTTCTGGGAAACAGTGTGTAGTCAAGTTAGGGGGGCCCACCACAGGGGGCGTCCCACTCAGGCAGTAGACCCATTGTACCTGACTGCATAGGTACCCGCGTGGAGTTCCTTTGTCTCGGCTTTCCACAGGAAGTCATCGAAGCCTTGCACTTTTTCTAGAAACAGGGCTGCAAGTGACCGAGCCTTTTCCATGGTGGCCACTTCCTGTTCTTTGCTGCGCCTGTCAATGCTAGTCAAGTCCACTGGAAGCAGAAGGTGCAGGGTCATAGGCCACGAGGTCCCTGGCAGCTCTCCCCACCCTCTGAGAAGGCACTATGAGGCAGTGGTCAGAGCAGAGAGGCAGAGAGACCTGGTTCCCTTGCTCTGCCTCATCTGACCATATAGGCAGATGCCATAGATCAGGAAGTGGCCAATAGCAGAGGCCCTGGCTCCAGCCCCTCAACCCCACCCCCAGACTCATCCCAGGGGTATTCCTAGAGCGGGCAGCTGCCCTCAGGGCCGGGTGCCTCATCATAGGCATATGATAGTTCTAACTCCAGCTGTATATCTATTTGCCTGTCACTGTGAATTTATAATTTGACCTTCCAAGTGGCCAGGGTGCTGGGGACCAGCCAAGTACAGTGCTCACACTGCCCATGCTAAGCTTTGCCCCAGGAGGGTCTAGGGCAGCCTACCCACTTGGGGAGCCAGGTCACTGGGAGAGCGACCTTCTGAATCTGAGAAAATGCCACCCTGCATGTGGCAGTCCCAGCCTGCAGCCCTCCCCTCCCTCCAATGTCCCTGCAATGCCAGAAAGAGCCAGGTCCACCAGTCACAGCCAGGACCGTCCTGTCCCCCGGAAGACTCCAGGACTCTGCACAGCTGGGGTCTCCTCTTCACCATTTCCCCCTTCCGCATTCATTGTCCATCACAAGATGACATTGAGGGACATAGGAGCCACATAGGTTCCCTCGGTGCAGGCTACAGCTCAAATACCACGTTTGCTGGGCACCCTGGGCTCCAATTGAGCAGCTCCTGCATCCTAGACTAACGACAGCTACCTGCCTCCAGCCTAGTAGACAAGGACCCTATCCCTATTCTCCCCAAACAATAACAGAAGAAGAAGTCTTCAAGTCTCCCAGTGGGCACCGTGGGAGGTTTGGGGCAGCCCTCCCAGGCTCACTTCAAACTTCCCCTGGTATCCCGGTTGGCAGCTGTCCTCTGCCCCCTTATCTGAGGACATTGGACAGAGCGTGACACATGGGCAGGAAGTCAGCAGCATGGCAAACAGAGCATGGGGAGGAGAGGTGACCTCTGTGGCAGTTCACAGAGCACATGAGTTCGAAGGGCAGGGCAGGGAGCCAGGAGCATGGCCTTTCCTCCTGGGTAGCTGGGGACGCTGGGATGACCGTGTGGGTGGCATGGCTGAGGACCAGGTACACCTGTGGGAGCTCTGGTTCTGCCCCTACAGCCATGCTAGAGCATAGGAGGCAGGGGGTGAGGTTCCTCAGGTAATACACAGAGACAGAGCTGACTTTGGAGATACCATGAGGGTGGGCACTTTGCCATCCTGAGAAGAACCTGGGGTTCTTGGTCACCTAGGGGACTGGCTAGAGCTGCTGCTTCCCCAAGCTCTGGTACAGTTGGTCACCTGTTCAGCACCCAGGCTATTATTCCTCAGCACTCTTGAGGGGCGGTTTATAGGCTGGTGTCCTGAAAAGGCTATTGCTCCCCGTGAATGAAGAGGTTCATAGTGTTCTTCATAGACTATTGAGTGCCTGGGACCCCCAAGAAAGGTAAGGCAGTGACCAATCAGGCAGTCTGTCCCTGGTCCTGCTCTGGGCCCCTCTTCCTATGTTATCTGCCTCTGCGGACCACAAGGGTGCGTGCGTGTGTGTGTGTGTGTGTGTGTGTGTGTGTGTGTGTGTGTGTGTGTATGTAGTTTCCTGCAGACTGCATGAAGACCACAACTGTACAACCTGATCCAAGACTTCCTGGATTATGGCCCCACCCCACCCATCTGTAAACTTCTACCTATTCCTAACCTGTGCTGCACAGAGGGGCAGTTTGTCAGAAGATTGCTGTATTCATTCACACGTTGCATTTGATCCTGGAAAGCTGACCAGTTTCCCCCTTTGCATGCTACCACTCTGTCCCGGCTCCTCCTCCCCTGAGGCACATGTAACAGTGTCTCCCTTACATCTTTCCAGTAAGTATTTCCCGTGTTTTTAATTTTGTTCGTTTGTTTTTGTTTTCCTCTGTTTGGCTTCGGGCAAATGGCTGTGCACCAGGTTGCAGGCCCCCCTGGCCTGGCTCACTCACCGTAGAAGTCGGCGGGGTTGCTATAGCGAGGACAAGGGTAGCCGATCTCTGTGAAGTACTGCACCATGTGATGCGCGGCCCCCAGGTAGATCGGGGTGCCAGATGTCATCAGAAGGACCAGGTCAAACAGCCTGAAGATGTCAGAGCGGGGCTGGTGGAGGGAGATGAGCACCAGCCTGTTGCCTTTGGCCAGGCGGGACAACGTTCTCACCAGGTTGTGGGCAGTGAAGCTGTCAAGGCCGGAAGTGGGTTCATCCAGAATAAGGATTCCTGGGGACATCGCAGGGTGAGCCCGATGACAGGCAGGATGCCGGATGCCGTCTCAGGCCCCCTCCCCTCAGGCTTCCAGCCCTTACCTGGGTTCCACAGCAGCTGCACCCCGATGCTCACTCTCCGGCGCTCGCCCCCGGACACCCCACGCACATATGTGTTACCCACGCGGGTGTTGGCACACTGCCTCAGCCGCAGCTCCGCAATCACGTCCTCTACCTGAGGGCGACAGGCTTAGCATACAGGCTTCCTCAGGAATATTTGCCCCCCTTGTTATGTCCCTGCAGAGCGCAGGTTGTCGATTGGTAACCAGACTGGGTACTAGAGGCCAGATAATTGCGCCCCCCCCCTCACATGAAGCACCCAAAAACCCCCACACAAATAAATACACACTTATCACCCACTTGACCAGGTCCGGGAAGGGAACCCATGGGCTAAGTACATTGGCGTGTAAGGTGGGTTGGTTAAATTCCAGCTTGGCTGGGTCTTCTGGCAAAGCAGGGTAGTCTCAGATCACCGAACGGCCAACTGGTTACCCTTTTGTCACGCTGGGCCTGAGAGAAGCTCCTGGGCAGGCGCATCTGGGCCACGAAAGCCAGGGTCTCTCTGACTGTCAGGTTGGGGAGCAGCTGGTCATTCTGGCGCACGTGGGCCACACTCTTCCTTATCAGCTGCGGCGTGCTGGGTTGCCCGTTGATCCAGATTTGTCCTGATTTCATCTTGCCACCATGGTCTCTGCCTGTGATCACGTCTAGGAGTGAGTCTCGCCCACAGCCTGCAAAGCCAGAGACATCCCTGAGGGCAGAGGTTCTGCGGGGCCAGCCTGCCTGCCAGCTACCGCTCCCCCCACCCCCCACCCCCCACCCACACACTCTCCAAGCACCAGGACTGCTGCTCTACAGAAGCAACCAAGCTCCGGGCAAACGGACACTGTTACTAGATTGCACAGGCCAGTCCAGCAGGTGCACCTTAGGTTTCTCTTCTACAGTTAACTTGAGTGATCAGGGACACACTGACAGAAGCGTGTCAGATAGAAGACTGGAGTCCCAGCTGCTACAAGCCTGCTGCATCTCTCCCCCCACCTCCCCCCCCCACTTCCGCCCCCACGCTGCAAACCAATGGCTTTCTCCCAAGCAAGGCTGGGGCTAATTACACCGCAAAGCATAGCATTCTTTTTTTCTTTTTTTGGCTGAAAAAAAAAAAAAAAAAAACCCTTGGCAGCATCTCATCTTTCATCCTCATTTTGGCTCCAAAGTGGCTTTGTGGAAATGACTAATTTGGAACGTTCATAGCCTGTCTTTGAAGAATTCAAAACTACATCGTATCATGGCGATAGTGGCACATGCCTTTAATTCCAGCACTTGGGAGGCAGAGGGCCGTGGATCTTTGAGTTGGAGGCCATCCTGGTCTGCAGAGCAAACTCCAGGACAATCAGGGCTATGCAGAGAAACCCTGCCTCAAGAAACAAACAAACACAAAACCCCCCAAAACTACAACCTACTTTGAGAAATATAAGGGAAAAATAACAGGTGAGTAATAAATCGGATGTCATTTTCAAGCATAGCCTAATGCGTAGTCTCCAAATGTACCTATAGCCCTTTCTCATTTTTAAAATCAGTGTCTTTTTTTCCTCTGCCTTAAAAAAAGGGAAAATTATTTCTTCATTCACTTCCGAACAACATATTAATGTGTATTAATTTGGAGAAGAGAACATCATATTGGATCTAGTCTCCAAAAGCATTTCATGAGGTTTTCATTCCTAGAACTAATTTCATGGTTGTTGTTTTGTGACAGGGTCTCACTGTGTAGCCCTGGCTGTCCTGAAACTCACTCTGTAGACCAGGCTAGCTCAAATACAGAGATCTGCGTGACTCTGTCTCCTAAGTGCTGGAATTAAAGGCATGTCACACCACCACCTGGCACTCCTATGACTATTTAAACTGTGATGTGAACCTGCCTCAAGCTTGGCAAACACCCTCCCATCACTGAGCTGGAGACATTCCGCCTGGGTCTCCCAGGAAAGGTTTGGGTTTCCTCACAGTGGGGTCTTTTATGGAATTAATAGCTTTTCTTTTTCTTTTGTAAACAAGGCAAATGCCTATAGACAGTATATGACAAGTCCTCCTTGGCATATGTCACATGCTGCCTGCAAAATCCAAGAGCCCAGAGGCCTTTACATGTGATCTTCTTGCTCACTGTCCAGGGGCTTGGAGTGGGAGCAGCTTGTCGGCTACCTGCTGTGTGTGCCCTATTTAGGCTTCCTGAAAAGTTCGATTGAACGAAACATCCCCAAGAGGAACCAGAGAGAGAAGCCTCAGCCCTGCTCCCTGTTCAGCCTCAGACATTGACTCCAGGCTCTGTGGCGAGGGCAGGGGCCTGTGCCAGCATTTCCAGGCACCAGGGGATTCCCAGTCAGAGGGCAGGAAGATCATATTTCCTAAGCAAAACTGTGGCAAAAGACAGAGGCCGCCTTTCCAGCAGAGGGTGCCTGGTGCATTAGAGCAAATGTTCTCTGAAGAGTCATGGCACTCAAGAGCTTTATAATGTGGCTGCCGTCGCCTCACAAGGGACTTGGTTCATTGGAAAATCCTTCTGTATGGTTGATTCTACAGAACAAAGTAAATGCTTGGAGCTCATTTTTTTTAGAATCTTTTAAAAATTATTATTATGGCTAGTATGCAGATTCATATTCTCTGTGTGCGACACTAATGAAAGTACTTAAAGTCACTGGAAACATAATGCATAAATCCTTCTAAGAAAGGTTCAACAATTTCAGTCAAGTGATCTAGAGGCCAAGCAATGCGCAGCCTGAAGCTGGATATTATTCAATGTGATTCCTGCTCAGGCTCTCTGAACTTCATCCTTCCTTACGAAAAATCAGGATGCTGCTGGCAAGAGTGTCATACAGACCAGGGACGCTGCTGGCTAGAGCGTCATAGACCAAGTAGTCACCAATATTCGGAGTAATGACCCGTGTGTCTCCTGGATGCCCAAAGAAGACAGATGCAAGAAAAGCTACCAGACACGATAAGTCAAAATACCTTTCTCTCTCTTGTTTAGAACAGCACCACAGGGTCAGGGCCAGGGTGAGAGGAGCTGAATGAGTGTGCATGTTGTTTCAGTTACAAAGTGCGTTTGCATAGCGTAGCTTATTTGATCTTTGGTTAGACAAGTAAACAACTCTATCAGAAGAGTGTAAAAGTTTGGAACAGATGTTCAAAGTGTTGAGTAATCTTTCCTCCTGGAAATGATTAATTAAAAAGTATAAAGTACTCTCTCTAATACCGTGTAAAGGAGTCCCAGGAAACCAATCACAAATGCAAGACCCAAGTCTAGTTAAATTGGGTCTTTAGGAGACTCACTAGGCTTTTTTGGTTTAGTGTTCTCACCTGTCCAATGAACGTGTGTGCGTGCGTGTGCGTGTGCGTGTGTGTACATGCATGCACACAAAGAACACTCTAGAAGTATGGAGGACTAGGAGATTTGAAAATCTTCCTAAATTGCTTCCAGACAGGAAGGGAGTAAGGCAGAATGTAATAAGGAAAATGTACTGTTCTCCAAGCCCCTCACACCTGTGAGGTTCTGTAACCTCAGATTTGACCTGTGAAAGTGGTTGCCTGAGACACCCCCAAGGATCTGGCTCTTTGCAGGTGGTTGAAGGTTATATGCTAGGACTGTGGAAGTGTCAATGGTGTCGGGGCCCTGCCGAGTCATTGTCTGTCCATGACCTGAGTCTGGCTGTGGAGGAACATCATGTTCTGAAGCTGCCTGTGTATTGTCTTAGTCCAGTGTTAACAGGAGGCGGACACCATGACTGCAGCTTCAGGTGGGTTACAGTCACACTCAGGTTCACAACAGCAGCAACACCCAGGAGTCAGTGGGTGCAGGAGGTGACATTTGAGCCTATGTCTGTCTGTGTTCTCAGCCACTCTGCCGTATTACTCTGTCCCAGAGTTCTGCAAGCAGGACCCATGACTGAAGGCTGTTCTGTGTCTGAGGGGAGAAAAGTCATTGCCCACGACTGTCTCTGTTGGTACCTGAGCTGCCTATGATGGCCAGCATCTGCCCACTCCTCACTTTGAAGCTCAGATTCTGGATGCCCAGATCACAGGAGTCTTGGTTGCTGTGAGACCTCCAAGGGATCTTGAACTGAGCCAGCTGCTCAAACCAAGGCACCTGAGAGGCGATGTCCACCTGTGGGGAAATGTTAGCAGAGTCCTTGGGAAGTTGAATGGTTCAGAGGGCTTCAACAGCTTCTGTTCAGCTCTCCTGCGTCTTGTATAACTCCTCTCTCAGGGGACACCCTGCTTCCAAGACATGATAGGTCTTGAGGCACCCAGATACTACCAAACATGGCAGTGAGGCCCCACCATCCGGTTCAAGTCTAGAGTTAAGAGGACCAGAAAGCATGTGAACCAGCAGAAAAACAGTAAGTGTTTGCCTCCTGCAAGGCATGACAGTGATCACTGTCCATCATTTATCTCATCTACCGTTCACTGCAAGCATATGGCGTTGGTACTACCAGCGTGTTTTACAGACCAAGTTCAAAGCAATTAAGGAATTGACTCAAGCTCACACATTTTACAGTGTGTGGCAGAGCAGATGTTCCAAAGCAGCTCGTTCCTTTACTCTAGTCCACACCCACAAAAAGGCCGGCTTGGTGCTCTGCAGTTCGCCATCCCACCTGGGCAGCAGGCAGTCTACCCCTGGGGAACGGGGGGATGGGAGTCACTTAATTCTGACAAGGGCATTCCTGAGACCCTCCCATGGTGGCCTTTTCACTCAGGGTGTTTTATCTGCATAAACACAGTTTATAAAAATAGACCATATATAGGTAGATAGATAGATGATACATAGATAGATAATAGGTAGATAGATAGATAGATGATAGGTAGATAGATAGATGATAGATAAATAGATAGATGATAGATAGGTAGATAGATGATATATATATATATATATATATAGATAGATAGATACAAAGATAGATAGATAGACAGACAGGCAGATAGATAGATGTAAAAGGATATAATTTCAATAAACCCTGTCGTTTAGTTAAGAGCCTGTTGTTAGCTTCCTAATTTTGGTAATTACAATGTCGTTCACAAGATGTTGACTTTGAAGGAAGCAGACAGGGTATGTGGAAGCACTGTGTTTTGCTATGCGTGTTTTCTACAGGTATGTATGTGCACATGTGGGTGCAAACTGCACCTTGCACCTATGTGTGTGGAGGCCAGAGGTGGATGGTGCTGTCTTCCACAACTGTTTTCTACCTGACTTTTGAGACCTGGTCTCTTGCTGAACCTGGAACAATTGAAGGAGATCGATGGGTCCACTTGGCTCTGGGACTGCAGACATGGGCCACCCAGATCTTCTTCTGTGGGTTCTGGAGATCTGAGCTCAGGCCCTCACACTCCTGCCTCAGGCACTTTATTGAGAGGACCACCACCCCAGCCCCTTTGATATCTATCTGCCTATCCGTCTATCATCTATCTATCATCTATCTATCTATCATCTATCTATCTATCTATCTATCTATCTATCTATCTATCATCTGTTTATCTGTCTATCATCTATCTATCATCTATCTGTCTATCATCTATCTACTATCTATAATATGCTTACATATATCACATATAATAGCACATATACAATATAGCTATATCATATATACATTATATACAAACACACACATATTATGTATATATGATAAACACACACATATATGCTTAGAGTGATTTCAAATTTTAAAGTTATGAGTTCCAGAGACATTCCCCACAGGCCTTCATGGTGAACCTTAACATCTTCCCAGGGGGTTCCACCCCTCCCCCACCTCTCGCTGCAGGTGAGCTTGCACCAGGGTAGACAGAGTTTTGTCCCTGGGGTCAGACTTACAGAGTGGGCTCACCCTTCCTTCCCCCGAATATTCCGCACACTCTTCTCCCCTCAGCTCAGGCGTGTGCCCCTACCTGGTAGGTGAGATCTCTGACCTCCAGAGTGTTGGACTGGCCACTGTAGGTGAAGTACAGGCTGTTGTCACTTTCAGAGGAGAACAAGCTGTCCTGGAGGCCCTGCTGGGAGACCTGACAGGTGAGGGGCCCCTTCAGAGGCAGATGAGGACACAGAAGACAGAGGAGGGGGCCTGAGCGGCACAGGCAGCCGCGGGCAGTGAGGTCGAGATCCCACACTGACAGGAGGTGGGATCGTGCAGGCGGCACCTCAGGGCTCTGAGAAGAACAGGAACACTGATGGGGGTACATCTCCTTCCAGGAGGGCAGCTGCAGCCTCAGAGACCCTCAGCCTCGGGCTCATGCACCTGAATCCACAGTTTAAGAAGAATGCCTCTCCAGACTCCAGTGGGCAGCCAGTAAAGCCATCTCAGACTTTCACTTCCCGTACCTGGCCTAATATCACCTACTGCCAAATAGACACACCATGAGAGAGGGACAGACATCAGCGAGTTGACCCAGAGTATCTGCGAAGATGTCACCCATCTTATGTTGATAAGGGGTTTTGGGACACAAAGCCCTTGAATATCCTTTGGGTGACATTTCAGAGGAAGCCCTCATCACCACAATGGCTACGCTTCTGTAATTGTTGAGGTGGCATATATATGAATTTTCTGTGTGATCGTTTAATACACGTATTCAACGTGTAATGGCCAAACGGGGTGCTCAGCACCTCCCTCTCCTTTACCATTTTTCATTTCTTCACGTTGGAAATCATCACATTCTTCTCTTCTGGTCGTCTATACTGAAATTTTAAAAAAATTTTAAATTTTATTTTGTGTGTGTGTGAGTGTTTGCCTGTGTGTATATATGTGCACCACATATGTGCCTGGTACCCTCAGAGGTCAAAAGAGGTCATTGGGTCCTCTGGACCTGGAGTTATAAACCATCCTGTGTGTGATGGGACCTGAACCCGGGTCCTCTGCAAGAGCAGCAAGTGCTCTTAACATCTGAGCCATCTCTCCAGCCTCGTTCTCTGATGTTTATATATAAAATAATAATAATAGTGTAAACTATGATCACCCCAGTGCACTTCAGAGCATGGCCTCCCATCTCATTTTAATGTCCAATATCTGACCGCCCTCCACCCCCTCACCTACCACTTCTGCACTTGTAATATGATTCTGCTCTCTCTGCAGGAGAGCTGGAGTGGGATTGCCTTTTGGTTTTTCGGTGTTGGGTAACCAAATCCATGGCGTGAAGCATGCTAGGCCAAGCACTGGAGGGACAGAGCCACATCCCCAGTCCCTAGGTTTTCTTGTTTTTAAATCAATTATCTTTGGGAGAGGTCTTAGTGGATTTATATCAGACAGGAATTAGTCCTAAAGATGCTTCTGCAGACACGAAGTTTCTGCTGGATTCAGGGGCGGGGCGGCTGCTGAGGGGGCAGTGCTAGGCATTTTGTGTCTGGTGTGTTGGTGGTGAGTTCTCAAGTTACTGTGCTGTTGTGACTTGGGGGACAGGAAGATCCCGGGGTTTCGAGGGACAGAGGACAGAGGGATGCAGTTGAGCAGTTCCTAGCTGGCTACTCTGAGTTCCCCGAGCCCTTGGACCCCAGCCACACAGACAACTCAGCTTCCAGAAAAAAAAAAAAAAAATTCATGTCTGGCTTGTGGATGACTTCTGCTCCATTTTTAAATATTTTCCTTGGCACCCAGGAAGGATTTGTTAGACTCTTCCTGAGGTTTTGACAAATTCTCTATATTTTTCAAATACTTAAATATCTACTCAGCTGACACTTTAATCAGTGTGACTGTCAGAACATCATTTGAATTTGTGACAGGTGACACCCTAAAAAGCGAAAGCGGGTTTATTTGTAGGTAACCAGTGCGGCACCTTCAGGGCTACAGTGTAATGACACCTCCTAGTAACTTCTGGTTCAATTCCCGAGTCAGAAGCGCAGAGAAGTACGGAATTTCAGGGGCCACAAAAAGGGAGAAATGTGCGGAGGACTGTGGCCGGCTGGGACAAAAAGGGTAAGTCTCTGGCCCAAGGCACACGCCTGGCCCTCTATTGACACCTCTAAACATTATCTCACCTGTCTCTACCGAGGCCCAGGCTTTCCTATCCCTGTTCCTGTGGACCACCGGCCCTGCCGCCCTGATACTCCATGCCAGAACTCCCTGCATAGACAGCCCTGATCTCATCCCTCTTCCCAGGCCATCTTTCTGAGTATGGGTGGTGCTGCTTAAGGGGCACGCTCCAAGGCTATAGGAGCAACTGTCTCTAGGAGGCCTGGCTAGAATGTGGGTGAGAAGAATGTGTGGCCTCTGTATGAGTTCCGTGTGGAGTGTGAGACGCTGGGTGGGCAGAAAAGGGGGTGGGTGTGGCATGGACCAGAAACCAGCTCCTCAGGAAGCCTTCCGTTTTCCAAATGTACGTGCGGAAGCGAGAAGGTGGAAACCACTGGGCAATATTTAGCTGGACCGAACAGCTTTTAAGTATGGACGCACAGGGCACGTCAGTCTCACTGTTTTTATCCAAGCCTCCACGGTTGTCAGTGGCAGACCACCACGGGGCATCTACAATAACAGAACCAAGAGGAGGAGGGACTTGTAAGTGGCAGGCCCCCAGCACACTTTGGGATTCTGACAGTTCTTTGCCTCTTTAACTATGGTGGTAACCTGAAGGGCTGAAGACTCCAAAGCCACCACTGACTTTCTGTCCTACTCAGGAAGTGATCGTGGACGTCCCAAGCGACAGAGGTAGTCATTTCCTCATGGGTGCCTGCCTCGTGGGGATTTCAGACAGCAGAGCTGGCTGTTGCTGTGGCGGTGGAATTGGGTAGAGAGAAGTGCTTGGATTGGTCAATCCCAGGCAACTCTACCTGGGCCAGAACAGGGAACTGTGGCCTCTCTGTCAGATGTGGACATTTCATTCTTGTCTTTTCTCTCTAGAAAAGTGGGCGGGATGTGGAAGCTGGGGGTGGGGGAGCCTCTTGGTATCTTCCAATATTGCTTCCTGCTTCAAAGCCCTCCCACAGCCCCAGTCAGAGGCTGTTTATCAAGCCAACGAGGAAGGACGCCTCGGACCTCTGCTTCCTAGCCACCTGGCTGCTGTCTGTTCATTCCTGTTCTCTCCCAGTTCGTAAGATTGCAAGCATAAAATTCTGGGGCTCCCATAAAAGTTCTCTCCTTTCTGTTTCCACCGAGATTCTTGGCCTGCACCCACATGGGCCAACACTCCTTCAGAAAAGCCCTAGTTCTTCTGCCTGTGGGAGTTTCTGTGATGGAATGTCACTTGGAAAGCTACATCACTCCGAGTCACCCACAAGAACTTCAGAGGTCTCCTGGCTCCTGAACCTGCTCCCGTCAGCCCCTCAGCATTGAGGAGCCCTGCTGCCCATTTCCACTCTCCTTGAGGTCCAGGTGATGAATTAGGGCTAAAACTCCCGAGGTAAGAAAGAAAGGTCAGTTCCACCCCACCCCGCCCCAGGACCAGGGTGGCTAAGCTTACTCACCGAGGCATCCTGAAGTATGGCCCCATTCCACAGCCGGGTCTCCTCTGCGGTCTTCTCAGCCATGACCCTTGCTGTCTGTGCCCCTCTGTGTGGCTCCTGTGGGCCTTCCCTGCTACTGGCCGGGCCAGTGCTCTCCCTGTCTCTGTTCCTTAGAGCCGGGCCACCTGAGCCCTCCTTCTCTGTGGCAGACTTTCTCCCAGCATTCCTCTCTCTGGCAAGCCCTCCTACAAACACACTGTGTGTTCTGCCTACTGTCGAGATAAGGACGCTCTGGCTAAAGGTACATCAGATAATGATGACATTGGTGGCCAAGTCGGTGTCCTGCTGTCTCACGAGGGATTCCAGGGCTGGGCAAGATCAGGCAGGACATTCCCACTGGCTCTTCAGTTGAAGCTACCCTGGAGAGGGACAGGCCACTAGAAAACTCACTTGCATTTGTTTCCTGCTGACCATGAGCGAATTGCCCTTTCTGAGTCCAGAAGGAGCCGGAGGGCCTCACGTCAACAGAAGTTCTCAGAGCTCCCTGGAGGAGGGATCTGTTACTGGCTCCGAGGCTCGGCACAGCCTGAGCGTGCTCCATGTCTCCTTCAGCGTCAGGTAAGGGTACCCCACAGCAGAAAACTGGGCTTCCCACCCTCTCTGCCGCCTTTTCCCACCAAGTGGGTGGGTGGGCCTGGGGGCTTTGGGCTTCCTGTTTAACAGACCAGAGAGGAAGGAGGCAAAGCTGCCCGTGAGCAGTGAGTACCAGTGGGTAGCTCCTCCCCTGCCCATTTGCTTTGCCCCAAGTTCTGTTATCCACACCCCACTCTTTGGCTTGTCCACCGATGCCCTGCATAGACGGAGAGGGTTTGGAAAGTGGGGGTGCTGGGGGCACACGGTGGAATGAAGCCTGCTGAACGAATGCAGGGTTCGCCTCAAGAATAAACACGGTGCAGGTTACTATCCTGCAGCCAGCCACAGAGACCCAGTATTCAGAGCAGCTACTGGGAGGCACGTTCCTTGGGTGGTGGCCAATCAGTAGTCACGACACCTCCGAGGACTGGAGAGCAGGGCATAGAGGCTGAAATAAAGTCTCCAAACTGTCCGGGAGCAACTGGGATATCGGGATGGGCTAGAGTTGGGGTTCGGGTTGGGAAGCAAGGGCCTGGCCCCTTCCAGGACCCTACACTGCTCTTGCCCTTGTGGGATTTACTTTAAAGCAACCGTGTCGGGCCCTGGTGGAACGTCAGATCCTTCCAGCAGCGATGGGAGAGGAAAATTCTAAAAGATGTCTCCTTGTACATGGAGAGTGGACAGATAATGTGCATCTTAGGCAGCTCAGGTAAGCAACTGGAGGGCTTCTGCACTTCCAAGGAGGACTCTGGTGAGGCTTTGGCTTCACTAGAAGGCCATGCATTTGGCCCTGAAATGAAATCTAATGACATGTCTGTGAATGGGACCTGGTACCAAAGTGAAGCGTTGAGAAAAGTCCCTGGGAAGAGTGGGAAGTCCAGCCCAACAAGTAAGTGGTTTGGTTGCTTGTTTGATTGATTGTTGGTGGTGCAGGGGATAAAATCCAGAGCCTTGGGCATGCTAAGTAAGCCCTCTACCACCAAGCCTCAGCCCAGCTCTGTTTTCTTTTTCTTTTTTTTTTAAAGATTTATTTATTTATTATGTATACAGTGTTCTGTCTGCAAGTATGCTTGCAGGCCAGAAGAGGGCGCCAGATCTCATTACAGATGGTTGTGAGCCACCATGTGATTGCTGGGAATTGAACTCGGGACCTCTGGAAGAACAGCCAGTGCTCTTAACCTCTGAGCCATCTCTCCAACGTTCCCCCTCACCACGCCCCCCCATCCCATTCTATTTTCAATTGGTATTTCCACTTCTGGAAAGTTCTTGTGAAGGTGTTCAGCAGGTGTTAACTCATATTCTTGACCCCTCTGGCCTTTTTCTTTATGATGGTCGTCAGACACACAATTGAGACCAGAGAATACTAAGAAAGAGTTCATGTTAGCATAAAGTCTTACCAGTACACCATGGGTTTTTTTTTGTTGTTGTTTGTTTTGTTTTGTTTGTTTTGAGCCTTGCCCCTAAGGAGTCGAGCATTCCAGACTGGGGTCCCCTGTGTGTCCTCCCATGCTCTTCTCTTCTTTCCGGGGAAGAGTTGAATATTTGAACGTGACTTCTATGTTTGCTTTTGTGTTCTGGCATTAACAAGTCATTATCCTCGGAGGGGTTTCCTCTCCTGTCCCTGCAAAGCCTATAGCTGTAACTCCTCAGATTTCCAGCCGCTGGGGAGGGGGTACACTGGCCCAGAAGAGGGGCTCCGCACGGCATACCTGCACGGCACACCTCAGGGTTCATGACAAACGCTTCTCCTGCATATGTAAATTTAAAGATTCTGACGTGTTAGTTTCATAAAACCCTCCTGACTGAGCAGCTGCTTGCAAATTGTTGGCATTTAATCCACTGTCCATTCGCCTTGCTCTTTCCTAGGAATAGGCCATGTTAAGTCTGTGGTGACAGTCAGGTGTGGCACTGTTTGGATATAGCTGAGTGTGTCTCCCAAAGCTCTGCGACACATGCTTATCCCCCATTGTGGAAATGATGAGAGACTTGGTGGGTAGGCCATGGGGGTGTAACACGCAGGAACTCATGCATGCACGCGCGCGCGCGCGCGCACACACACACACACACACACACACACACACACACACATTTCTACAATTCACCCGGCCTCAGGTGTCCAGTCTCAGGCATTTTCCTATAGCAATACAGAAAGGATTATGATGTCCAGCCTCAGACTGAATCCATGAGCACAGCTGTATGGTAATGGATTAAGATTAAATGAAATAATACGGAGAAGATTAAGTGAAAAGGAATCCCCTGGCTGTCTTAGTCTAATTGGGTTACTGTAAGAAAATATCATACACTGGGTGACGTATGAGCAAGAGGCTGACACCCAAGGGCCTGACAGATCTGACACGTGGTGAGGGCTGTGGTATTAGGTGTTTGTCACTGTGGGTGAAACATCTGGAAGAAATAATTTAAAGGAGGAGAGATTTATTTTGATTGATGGTTTCTGAGGGTTTGGTCCATCACGGTGAGAGTTATGGTAGAACAGCTTATATCATGATGGACGTGAAGCAGAGAGAAGAGACAGGAAAGGACCAGGACAAGATCTACCCAAGGAGCACCTCCGGTGGCCTACTTCTTCCAGCTAGTCACCACCTTCTAAAGTTTCCAGAACCGTCCCCAAAGGCACCGCCAACTGGGGATATAAGAGGCATTTTGTATTCAAGCTACAACTGCTGGATTCTTCATAAGTAGTTATTTTCTGCCTCTATTCATATAATGGAAGGGTTGTGGGATCTCTCCTGAGTCTTGTATATTTTAATTAGCTAATTAGTTAAATATTTTGCGTGTGTCTGTGCAGGTGCATGTGTTTGTGAAGACCCAACCTTGTGCGTCTTCTATCTTGTGTATGTATTTTATTTATGGGTAGATTCTTGTTTTTGTTTTTTGTGTTGTTGAGACAGGGTCTCACTATGTAGTCCTGGCTGGCCTGGAACTTGCTTCGTGAACCAGGCTGCTCTCAAACTCGCAGAGATCTGCCTGCCTCTGCCCTCGGAGTGCTGTGCTTAAAGTTATGTGCTACCATGCCTGGCTTCCCATGTTGTCTTCTGAGACAAGGTCTTTCGCTTTTACCTGGAACTACTTACTGGTGCATCGAGGCTGGCAAAGCCTGCGAGCCCCCGGGATCCTCACGCGGCAGGATGAGGAGCAGGCCTCACCATGCTGGCTCTGTTTACACTCAAGTCTTCATGCTTGAAGTGTGTGCGGTTTTCCAGTTGACTCATCTCCCTGACCCTCAACCTCTTTTCTGAGCACACTGACCCCGGTCAGCTTCCAATACACTTCCTAATACCACTTCAGTCACCTGGAGGCTTGTGTGTGCGCGACTAAGACTCTATCCCTGGAGTGGTATCCTTCTCTGCTGCGTCTCACATTGTTTAGAGACAGCTGGAGAGAAGAGAGGGGCAGGAGAGAACCCTGAGGATCTCCGTGTGAGGCTGAGAAGCCTCAGCCTTGGTAGTGTGAACACCTGCAGTGATGGAGAGAAAGGACAGGCGGAAGTAGCAAATGCCACTGAGGGACCAGGCACCGCACAAGAGGTCTTCAAGGCTCTGGTTGGAGAAACCACTCGGGAAGCACAGGGATCGTGTCTGGGAAGTCAGGACCTAATCCCACTGGCTCATGTGGGTCACTCCTCCTCCCCCTTCTCCTCTTCCTTCTCCTTCTTTCCCCTCCTTCTCTCCTTCCTCCTCTTCTCCTTCCTCCTCCCCTTCTCCTCCCACTGAGCCATTTCCCCAGCCCACGATTCAATTTTTTTCCTTTTAATACAAGAAGATGGTTTTATTCCTACCCTTTAGTTTCAGACAGTTTACAAATACCTTGACTGTGATAATAAGGCTTTGCCATTAGCAAAGCTGTTGAGTTAACACCCGTAAATACAGGTAGGGGATCTGACAACCGATGTTTCCCCACACGAACTATTCTTTTGATGTCACGGAAAAAAAAAAACAATTGCAAACAGACTACACAATACGCGTGGGCAGAAAGGCAACAGAGTGTGTCTCGTGAACACTGGAGTGTGATAAACAGCATGTTATCAACATTTACAGGATTCACCCTAAAATGATGACATCAGAAAGCATGCTCCTTTTAAAGGATATGATCATTTTCCTTTCTAGTCCACTCTACCTGAACACGTGTGCTGATCCCAAGTTTGGCCAGACATGGTTTAGGACAGATGATGAATGCCATAGGAACTTATCTTAGGACCTCTCCTGGTAAAAGCAGCTTCCACACGGCTCTTGAATAGAAAACCTTGTATCTGGTCCTGTCTGGGCTCCTCCAGCCTGGCAGAATGCCCTTGTTCCCTCAGGTAGTTGAGAACGTCCGCCTGGGTTCTTGTTAGTCTGTTTAGCAGCCTTGGGTAGGAAAGGCTAGGAAAAGTCTGTCCTGTCTCCAGGGAATCTGGGACCCAGGCTAAGTTGTGTGTGATGTGACCTTGGGGAAAGAAAACAGGGGGAGACATGTTCCTCTGTTGCCTCAAGTACCAGGCTAGAACTCTGCAGGGATGTTCTTGGTAGCAGCTGGCTAGCTATGGCCAAGGCTCATGGTGCAGGCTGAGGCCAATTTGCTTCCCCCAGTGGCCTCTAAGCCAGTGCCCCTCAAACTCTAACACTCATGGGAACTTGTTGAAAAGCAGAGTCACATTCGTTAGGTCTGAGAGTCTACAATGGGGTCTCAGACCACCACACGTCAGACGGCTCCGGCAACGTCATCTACATTCAGGTAGCACTGGACAGTCCGAAGGGATCACAAAAAGAAATTTAGGTACCAGGAGCCAAATGCTTCCAACAGCGCTTCCTGGCTTTCCTAGTCTGTGCTTGTATTTTTCCTCCTCCTCCTCCTCCTCCTCCTCCTCCTCCTCCTCCTCTTGTTCTTCTTTGGTTTTTTGACACACACTTTCTCCGTGTAGCCCTGCCTGTCCTGGAATTCACCCTGTAGACCAGGCTGGCCTTGAACTCACAGAGAAACGCTTGCCTCTGCATCCCAAGTGCTGGGATTAAAGGCGTGCGCCGCCACCACTAGACTTATTTTTTTTTTGAACCTGTATTTTTCTTACCCCGGTTTTTTCACTGCATTTATTTATTGTGCATGTGTGTACATGTATGGGCAAATGCATGCCACGGCATGTATGTGGAAGCCAGAGAACAACTTTTGGTGATTCGTTCTTTCCTTCCTCCGTGGACCTCTGGGACTGAACTCAGGTCCTCGGGCTTGGCTGCAAGTCCCTTTACTGGCTGAGCCATCTTGTATAAAGAGCAAATACAGAACATCTTCAGACCTGGATTCCAGCCCTACCAAGGGCAAGACTTTCTTGTCACCAAATCCAGAAGACATTTCTGCGTGGTGTTTGGCCTCTGTGGCTTGTCCCTCTTCACTCAGGGGACAAACGGGATTTGTTCAGACCCGGGGATTTTCACCCAGGGTGCCATGGAGAGGTGCAGTCAGGGTTCCATTGAAGCATAAAGGGTCTGGAGAAGTGTCCCCATTCTCATGCGGAGGCTCCTCCAGGGCCTTCTCTTGTCCCCCCCCAGGCTCGGGGAAAACCACGCTGCTGGACGCCATCTCCGGGAGGCTGCGGCGCACAGGGACCCTGGAAGGGGAGGTGTTTGTGAACGGCCGCGGGCTGCGCAGGGACCAGTTCCAAGACTGCTTCTCCTACGTCCTGCAGGTGGGTGCGTCCCCGGCCTGCCCCACCCCGGCCCCCGCCCCCGCCCCCGCCCCCGGGGCTCCGACGACCCTGATGTCCCCTTTCCTGCAGAGCGACGTCTTTCTGAGCAGTCTCACGGTGCGCGAGACGCTGCGCTACACGGCGATGCTGGCCCTCCGTCGTAGCTCTCCGGACTTCTACAACAAGAAGGTATGTAAAACTAAAGGGAAGGCCACTTCCCAGGGGTCAAGGCCCTGGGCCTCAGAAGTCCCTCCTCCTGCCACCTCCTGGCCCGTCCCTTTTCATCTTTGCTTATTCTGCTCCACCTCTGCCGCAGCCGTCCTTAGTGGCAGCTACATGAGCTGTTCGAACACCTGAAATGTGACCAGATCAACCTAAATCTGGTTTGGTATGATGCTCTTGGTCCTGTGGCTTCAGGGGATGGCACTCAGGTGGACAGGCATGGTGGCAATGCCCTTACCCATGGAGCCATCTCATCTTGAAGGAGCCTCATGAAACGTAGACTTAAGTTTCCTCCATGAAGAAACATGATGGAGTCATCATTCTTGCTAGGTTCCAGGATGTTTGTTAAATGTACCCAGTTTGGAAGTAGCTGTAAACAAACCCACCTTAGCCTTAGTTGGCAATATTGCTTAGTTCTGTCTGGACTGGGACGCCCCACCCCTACCCCCAACTCTCCTGAGAATAATGACAGGTAGGGCTGTCACCTGCAAAAGACCCAGCTTCCTGGGAAGTGGGCTTGTTACCAATGCCCTGGAGAGAGAGCAGGCTGCTTTCATTTGAGAATCCTAGACAACTCTGGGAGGCGATTTTTAACTCAAGAGGAACCCAGGCCTCACAGAGCGATCCCTCATCTGTCTTTTCCCCTAAGGCTATTACATGGGTTCTGTTTCTCTAGGTTATTCCTTAGTTTGGCCTCTGGCTGGCTTCCGGCAATACAGTATCTATCTCACTTCTGTCCGATACTGGCCGGGGGCCGGGCTTTATCTTCGTCTTGATATTGATACATCCACACCTTCCAACCCCATCTCATACTTTCTGAAGGACTCTGCAGTCTGAAAAAGACACCTGTATTCTCCTGAGAGATAGGTGTGCAAAAACACGTTCACACGGCTTGGTGGTCCTAACCGGTGACAGAGGAAGAAACAAGCCCCCCCCCGACCCCCTGCAGCTCACAGACCCCCCCTGCAGCTCACAGACCCCCCTGCAGCTCGCAGACCCCCCTGCAGCTCACCCTCTCTGTTTGCGTTAGTATTTTTTTTTGTTTTGTTTTGTTTTGTTTTTCGAGACAGGGTTTCTCTGTGTAGCTTTGCGCCTTTCCTGGAACTCACTTGGTAGCCCAGGCTGGCCTCGAACTCACAGAGATCCGCCTGGCTCTGCCTCCCGAGTGCTGGGATTAAAGGCGTGCGCCACCACCGCCCGGCTAGTATTTTTTTTTTTTTAATCTATTTATTTTACATCCCAGCCACAGCCTCTTCCCCCATCCTCCCAGGCCCTGTCCCCCACCCCCTACCTCCCTCTCCCAAATCCCCTCCTCTTCTGTCTCTATTCAAGAAAGGGCAGATCCCCTTTTGCTTTAGTATTTTTTAAAATCTAAATCCCACATAACGTGTTTTTAAGAAGGGAGCTGGAGAGATGGCTCTGTGGTTAAGTGGTTAAGAGCACTGGCTGTTCTTCCAGAGGACCGGGGGTCCATTCATAGCACCCACATGTCAAGTAGAGCTCAGTTCTAGAACCCTTCAATCTGATTCCAAGAGGAGATTTTTTTTTTTCCAGACCGGATCTTACTAACTTCCTGACACATCTCCGCCTCTATCCCCCTTTGCATCTTCTGTAGGCCAGGGCTCCATTTACGCTGGTGGCTACCTCCTGTCCTCTGGACCTCCTCTCCAATGTCATTCTCCCTCTCCCGCAGTACTGTGGTTATTTTTCAAAGCAATGTGCTGGTTTCTGTTTTTTCTTTTTTCACTTTGAAAGGGGCGCAATCTCATTAGAGGCGGCTGGGAACAAATTCTCTGCTCTATTGTATCCTCTCTGCTTCCCCCGGGCTTCCTGCAGACTCGGGGATCAAGGAAGGGGAAACATGGAAGTAGAGATTTTTCCAAAGGTCTCTGGGGGCTGCAATAAGCCGAGGAAGGGGAGAGGGAGAAAGGCCAGTCTTCTTAGAAAGTCAATAAGGATCGTTTTTTTAAATGTTATTGGTGTGGAAAGTTGAGATTAAGGGGAGAGGGTCTACGAGGAGCCGTGGGGTGTAAGCTGAGTGAAGAGAGTTGGTTAGGGAATTAGAAGCATGGAAGTGGAGCTGTGGATTTACATGGTACGTACCCTTTGAAGTTTCTCGAAGAGATTTGAGTAAAGATTGGAAGGGCTTTTAATTACTTTTGGAAGATGGATTATACTCTTTTGATGTAAAGCCACACCACGATTGGTCACTTGAACCTCCAGGACTTACTAGGGTTACCAAGGAGAGACAGGGCCACTTCAAACCAAATTGGATTTTTTTTTAAAGCACAGAAAATATTTATGATAATAAAATTCAAAACCCAAACACTTAACATAATCTATATCATAATTATGCCTTTGGGATGTTTTTCTGCTGCAAGAATAAACATATTGTCGCTCCTGGAACTTTAAACATTTATTTAAATCTGACCTATGTATTACACATCAAACCAAGTGGCTTTTACTGTAATGGACTTTTCTCCCCAAGGGTATGATAAGTCTGAGAGTGGCCTTTGCACTCTAGGGAAGTGTTATCTTTCCTGCCCATAAACTGAAATATCAGCCATCGTTACAGGTGGCAGCCCTGGAATTTATGTCTCTTATAGGTAGAGGCGGTCATGGAAGAGCTGAGTCTGAGCCACGTGGCAGACCGAATGATTGGCAACCACAATTTTGGGGGAATTTCCAGTGGCGAGCGGCGCCGAGTCTCCATCGCAGCCCAACTCCTTCAGGACCCTAGTAAGTGGGACCCAGACCCGCTCCCGGATGCCCTCGGGGTATCTTCCATGTGCTTGAAGGGCCTCCATATCTTTTAGGTGTTTGAGGCCCTTTCTTTACAGTCCCCAGTGAGAAACGGTTCGTGTAGGATTGAAATCTCTGAGGTTTCCCAAACCAGAGACCCCAGGTTTGGGAAATGCTATGTAGTTCATTTCCTGATGAGCGCCTCTCATTTGGGGAGACAGTCCTCAACTTATCACAGTTCAGCCTTACGGTGAAGTGAAAGAGATACACACTCAACGAGACTTTGAATTTTGCTCTTTTCTCGGACTAATGAGAAATGGTAGCACCTTCTCTCATGATGCTCGGGCTGCAGCAGTGAGCCACACTCCTGGTTGGCCTTGCGGGATAACAACTGACCCCACAGTGTGCTGTGTTACCAAGCTGTGGTGCTCATTAGGTTAGGTGTATCACATGCATCTTCGACTTAGACCATGTTTTCACTTACCCATGGGGTTACTAGGTTACTCTGACAAGGACCATCTGCAATGACCATCTCCTAAGAGTATCCCGTTTGTGTATCTGTGTGCCAGAACCCTCCATGACCATGAGACCCACCCTGTCTGTCCACCCTAACTTATAGGGCCGCTCCATTATGCCCTGTAGGGAAGGCCAGTGAGTTCTGGTAGCAGTGTTTATGAGTTGGCACAGTGCATATGCTATGAGGAAGGTACTACAAAGTGGGTAGCCAGTCCCCTGCCTCCTTCTACCTGGTTTGGTCATTCTCCCAACTTGACAAACCTCATCATGCATATGCACCTGGGAGAGGGCATTTTGTACCTCGACTCTTTCTGTACCCTGTGGTAGAACAAGCCTGCCTCTTCTAACGGCGCTTGGTCGCAGGATGCTAAGAAGTCCTTGTCACTTTTGGGTAGATATAAGCTACAGTTAAACTCCTAGAGAACACAACCAAGGCCTGCCCATCCATGCGCCCCGCCCCCCATCTCAGACTTGGTTTCATTCTTCTGCTGTGCAAACACCCCATTAGTACTGGAAAGTGCCCTGAGAGCAAGCAAGGTTGGGCTAGGCAACTGTTAGCTCATCTACTTAGCTCCTCCAAAGGCTGCCTGCTAGCCCTGTTCTCTGTGGGTGTCCCCCGCATGGAGCCCAAGTAGTCCAGAGTACAAAGAGGCCTGATCTGGTCACTCTCCTGTCTCCAGGTGTGCTCCAGAGCTGAGAGCTGGGCCCTCCCAGGTCAGGTTCTATCTCCTGGGCTCAGGCTGAAAGCCTGTTTCCATGCAGCTACTTCTCGCCACGCAGTTTGGATGGGGTGCGACAGCCCGAGGAAGGACTGGTCAGAATACTGAGTTTTAAGCACAGAGCATGCTGGGCAGTGGTTCAGACGTCTGACCCTTCTTTGCCGGCAGAGGTCATGATGTTCGATGAGCCAACCACAGGACTGGACTGCATGACTGCCAATCAGATTGTCATCCTCCTAGCAGAGCTGGCTCGCAGGGACCGCATCGTGATCGTCACCATCCACCAGCCTCGCTCTGAGCTCTTCCAAGTAAGGGGATGCCATTTCTGGTACTACTCAACTCAAGAGAAGGGGTGGGGTGTCTCGAACCAGGAATGGCAGGGCAGGGTAAGGAGCACACACCAGTGATTAAAAGGGCCAGGGGCCCGATTTACTTAGTACCTAATGCATGCCAAGCCTCTTCTATACACTAGATCATTCGGTCCACAATCATTTAGTCCACAAGGTAGTCCTGGGGCCGGGCATCCACATACACAGAAGAGAAAGAGTGTAACTTAGAAGTGACTCAGAATGAAGCCAGTACCACACAGTGGGTAAAACTCTGTCAGTGGCAGCTTGGAGGAGATGGCTCAGTTGGTAATACAGTGCTTGCTGTATGAGTTTGGATTTCTCATGCCCATAAAAGCTGGGCACAGAGGCACATGCCTGTGATTCCAGTGCTAGGGAGGCAGAGACAGGGAAATCTCTGGGGCTTGCCGGCTAGCCAGTCCAGCGTAATCCACGAGTGCCAGGTTCAGTGAGAGTCGCTGTCTCAAACGTAAGGTGGAGAGCAATTGAGGGACACACACACACACACACACGCACACACACATACACGCACACACACATATACACACATGCACACACACACGCACACGCACATACACACACACACACGCACATACACGCACACACACATATACACACATGCACACACACGCACACGCACACGCACATACACACACACACACACACACACACAGACCCAGCAACGTGGCATCATGGCCCACTCAGCTACCGAAGCTCCATTTTGTCACAAAATCACAGATTTTATCCACAAAAGAAACTTCATTTGATCCCCCCAGTATCCTTTTAGTTATCCATTATTATTATTATTATTATTATTATTATTATTATTATTATTAATAGATGAGGATCTAGTACTTCAAACACAACCAACACACACAACATCTCGGGTTGCTCAACATCATTCTCAGTGGTTTTCTCTGCCCAAATGTGACGCTGGGGCCCAGCGCCATACAGAATGCACAGAAGTAACCCAGGCAGGGAAGCAGAGGGGTGTCCTCCCTTGTCTCCAATGGACCCCCCACCCCCTCCCACACACAAACACTGATGCATGGTCGAGGTAACAGAGGACTAACTGGCTGCTTGGAAATGCATTTCCCATAAGGACATGATCCCCTGAGCACTCACTAACACTGTCTGTTGTTCAAGCAGCATTTCGACAAAATTGCCATCCTGACTTACGGAGAGCTGGTGTTCTGCGGCTCGCCAGAGGAAATGCTTGATTTCTTCAATAAGTGTGGTTACCCTTGTCCTGAACATTCCAACCCCTTCGACTTCTACAGTAAGTGTTTCTGTGGTTGTTTTGGGGTTTTGTTTTTTAATTGCACCATCACGGCTATTTAAAAATCTCTTTTAGGATTTTATTATTTATGTATTTCTGTGTGCGTAAGTGCGCTATGGTCTACATGTGGACATCAGAGGACAGCCCCGAAGATGTCAGTTCTCTCCTTCCACCATGTGGGTTCTAGGGATCAAAGTCAGGTCATTAGGCTTGGTGGCAATCACCGTCACATGTTGAGCCCTCTCGCCAGCCCTAAATCTTATTTATCTTTGATTTCTGTGATACCTGCTCTTCTAGGTTTTTGTTGTTGTTGTTTTTGTTTTGTTTTTTTGTTTTTTTTCTTTTTGTTTGTTTTGATGTTCTTTTATTTTTCAAGGAGTAAATTTGGTCAGTCAATTAACTTGCCCCAGTGACTTACTAGAGAATAAAATGGGGCTTCTCTCTCAGACTCTGTCAGAGCTGAGTTTCTGAATTCTTCCGGGCAGTTGTTATGGGGTTCTCAGGGCCTCTCTGGGTAGCAGTAGACATTCTAATGCAGCAGATGGTCGTTCTCGGCTGGGATAGATAGGGTCAGAGCAACTGATGAGTCAGGTATTTCTTGGTCCATGCCGTGAGTGCATGTGTGCGCCTGTGGGAGTGTGTGTGTGTGTGTGTGTGTGTGTGTGTGTGTGTGTGTGTGTGTGTGTGTATTTAGGAACACATGAGTCATATCTTTTGGGGAAAACTTTCAGTGGACTTGACGTCAGTGGATACCCAGAGCAGAGAGCGAGAAATAGAAACCTACAAGCGAGTCCAGATGCTCGAATCTGCATTCAAAGAATCGGCAATCTGTCACAAAATCCTGGAGAATATTGAAAGAACGAAACACCTGAAAAACACCTTACCCATGATTCCTTTCAAAAAGAAAGATCCTCCCGAAATGTTCTGTAAGCTGGGTGTCCTCTTGAGGTAAGAGCTTTGGAAACACAGCCAAGGCCCACTTTAGGTCTCTACAGACATTTACCAATAATGAAATAAAAGGGATTAAAGCCGGCTCGTTTGGTTTTCAGGAGAGTGACGAGAAACTTAATGAGGAACAAGCAGGCGGTGATTATGCGTCTCGTTCAGAATCTGATCATGGGTCTGTTCCTCATTTTCTACCTTCTCCGGGTCCAGAACAACGTACTAAAGGGAGCTATCCAGGACCGAGTGGGTCTGCTGTATCAGCTCGTGGGTGCCACCCCATACACCGGCATGCTCAACGCTGTGAATCTGTGTAAGTGCCTATATGTGGGAGGTACGTTTCTCCCCCACCAAATCTGTCTGCTCCAGCTGCTACCTTCCAAAAGCTCACCGTTTTATTATTATTATTATTATTATTATTATTATTATTATTATTATTTTGTTGTTGTTGTTGTTTTTGTTTTTCGAGACAGGGTTTCTCTGTGTAGCTTTGCGCCTTTCCTGGGACTCACTTGGTAGCCCAGGCTGGCCTCGAACTCACAGAGATCCGCCTGGCTCTGCCTCCCGAGTGCTGGGATTAAAGGCGTGCGCCACCACCGCCCGGCCGTTTTATTATTTTTACAGAGAAGCAAGTAAAGTGTGGCGTCTTTGCTACCACACTGTCCCCAGGTAGTGTGTAGAATTTTGAGGCGGGAGGATGTATTGTTCCATGATTGTGGAGCCTGCCTGGCTGCCTTCTTGATCCAGCCCCGATAGACCCCAAGCTCAGCTTGGGTAGCCTTTCCTCCCTCCGTGGTGTGGGGACTAACTGTTTCTGGAACATGCCTTCCATGCCAGTTCCCATGCTGAGAGCTGTCAGTGACCGGGAAAGTCAGGACGGTCTGTACCAGAAGTGGCAGATGCTGCTGGCCTACGTACTGCATGCGCTCCCCTTCAGCATCGTCGCCACGGTGCTTTTCAGCAGCGTGTGTTACTGGTAAGGTGGGGTTCAGGGGCACCGAGTTCACCTGGGCCAGGCTCCCCGTGGAGGGCGGATGGGACACATGGAAAGACAGCGAGAGGGCAAACCACTCCATTCCGGGTCTGGTGCAGTGACCTGCCTTTCAGGGCAGGTATTTTATTACAAATAACCCCACGGAGGGCTGCATGGGACCCAAGAGCAGGCCAGCAGGACCATGCCAGGGAACAGCATGCCTCGTGCTCTGAGGGTCTGGGCTAGAGAAGAGCGTTCACAAGGAGCTGGGACCCAGGTGCAGGACCCAGGTGGCCTTTGGAGGCTGCCGCAGCCCTGTCACCCTGAAGTTCTGCTGATGGAGCGGGACATCGCAGTTTGGTGGGTTGAGAGGGGCTTAGGAGGCAGAGCAGTGGCCACAGGAAGAAGGATGGGGAACATCACTTCTGTGAGTTTTGACTGGTGGCCTTTTCATTTCTTAGAACTTCAGAAAGAACTCAAAATGTGCAGGGTTAAGACACTCGCTTTGTTGTCACGAGTAGGCAGATGGTCCCCACCTGTCTCTGCCATGTCTCTTCTCCATGTGGCTCTGCCACAGGAAGACATGGAGGACGTGAGTCGGCCTGTCCTGACTCCATTAGTGTCAAGGCACTCAGCTGTGCCGAGAGAGAGCCTGCATTCTTGAGACACCGTTCCTCTTCACTGGTTGGATCCCTCTGCAGATGCCCCTAATTGCCACCACCACAATGCCATGACATACAACATGAATTGTTTTTACAAACTACATGCCATGTAAGTGCAAAATAACCAAGGGCATGTTGGTATAAGCTCCAGAATGAAGGGTTGCAGGTCTCTTGGGAGACATTTTTACTCACAGAGGTAAGGCTGCTTGTCTTCCGTCAGCATGAGGGTGGACTTCCAACAGAGGACCATGACAGGAACCACATAGCCTTTCTTGCTAGCCCCGATGGCACCCCCTCTTCTCTGAGCTTGGAAACAATGTGGGGTAATCTGACTGGTGCTACAAGCCACAGGCCTATCTCACTCAGGACAATGGATTCAGAGCAAAATGTCTTCCCTTCATGTCCTGGGAGCAAATTTTTAAAATGGGATTATTTTTGAGTAAAACAAGGTTGAGTGCAAATTGAAGGCTTTGTTTATTTAGACTCTTTCTACTCAACATGGCCACGGACTGATGATGGCCAGTTTATTTCATATGCAGAATCCCAGTCTCAGCCCTACTGAATTAGGTTCTGCATTTAACAAGATCCTCACGTTAAGTCACATAGCTCTTTAAGACCCTATGAACCAAAGACTTTGATTTTAATTTAGACACTGGGACAGGCGGTGGTGGCGCATGCCTTTAATCCCAGCACTCGGGAGGCAGAGCCAGGCGGATCTCTGTGAGTTCGAGGCCAGCCTGGTCTCCAAAGCGAGTACCAGGAAAGGCGCAAAGCTACACAGAGAAACCCTGTCTCGAAAAAACCAAAAAACAAAAAACCAAAAATTAATTTAGACACTGGTGTGGTTTTAAACCAGATGGAGCCCAGGCATGCACATCAGACATAAAAATGGAGAGTCATTTCTAGTGGTGTAAAGCTGTTAGTCACATAGAAAATGCTTCCATCGAGTTACAGAAAGAGCAGCAATGGCCACTGTGTCAGGCACAGACTGGGTGCTACAGGAGAGTCGCTGAACAGTAATCTCAAGGGTCTTGTTCTGGAGCTGAGATTCTGAAATCTAGACACCTCAGACATTCTAGAGGGCTGTGACAGCTCTTTCCCAGCATGCCCCGCTTGAACTCATTCAATGGCGGAGTATGACTGGAACCAACATCAGGTCTCTATACTAATCCCGCACAAAGAATCTGCTTAGCAGAAATATTAACATGTTTGAGGACCCCAGACCCCACTGCAATATGGCCTGCCTTTCCAAAACTCTTAAGTTTCCACATTCAAAAAATACATCTGCCTAATGCATTTCAGATGAGGGATTGTGCATAGGAATGAATATGGGGCAACTTTAATTCAAGGAAGTATATGATTAGCTTCATACAGAGGCAGAAGCACTGTACTGAGGATGCCCAAAGCAGCTCACACTCAACATGGCAGCTCTCACACACAACACAGCAGCTCACAATCAGTGTGGCAGCTCACACACAGCACAGCAGCTCACAATCAGTGTGGCAGCTCACACTCAGCACTCACCAGCTCTGCATGTATTCATTTATGGAATCCTTGTGACTGCTTTGTGAGGGTGACGAGGAAACGTTCTTGTTTATGGAGGAGGAAACTGAGGTACATGTGGGGGCTACCTAGCTCACATCCATGATCTTAGTGGCTTACAGAGGATGCATGAACTGCTCGTTCCCACGCCAATCCTTTCCTTCAGTCTTTAACAGAAATGTCTCCTGGTCAGCTGCTCTCCATTCAAGTGGGTCCACCTGCTGAACCTTGTTCACTCTCTGTCTTACACTCAATGGCACTCAAAATCTTCTGTGTTCAAGGGCGGGAAGAGAGTCTGGGGGAGAGAAAGTTTGGAGGTGTCTGTAGAAAAACTGAATAAGCCATGGTTTAATGAGAGGAAGGAGCAGGGACCACCAGGAAACAAGGGCACAGGTTCAGAAGCAAACTCATAGAGGGTCTTTGCAATGGAAGAGTTCCATGTGCTGTGGTCACGTGATGAAGGGTTGGGGAGAGGAGCACAAGTTGAGAATGAAAGCCTTGGGGTCCAGTCAGGGAGGCGTTGGGGGCCCGATAGTCCATTTGGAGAGCAAGGAAAAGAAATCAGCATGTCTCATCCCATGACTGTTGGGCTTAAAGAATGGTTGTCTTAGTTTGTGGTAAGGAAAACCATCAACAACTATTCGAGGACTTGGGATGTAGCTCTGTGATAGAAGGCTTTCCTCGAGCCTCCTTTCCTAGAGTTCTCCAGCATTGCAAAATGAGCATGCAAGCAAGGAATCAGGTTGTGAGTAGATGAGAATACAACCAAAGTAGTTCAGCTGAGCTGCACATATGGGGGTATTAGAACAACAACGCATCATGGATGCAAGCAGACCCAGTCACACTGGGCGAGGATGGAGAGAAACTAGACACACACACACACACACACACACACACACACACACACACACACACACACACACACACAGATTCATAGAATGGGAGGTGAGTTCTCTTCCTGAGAATGGAGAAGAAAATAAAATTGGGGAAGAGTGGGAGAGGAAGTAACTTAAAGTCGAGGTTTATGACAGCCATGATGAGACCCTGATGAGAGGAGACTGGACCCCAAGATGTAATGAGAAAACCTTATGGGATCCCTGTAGGCAGAAGTTTTCTCCGGTCCCGCCTGGCCCTCAGTCCTGAAGCCGCTGGGACCCAAGTAAACATACAGAGGCTTATATTATTTGCAAACTGTATGTATAGTCTATGGCAGGCCTCTTGCTAGCTAGCTCTTATATCTTAAATTAACCCATTTCTATTAACCTAAGTTTTGCCATGTGTTCCGTGGCTTACCAGTCTGCTGGCATGTTGCTCCTTGGGCGGTAGGCTGGCATCTCCCGTCTCTGACTTTCTTCTCCTCTCTCTGTCTTGGATTTCCTGCCTGCCTCTAAGCTGCCTTGCCATAGGCCAAAACAGCGTTATTTATAGCCAATGGGAGCAACACATATTCACATCATACAGAAAGACATCCCTCAGCACTTCCCCTTTTCTATCTAATCAAAAAGGAAGGTTTTAATTTTAACATAGTAAAAGTTACATATAATAGAACAGTTATCAAACAGGAATTACAGTTACAGATCCCACAGCCAGCTACGTCACAGCGGCAAAGAAGCAAAGTGGGTCCAATTGGTACAGCAATATGCTGTGTTCACTTCTGGTCCCTGAAGTGAGCAGGGCTCCTGGAAGGAGATGGTGCAGAAATGGGCCAGGATCTGAGTTAGAGAGGGCTGGGGACATGGGGCAGCAGGCCATACTTCAAAACTACAGTCTGAATTTTTAGAATTGGAAGATTCTGAGAACTCCCGATGTAAGACACAGCAAATGACTGAAGTTAGGAGGGAGAGCAGCTGACTAGGAGACATTTCTGTGGATGGCTTATCAAGATAGTTAAAAGACTGGGGGAAAAGATTAGAGTGGAAAAGATGATCCTTATCCTCATACTATAAAATTGCCAAAGGCGACTGACTGTTTTCAAAGCCCCAAGGCTATGGGTTGAGAAGAAAATTAACATAATTAAAACACATGGTGATTTGGGCAAGAGGAAAGGACAGCCTTCAGGACTGGCTGGGAGGGCGTAGCTGAAACGTGGGGGTTTCTTTTCCTTGCTCAACAAATGGACCGATGGACCCCCGAGTCTAATGAGAGTTTAAGACACGCGATCACTGGCAAGAACAATTTGCTGACAGACATATACAAGGAAAATGCAGATACAGGTGAGCTTGTTACAAGACCATGAAGGTGAAATCAAGGCTCTTAGACTAAAAGACACTGGGGGGAAGGAGTGGGAAGGCAATGCATAGGGACAAATTAGTGAGCCATTTCGTGCTGGCAATAATCCTAAGGACAGGGATGAGGTTCTGGGCAGCACGGTGGGGGAGCCCTCAGCATTAGGTTCGGAATGACGGGAAGAACACAGTTATTTATGAAGAGACCCGGAGAGTTTAGCAGCCCTACATCTGCCAGCCCGTGTGACTGTTGTCGAAGCAATTTAATATTTTGCCATGAGAGCTAAAGACGTTATAACAGGCAATTCACACTGAGTTGAAGTCGATGGTAATAAGTGGGCTCAAATGTCAGCTTTGTCCCGAGGAGGGTTGGACAAAGGGGACTGTGGCTCGCCCTGCTAATTCCGCCCTCCCACTAGCCAGCACGGAGTTTTTCACAGGAGGCAAGCATCGTGTTTTTCTTAAATGACAGTGCTTGGAGGGAAACCTGAAGTCTTGTGTTTTTCTAGGACTCTGGGCTTGTATCCTGAGGCTGCCAGATTCGGGTACTTCTCTGCTGCTCTCTTGGCCCCCCACTTAATTGGAGAATTTCTCACTCTGGTGTTGCTCGGGATGGTCCAAAACCCCAACATCGTCAACAGTATAGTCGCTCTGCTGAGCATTTCTGGACTGCTCGTTGGATCTGGATTTATCAGGTAAGAGGAAATGGTTAAAAAAGATGTAGTCTGGCATGATTCGTGGTCAAGGATCACCGAATAATGCCTGCCATAAACCAAACCCAGGGAGCCGAGTGGCGCTGGTCTGGGTTGTTTCTATTGCTCTCCGACCATGATTGCCTCAGACCTTGAACTGTTCACTGTCTGTTAGCACGATGTCTTTTTATTGGACATCAGGACACAACAAGGTAAGCACATTGTGGATGTGACTCACATGTAGCAAGCTAGGAAAACAAGAGAAGGAACCAACCTAGATTCTCTAAGAAAACTCACAGCCCAATTTACAGCCAGTGTGCACGTGAGCTCCTAACTGGTACAAGTGAGCCTTCATTCCAGCTCTCAAGCCTCATTTTAAAACATATTTATTTTTATATTATGCGTATGTGTGAGGGTCTGAATGTATGTATGTGCACCGTGTATGTGTTGGGGCCTACAGAGGCCAGAAGAGGGCATAGGATCCCCTGAAACTGGAGTTACAGATGGTTGTGAGCCACCATGTGGGCGGTGGGAACTGAGTCCAGGTCCTCTGCAAGAGCAGCCGGTGTTCCTAACTGCTAAGTCATCTCTTTAGAACCCCCTACTCTGGTAAAGGGGAATGGGGCTTGCCCTGTTCATCCCACCCTCCCACTAGCATGCAAAGATTTAGTCACAGGGGACAAGTACAGTACTCCGGAATTAAAATCAGTTAGATAAGGAAAGAGCCAACAGTATAAAGTACTATTAAAAAAAATTAGTGGACGTGTGCCAAATACTAACAGTATCTCTGGGTGATATTTAATTCCTCATCACATTTTATTTTATAATTTTTTTTTATATATCATTTTGGAACCAAGAACATACACTCATGCAACACACATACTTTTTAAAATTAGTAGCAAAAAGGGTCAAAAATATAAAGAGTGAAATCTCTCCAGGCAACATTACATGTGGGACCCAGTAAGTAAATTACAACCCTAAGGCAATGTGATGGCTGTGTGAGGTGGCTCCGTGGGAAAAGGCATACTCTGCAAGCCTGAAGACCTCAGTTTGGGTTCCACACACCCACATAAAAGCCAGGCATGGCCCAGAGCCCCAGCACACAGGGTATGGTATGCAGAGACAGGAGGATTGCTGGAACCAGCCTACCCCCCAAACCACAGCCTTCAGGTTCAGTGGGAGACTCTGTCTTACAGGAACAAAATGGGGAGAGGCAGAGACAAACACATGGCATCCTCCTATGGCCTCCCGATGTGTGCTCAGGGGCACACACATGAGCATGCACATACATGTGCACACATGCACACAGCCCCCACATACAACAAAATCAAGGAAGAAACGATGAAAAAGTGAGCACTATTTAAATGTGATTCCATTTGTGTGAGAGTTGGAGTAATTTGTTTTCAAGTAAGAAAGTTAAGCTTGGACTTGGCTGTTCGAGGACCACCCCTAGGAGGATGCTCACAGTGCATATGCTTCCTGGAGACGGCTGACCCTGGACCAGAAGCTTCTTCTACTGCGTAGCTGCCGTCTGACAGTGAACAAGTCACTTTTTTTTCTGTCAAAACAGGTTTCCTCATTTATGAAATCTTGAGATAAGGAGCTACCTGTTCAGGCTAGGGGTGTCCATGAGACAGGTGTACAGCCTGAGGGCATGCTATGAGCTGACCATACTAGACTATATTAAGGCGAGCTACCACATTTCCATCCATAAAGGACAACCTTTCTATTACACTCTATGTGTCTCTGCTGATGAAGTGGTTGGTAACATCTCTGAAAACTGTGCAAGTCAGCCCAAAGGTTCAGAATCAGGCCAACGAGGTAGACCTCAGGGTGGGCAATGTCTCCTCTTTCATATATTCGGATCTTTAGAACGCCAGCCAGTCTGGCATGATTTCACACACTTGGGTTTGGGGGAAAGGGGGTGATCATTCTTAAAAGGGATGCCATGGCCATCATTGGCAAACACTCTCGTGTTCTTGGCCAAACCTCCACACAGCAACATGTGTCAATAAACAGTTCCTCCCTCTTGAAAGCGGTCCAATATTTCTGTGGCAGGATCTTGTTCTTCCTTTGTGCCTTCCACTCTGTCCCCCTGTCACCTGTACAGAGCCTGCCTTCTGGCCCCAGGGCTGAAGATGCTCTCTCTGAAGCACCCTCCCCCCACGCACACCCACACCCACACAAGGCCCATTAAGGGCCATCTTGCATTGCATCCTTTCTCTATATTTGAGACTGCCAGTTGAGAGCGGCAACACGCCCCATTTATCACCAGTCTTTCTCGGTGGCCAGCCCATGACCTAGAGCCAAGCAAGTTTGCAAAGATCATTTGTTGCATTTGTTAGATAAATGGATGACCTTCCTTGGGCTGCCACACAGGACTCAGGCACTGGCTGTGTTGGTGTCCTTTCTGATAACAAATGTAAGTGCAGGTGGAGTACATGTCTTGTGTTTAGCCTGGTGCACAGGGCGAGATGAGGGCACACGCTTCTGACCTCAAAGCTCCAGCACGCGGCTGGGCAGCCATCCCCCTGTGGCCACCACCTTGTTCAGGTCTTTGCCACCTCATATTTGAACTTTTATCGTGGCCTGCTCTCCCTGTTTTACTGGTCTCCCTGTTTTACTGGTCTCCCCTTATTCTGGTCCATTCTACTTGTTGGTGCTACATTAATTTCCTTAAAAAGATATTTCAACTTGATCGTTTCCATGGTTGCCCAATGTCAACTCATTTCACGACCCTGAAACTACTGTTGGCCATGTCATTCCAAGCTCATCTCCCTCTGCTCTCACTTGCCACCCTCTGTTCTAGCTTGGAGAAGTATTCAGCCCCAGCAGCAGGGCCAGCTGGCCTGTGCTTAGGCCATTTCTGCCTCCGAAAGTGGCCTTTCTCCTCTATGAGTTTTTCCCATGTCCCTACCTACCCTCTCCAGTCCACAGTCTCTGATCTTGGAACACTTTCAGGAACTAAAGTCATGGGGCTCAGGGGCCACCTGGGAATAGGTGAGACAATAAATATTAATTGTAAAGGTATCATGGACGTGTGGTATTGGTTGTTTACACACTCTTGGCACCAACAGTTCACTTCCGTGTATTTTTGTGGAATCGAGGATACATATTCTATGTCCCTAACTATGGTATGAGTTCTTTAGGGATAGGATACTTTAAAAAAATCCCCAAAGAAGCTATAATTAGAATCTTATAAAGAGAAGTTATATTTATTTTATGTGTATGAATGTTTTGCTTATATGTATGTCTGTGTACCTGTGGGGGCCAGAAGAGGGTGTCAGATCCTCTGGAACTGGCGTTACAGATGGCTGTGAGCCACCATGTGGGTGTGGAATTGAACCCAGGTCCTCTGCAAGAGCAACACGTGCTCTAAACCATTGAGCCGTCTCTCTCTGGTCCCATAATATGTTTTTACTGATAGAAACCATATCGTGCTCTGAGAGGCAATCAATATTGGCAGGAAGTTTCTCCTGAGATAGACCAGAGAGGAGCACGTTTTTCTCAAGAATAAAGAAAGGGACAAAAGGGAGAAACAACAACAAAATCCCCCAAACACCAAACAAAACAAACAACCCCTCAAACCCAAACCCAAAACAACAAAAAACCTCAAAACCAAAACCCGAGGAAGAACTTCTGCTTGCAGCCTCCAACTTTCCTCCTCATATGCTAGCCTGGTCCTCACGTCACCCTGAGGACCTTCGTCTCTCTGCTTAGTCAGACGTCACAATTGTCACATAATATAGTATGTACTACGTGTATGATTTCTTGCATGTTTATATAAGTAATGTTGAGGGAGGGAGGGAGGGAGGGAGGGAGGGAGGGAGGGAGGGAGGGAGAGGGAGGGAGAGAGGGAGAGAGGGAGAGAGGGAGAGAGAGAGAGAGAGAGAGAGAGAGAGAGAGAGAGAGAGAGAGAGAGAGAGAGCACCAGCCAATGGTCATGAGATTCTCTTAAGTTTCTACTGAAATGGGCTGCCAGGTAGAAGTTAGAAATGACAAAGTGCCATATTTACTCACATGCAGGGATGGCTGAGACCTATTTGGGAGAATAAAGGTCAAGAGTGTGAGGAACCTGGTTCTACACAGTGGGGGTTTCATAAACACACACATTTTCTACCATATCACCAAAATGTCAACAGCTGTTTCTGCACAGTGTTAATTGAAGACTTACCATCTTCAGTGTTAATTGAAGACTTCATAGTAAGCATCATTTTATAATAGAGATGGAAGATTATATTTAGATAGAAAACATAGTGTTTTTTTTCATGTAATAAGACTATTTACTAGAACCTATTAACTTTTCTTTCTTTTTTTTCTTTTTCTTAAGAAACATAGAAGAAATGCCTATTCCTTTTAAAATCTTGAGTTATTTTACATTCCAAAAATACTGCTGTGAGATTCTTGTAGTCAATGAGTTCTATGGGCTGAATTTCACTTGTGGTAAGTATTCCATTTTACAATATTATTTTTACATGTTGTTCTAAGCAAGCAGTTTCTTAGGGAAATGTATTTTTGGGTGAAATGGTATGAGAGAGAGAGAGAGAGAGAGAGAGAGAGAGAGAGAGAGAGAGAGAGGAGATGACCTTGGATTTTCTTGGGTTTTATCCTTTGAAGCTGCCCACATTGTTGTTCGAAACTGAGTCTTTCACTGGGACTTGGGCTCTCTGATTAGCTAGGCTGGCTTGAGGAAGCATCAGGGACGCAAGCCTCTCCAGTGCTGGGGTTATAAGTGTGTGTCACCGTGCCCCGTCTTTTATGTGGGCGACTCGAACTCAGGTCTTCTTGTTTCTGTGGCAGTCACTTTAGTGAATAGGCCATCTCCCTAAACTCTTAGAAATGTTGTATTTTCATAATAAAATTTTCAAGCCTTGATTTGAATAAAGCCCACCATTTTCTCTGATTTTTTTAATGGAAAATATTCACTGGTCAAGTCAGTCTCCTGTAAATAGTCGACAGCTTGAGGACACTTGATATTCTTACAAGTGACAGGCCTATGTAATTGCTAGTATATTCTAGATAGTTCCTAGATGACTGAACAAATGTGGCCTCTTGTTTCCCCAAATGTGTATAGAATACAGATGGGTAAACCCATTTATTTTTAAGACAAAGGTCAACCTCCAAGCCAGGGCAGTGGGAACCCAAGGGCCCACAGCCACTGGAAATCCCAGTGTATGCGGAGAGTAGTGGCTAAATATTTTCAGATGACAATATCAGTAACTTTTAGGGTATTTGATGGCAGGCGACAACCAGGAATAGGGGAATGTATCTATTCTCAAAATACAATTAAATACTTTTCCATCTTCAAACCAAGCCAGGACCCCCAGACTCACTCTTGCTCCATCTCACTGTTAGTTCCAGGTTCTCCAGAATGTCACGTGGCTTTCATTTAAGAAGGCTACCTAGTGTGCTGAACGCTTGCTTTCTGAACATCAGGGAAATAGTTGTGATTAAATAACCTGAAATGCATCAGAGCTGACACTGTCACTCTTTCCCTTGGCAGGTAGCTCCAATACCTCTAGGCCATATAACCCAATGTGTTCCATGACCAAGGGAATCCAGTTCATCGAGAAAACCTGCCCAGGGGCCACATCCAGATTCACGGCAGACTTTCTGATCTTATACGCATTCATCCCAGTGCTTGTCACCCTAGGGATACTGGTTTTTAAAGTCCGGGACTACCTTATTAGCAGATAGTTACAATACCAGCCAGGAAAGAGTTCAATGGGCAGGTGTACCTGCCATGGACAACAGAGGAGTGTCGTCTTTTTTTTTTTGGTTTTTTCGAGACAGGGTTTCTCTGTGTAGCTTTGCGACTTTTCTGGATCTCACTCTGTAGACCAGGCTGGCCTCGAACTCACAGAGATCCACCTGCCTCTGCCTCCTGAGTGCTGGGATTAAAGGCGTGCGCCACCACCGCCTGGCGAGTGTTGTCTTCTAAACATCACGATTCCACTTGTGACCCTTGCACCCACCCAGGCCTCCAAGTGCTATGGAAACTGCTCACGGTCCTTTGCTGGTCCAGCTTGTGGGGAGACGTGGTACTTGGAAAGTGTGACTGAACTGGTCCGAGGATGTAAATAATAATAATAATAATAATAATAATAATAATAATAATAATAATAATAATAATTCATAAACCTATGGGAGATTAGTTTGACTTTTTTTCTAGACACAGAAAAATAAGCCTGTTTTAAAAATCATGTTTACATTTGATAAAGAATTTGATAAAACAAAAGTGTGTGTGATTACTGACCGAGAGCAATACAGGACAAAGTTCTGGGTTTGCCGCAGAAAGCCTTCTACAGAGGGGCTAAGGAGCTCCCGCTGCCATCTCAAAGTCACACGTACATGTGCTTGTCCACACGATGGGGCTGGTCACCTGATCACATCAGGCAGCTGCTGGACAGATGTTGGTGAACACCCCTGATACACAGCAAAGAAACCTCAGGAAGATGCTGAACATTGAATGCCACGTATCAGAGAGACTTCTGAGGGATATGTTTGCTTTTTTTCACCTTTAGCGTAGTTTGCCTTTTAAAATTCAGTGTTGCCGGGCGGTGGTGGTGCACGCCTTTAATCCCAGCACTCGGGAGGCAGAGACAGGCGGATCTCTGTGAGTTCGAGGCCAGCCTGGGCTACCAAGTGAGTTCCAGGAAAGGCGCAAAGCTACACAGAGAAACCCTGTCTCGAAAAACCAAAAAAAAAAAAAAAAAAAAAAAATAAATAAATAAATAAATAAATAAATAAAATAAAATTCAGCGTTATCGGACAGAATGTGACTGAGGAATGAGCTCCGTCAGTCTGGAGAACTGCCGCTCTGCAGTGCCCATAAATGACACAACAGCTCCCCTAAGAAGAGCTCTGGAGTTGCAGAGATGAGGGGCGCTGATAAGTGCAAACACACACCCACATACTTCCAGGGATGAAACGATGGGTGTGGGCTATGAAAAATGAATTCTCTGCTACGTGACTGATTATCTTTCTCATTGATCTGCAAGGAATTCACGAACAAGTCTGAAATTTAATTCTCTCAATGTCACCATGGTAACTAGGAGCGAGGCTCTCCGAGAGAGCACATGAACTTGTTCCGTTACTGTGACCTAGCTTGTAAAGAATGATAAATTATAGCACTTGAGATGTCTCCCATTAGAGTGGGAAGGAAGCCACAGTGGAAGTCTACTGCTTAGAACTGCATTTAAGGATCTGAGGCATTGGTATAGTACCAGCAGAGTACTGTCGATTTTTACGAAAGGTCTTTGACACTGATGATTACAGTGTAATAGTTACACAATCCTTACAGATTATACATGTCACATCAGCTATAGACAGTCCTAGAGACGATAACCTACTCAAACAGTTCAAAGAGAGTCCCACAGGGAGGAGCCTCTTTTGAAATCACTGATTTCAACCTACTGAAGATAGGAGGAAAGTGGACGCAGCGCCTATTATTCTATGCCCATATTATTCTATATCCATTCTCGTTCAGAAACACTGGAAAACTGACATCGTGAATGCCTTCAAGCCATGACCTGTTAGTGAGAGCACCCTGGAATCATGATGCCTTTGACCCCTGGCAGCTTGTGTCTCGAGTCACCAAACGGACAGTGATCTAAGAAAATCCACGTATAGAATGACTGTTTCTATTACTGTTGTGGCCTGGGCTGTCTGTGCCATCAGGAGGGGAAAGGAGGGCTTTCTCCACAGCACAGAGATGCATCAGGAACTCTCTAAACATTGTTCTCAAATGTCAGACCACATGCAGGACCACAGCAGACAGACTCCTGTTTCATCAAAATGACCCGATGGCGGCTACCACCCGCATGCCCTCACCTGTCTTCGTGTCCACAGCACATGAAGAGTCATGCAGGTCACAAGAATACATACCATTCCTGACTAATGACAATGGCTATCCTATCCAGAACTGGCTCCTTACATGTCATACCTGCCTGGAAGTCATCCTGGATGTCCAGCAACTCATGTTTGGGCCAACTTAGTGATAGGCTATCCCCTAAGGCTAGCCTGTTCTTTAGAAGGTGATATTAAACCAAATGTGACAGTCTCACTGGGTGAAGCGGGGAGAGGGGAGGATGGAGGTTGCTGTTTTAAAATGGCCCGTTCTCAGCAGCTGGGAATTTCTGGGTGTGAGGACCAGGAATGCGCATTGTACATAAGCACCTGCGGCGGCTTCTTGGGCCTCTCTGTTGAAGGTGAGATCACAACACCTGTCAGCTCCTTCCTGGCTTGCTACCACCTGCAGCTGAGAACACATTCTAGAAAGAACATGTCCAACATGGGCACGCAGCTTTATATGGGAACTGCTACCAGGACCAACAACATGGGCCAGCAGTTAAAGGCGCCTGCCTCCAAGCCTGCTGCCCCGAGTTCAATACCCAGAGTCTTCCAAGTTTTCCTCTGATCTCATACACATACCATGGCATGTACACATATACCATGGCATGTACACGTGTACACACACACACACACACACACACACACACACACACACACACTAAATTAACAAATAGATAAATAAGTAAATAAATGCAGAATAACTGGTACCAAACACCCTTGATTCATATAAACCAGAGCAGATGCTTACATGTGCCCAACAAGATTCAGACTGCGTAGACATCACAGGTAGGAGATAGAAAATTCTTTTATTTACAAAGAATTACATACAGTGCATAGTTTCTCTCTAGAAGGCTTCAGAACGTTCACAAAGCTGAACCAGAACACTTCCTCTAATACACTATACATCTCCGCTTTCCTCACACATGGCCACAGAAGGGAAGAAAAGAATCTTACTTGAACTCGGGAAGGAAGACAAAAACCCACACTAGTGGACCAGGGTCAAGAGTCCAGCTCAATTTGTTTCCAGGTCTTGGAAGAACTTCTCTTGTACTGTTCCAGTTCCTGAAACAAAGACCCGCATTACTTTAAGGAAACAAACAAACATAATTTCAAGTAGGCAATTGCTAGCTTCTTGATAATGACTTTGATAATGACTGCACTGAACACTTGTTTTCTACAAGACAGCCTCCAAAGCTCCTGGGCAGACTAAGCAGCGCTCAGAGATGAACTAAGTAAGGTTTTAGACACAATTATCTACTATACAGAATATACAGGTCACTTTCAATTAGCAACACAAGGCGTTTATACTTCAAGGATTTGAAAGTATCTGTATTTGAAAGCAATATTCAGCTCTTTCCAAAAGTTTGTTTGAAGTTAGCAGATTATCAGTATTTGAGATTTAAAAGTCCTTCCATACAGTGACTCTGCTTTTAGAACCATACTAGGGCTGGAGAGATGGCTTAGTGGCCAAGAGCACAGGCTGCTCTTCTAGAGGACCTGGGTTGGATTCCAAGCATCACATGGTGTCTCACAACCATTTATAACTCCAGTTCTAGGGGATCCAATGCCCTCTTCTGATCTGTGCATACATAAAGTACACAGACATACATGCAGGTAAACAACCACACACATAAAATAATAGTAAAAACCTTAAAAAAAGGAATTTGCCATACCGAGCTAGGTGTGGTGGCGCATGTCTGTAAGGCCATCACTGGGGAGGCGGAGACAGGAGGATCTTAAGTTTGAGGTAAGCCTGGGCTACACAGTAAGACCCAAGGACTGGGGTGTAGCTCAGTGGTGGAGTGTTTGCCGAGCAATGGTTTTCACCCCCATCACTGAAAAGACAAAATCACAGTGTGAGGTATGGCGGCAAATGCCTTTATTTCTAGTCCTGGGAGGCAAAGGCAGTGGAGGTCAGCCTGGTCTACACAGTGATTTCCAGGGCCATACAGGAGACCCTGACTAAAAAAACAAAAACTCTTCATAAAGTAAAAAGTTTTGTTTTTGTTTTTTTAGTTTTTTTCTCGAGACAGGGTTTCTCTGTGTAGTGCTGGCTGTTCTGGAACTTACCCTGTAGACCTGGCTGGCCTCGAACTCACAGAGATCCACTCGCCTCTGCCTCCCGAGTTCTGGGATTAAAGGCATACACCACCTTCTCCTTTATTTTTCTTTCTTTCTTTCTTTCTTTCTTTCTTTCTTTCTTTCTTTCTTTCTTTCTTTCTTTCTTTCTTTCTTTCTTTTCTTTTTTTTTTTGTTGTTGTTGTTTTTCGAGACAGGGTTTCTCCGTGTAGTTTTGGTGCTTGTCCTGGAGCTGGCCAGGCTGGCCTCGAACTCACAGAGATCCGCCTGTCTCTGCCTCCTGAGTGCTGGGATTAAAGGCCTGTGCCACCCTTTCTTAAAAGAGAAACTAACAGACGGCTTTGGAGATAACTCAGTGAGTACGAGAGCTTGCACTGCGAGTTTAAGACCCGAGTTCAAATCCCCAGCACCCATGTCAAAAAAGGAAGAAGAAGAAGAAGAAAACATAGAGAATAGTGAAACATGCAAGGTGTGGACAGACAGATGCTCCTGCTCCTACAACGTCTGCACAGCTGGAAACCGCTGTCTGCAGAAGGGACTGATTAGGGAGATGAGTGTTCATTTACACTCAGCCCTCGGGGGAGCTGGGGGAAACCGATGGTAGCCATATGTGCCCCATAAGAACAGCAACAGTGGGGGGCGGGGAGACAGGAGACTTCCTTCTGTCCTTCCGACACCTCTACATCTTTAACACAAGGTAGTTTCACAGCAGAGGTGGAAACCACGGACAGTAGCCTTCAAGAGGGGATCACCAAGGGATCACCTCCGGGCGGACTCTGTGCCAGTCACCGCCGAAGCAACTGTACAAAGTGTGTTGTTATCCTGGATAAACAAAGGTGGTTGTTCTGCATGATAAGCCAAGCACGGTCCAGCGGCTGGGGTTACTCACGGTCACAGCTGCTACGAACAAAATCCATTGCTGTCTTCATAAAAAGTGCAGGTTATCTTTCACAGTTATCCTTGAAGTTATTAAAACTGAACTGCTGAGGAGTTTCAAAGCCCTGTGTGTACTTGAGAATGCTTTTATGATAATAACTTGGAGGAACTCTTCAGTTTGGTTTATGTCTGAGTGACACCAATCCAGTTTACCAGTTATTTCCCACTTATCCTATTAAAGATTGCTAACTAGTGAAAAGTAGGTAACCAGGTGTGGGGGCACCCACCTTTAATCCCAGACCCCAGGAGGCAAAGGGGGGATCTCTACAAGTTTGAGGCCAGCCTGGTCTACATAGTGAGTTCCAGGCCAGCCAAGACTACACAGCTAGATAGACCTTGTCTCAAAACAACAAAAAAGATTCACAAAAGTAAAGTGATAGTGCAAGCTTTGTCTTTAACTGGAAATGGTCAATCGTTTTTTACCAAGATCCAGGTGAGGACATTGCTTTGTGGGTCTTTGCTGGCTGTGGTATATAATCTGCATACAACAGACAGAGAAAAGAATGGGGCGGTCACCTGGCCATGCCAAAAGAAGGAAAAGGAGTACTTAGCTGATTCATGACCCCCAAAAGGCCTCTAGATTTTCAAGATCACAAGCAGACGAACTCAGAACAATCGCTGTTTGAAAGGTGCTGCAAGGTTTTCTTGACACGGATTCCACGGCGGCTTACAGAGCCATTAAAAAACAAGACGAAGAAGCTCCCTCCCGGCCCACCCCTACCCACCACTACCCACCCCCTACCCACCCCAACTCTCTTAAGAACCCCTGAAGGCTCTGACGACACACAGTCTATGGTCTTATGATACACTGCATTTATATAATATGATATAATAATATATTATAATGGCTGATGGAGCATCTGCCACAGAGAACAGTAACATGGTTCTTCTCTAACCATGAGATCAGTGTGTCAGTGTGCTTAATTAAATTACAGCCCTAGGAGCAAGAGGATTGTTTTAAACTGCGGAGTCAAACAAGGGAACTATGGCTAAGCAAGAAGACCTTAAAAGGGAAAGCATTTACCTAAACCTCCCCTCCCCGCCCTAGACTCCTTTTAATAAAGAAGGGTCTTGCTGCTAGCCAAGGCTAGCCCGCAACTCCTGTGTCTACATAGACCCAGCCTTCTCAGGGCTAGGATTACAGTCACGTGTCACCTTGACCACTTTTCCCTTTTCTCCTCTTTTAACAAAAATATTGAAAAGAGGTAAAAGGGTGGAGCAAACACTTTCCTTTCAGATTCCCTACAATCAGGAATGGCTTCGAGCTCAAGGACTTTCTGTGAAAGCTGACAGAAGAGACTTGAGCAATAAGAGAAAAGAGTGCTAGCCAGGCAGACCCCGTCCACAGGCAGCTCTGGTCTGCCCATGCTCTGAGCCGTGGGCTGGCCTCACAGGTTACAGGACCTCCCTGCGTGGGAAAGGACTAGGCTCAAGACAGATCCAAAGGCTGTCTTCGCTATGCTGTGATAAGACATCACGACCAGAAGAAGCTTGGGGGAGAAAAGGGTTGATTTCAGCTTACACATACACCTGCATGTGCCTATCCATCCCCGACGGAAGTCAGGGTGGGAATCAAGCAGGGCGGGAACCTGGAGGCAGGAGCTGATGCAGAGGCCGTGGAGGGGTGCTGCTTACTGGTTTGCTCCTCATGGCTTGTTCAGTGTGCTTTTTTTGCGCATCCAGGACCACCTGCACAGAAATGGCACTGCCCATAATGGGCTGGACCCTCCCAAACCAATCACTAATTAAGAAAATGCCCTAGAGACCTGCCTACAGTCGGATCTTATGAAGGCTTTTTTTCTATTGCCGTTCTCTCTCTCTCAGATGACTCTAACTTGTGTGAAATTGACATAAAACCAACCAGCACAGTGGCATAGTCTTTCAGTTCCTCTGGGGGTAGTGAGTTGTAGGATTGTCCATTCAAGGTCAGTCTGAGCTACCAAATGAGACTGTTAAAAAAATTTTTTTTTGAATAGCGATCTTAAAAGAATGAAGCATTGTGGGATGTGGTGGTGGGGTGCCCACCACTTTGCTGGAGGGATTATGTATAGAGAGGTAATTCCTCAGTGGCAACTGAGCTTTTTGGGTGGGACTGAATGGAAGCCACAAGCTTGCTGCTCCATCCTAAACCTGCCAGGCTCCAATTTCATTGTGAATGTTTCAAGGCTCGGAATGCCACTTTCTGTTCCAGACTAACAATCTCAGGTGCTAACAATGGGTGTTGGGGGTAGGGAAAGAGCCAAGGGAAGATCAAGGCCTGTCTGGCGTAGGCTCTGAGCTAGCCCTCCACTCACAGACAACGGCACTATAATTTAATGATACAGGATGTCGTCTCTCTTCCTCAGAAGAACAAGGCTGAGCCAGGGCTGGGTCAGAGGTAGGTCAGCCATGGCCAGTTCTGCCTTAGGAGCCTGCAGGTTGCTTCAAGGGGAACACCTGGATGGAATTATGGAAAATCCTAAGCACAGATTTAAGTCAGAAGCAGCTAAGCTCTTCTTTTAAATGAATACACCATTATTCAGTGCCAACTCACATCTAAAAATCACAATGGTATTTTCAAGGGAAAATGCTACCCAGTAATCAATAATCATTAAAAGATAAAAGAAGCAATATGAAGACGGAGATACAGACAACTGGTTAGATTTTCACCTAAAGCTCATAATTTTTTATTTTCTCTATCATTTTTCTCTCTATCTGTCAGTCAACTTGTCTGTCTATCTATCTATCTATCTATCTATCTATCTATCTATCTATCTATCTATCTATCTATCTATCATCTATCTATCTTTGAGACAGGGTCTCACTCTATGGCTCAGGCTGATCTCAGATTTGCAAATGTCCTGCTGAAGCCTCTAGAGTGCTGGATGAACTTTTGTTTTAAGCTATCCCAGTAAAACTGGCAGCAACTATATTGCCCATATACAAAATACAGGTATACATGTAAATGCCTAGAGAGAATGTTAAGAATCTCCTAAATTAATTTTGAGAGGATTACCACTTTGCATATCAGCACACAGTTGGGAACAGCTTAAGCTTCTGCAATTCCTTCATGGAAAGCATGAAAAAATATTCAAATTAAATTTTTGTTTGTTTTGTTTTCAAGACAGGGTCTCACTATGGCTGTCCTGGAATTCACTATGTAGACCAGGCTGATCTTAAACTCACACAAATCTACCTGCCTCTGCTACCTGGCTTTAACAGAAAAAAAAAGGATATCAGGATGTCAAACTTTAGAATCAGCTATCAATGAAATAATCAAGCATCAAATGGTAATCATTGTGGTACCTGTATGGCAAAAAGTACAAATGACATGCAGATTCTATGTGTGCAGTCTGAAATTAGCACAACTTATCTACCAGAACAACACAAATTAAATTGGCTTTTAGGCAAAATGGAGATATTACATATTTTCTTAGGTAATAAAAAAAAATCTGTCATCCAAGCATTCTAGCCACTCCGATGCGTTAACTGAATGCCACAGTTGAGCAAGACGCTCCAGGCGCAGGGCTTGTCCTCCACTTTCACTCAAAGTGAAGTCAGAGAAGATACAATTCCAAAGTGTAAATTCAGAGTTCAAATACGTCAGCGCATTACTAACGTCTGTGCATATGACCTTATTAAAGCAGTCAAGATGCAATAGAAACCAATAATGACAGTTAATAATTGACTCAAATACTAATTGGGAGATGACCTCCAGTAACCTCTCCAGCCAAGGTTCATGCACAATGAGGGTTACATCAGTTCATCTGAGTGTCCCCACCTCATGTTTCAAGCTTTGCTAGAGCTACCAAACCGTTTACATATTCATAGCAGGTTTTCAAGCTGTCTGGAATATGTTTAAATAAAACATTTGCTTACTTAATTTGAGGACCTCTTAAGGTAAAGAGTGAGTGCTAGGAAAAATGTCTGGGTCGCCAGTCCCAGTAGACAAGTGTCTTCAAATAACCCTTCCAACAGTGTGACTGCCCAAGTTACAAAGTTCTACAAACCCGCCCAGATACGGTCAGGCTTTCAGTTTGCAGAGTGTGCCATACAAACGTGTCCTCATCCAAGGACAGATAGTGTGACATCTCATTTTATCACTGTAAAAGGAGAGCTGACAAAAGTCTATGTCCAGTATTTGTGTCATGGTGAATTCACCAACAAACGATTCTATTCTTACTTAAGATTTGCATACTGAAATGGGGCTATCCTGGCTCGTCCACTTCTAAGCATCTTCTTCAGAGATCCTAGGGTCCATCAGGGATGCTTATGTATCTTGGCCTGAATGGATAAAGCCCTTGGACAAGGTAATTCTCCAAGTACTAGGAAACTATACTATGTCTGACAACAGAGTAGGAACCAAACACTTCCAAAGAGTATCAGGAAAGCATTTCTCCAGCAGAGAGGGTGGGAGCCATACCCATCTTTAACATCAAGTCAGTTGGAAAAGGGTTTGTAAGCTTTTACATTATCTCTGGGTAGTGGAAAGGCAGGTTTCTTCTATATGCATATCAGAGCTTTTTTCTACAGAGATGTAATAATTTTTTTTTTTTTTTTTTTTTTGGTTTTTCGAGACAGGGTTTCTCTGTGTAGCTTTGCGCCTTTCCTGGAACTCACTTGGTAGTCCAGGCTGGCCTCGAACTCACAGAGATCCACCTGGCTCTGCCTCCCGAGTGCTGGGATTAAAGGCGTGCGCCACCACCGCCCGGCGAGATGTAATAATTTTACAAGTAAAAAAATTAGGAAAATGTATGAATTTCTCAATGTATACCATATTTCGGTGCAATTGAGTTTTGGGAAATACCTGATCCTTCTGAATTCTCATCTCATCCACTTCACTTTCTGCATACTGTGGATCTCGGGCAGGGTCCTGGATCGCCTTCAGGGTGCTGGTACTCTAAAATCATGATTCTCTAAGTCATTTCAGGCCCACAACCCACATTTCAATGGCCACCATCTGTCTAAGGGACCAAGCTCCATCAGCCTGGCACTGAGAGTTCTTCAGTCTCCACCACTCTTTGGAAATCCACCTCAGATACACTTGCCGCCCCCCGCCCCACGTCCTCCCCCACCCCCACCCCCCATCATTTGTCTCTCTCTTCCAACAGCCAGAGAGCTTTGTTTGGAAGGGGACAGGGGCCATGTCTTACTCAGCTTTTAACCTCCATGGTGCTTGGTTTACAACGGTCTCAACAAACATTTCATCATTTAGGAACATGAGAAACAGAGTCATCATGGTAGAACCTTCATGGCACTTCCTGTCACAGATGACTGTAGCTCTCTAGCCAAGGGGAATACACACCTTTGGGGGGAAGAGCTTTTCATACACCTTTTTCCACAGCTCCATTGGCGAATGGGCCTGAAGCTTTCCAATGTCACTATCGGGAACAGGAGGGGACCCTAAAATAGAAAGTTTTACCTCACATGACTACAGAGATTAAATTAGTGTAAACTATTAATAAAGCAGATGTCATCTATTAAAGTACAAATCTCAGGTCACTCATTTTCCATCTCCGTGTTACAGACACCATTAAAATGATGCCTAGCTAGGCTGTTGTGCTGCCAGAGGCAGTAAGAAGTAACGGGTGAGCTAACACTCTTTTTCCACACCCTGCACCCGTATCTGTGCCCCATTAACAGTAGTTCCAGAGCTTGATGTTTACACTAGAAACATGCATGCACTTGTGATAGAGAGCTCATGCAGGAGCACCATTGGTTTTATGGAAAACTGATCGTAACACAGACGTTCATTCCTAGTAGATAATGAACTGGCATTATGCACAGTTTTGTTTTATAACACCAGGAAACAGTCCAAATATCAGCTGGAACCGTGGGCAGCGTATACACTGAAAACCCACCAAAGTACACCGAGTCCAAGATAATACCGACTGGCAAACTTTTCTACATGTGTGTAAATGCAGAGTGCTGTGGAGATGTGAAAAAAACTCCCTACACACACACACACACACACACACACACACACACACACACACACACACACACACACGACTCAGCGTCCTCTTCCCCTTGCGGTGCTGGAACTGTACCAAGGACCTCACCCCAGCTGGGCACTCGTCACTGAGCTACAGTCACAGTACTAGCCCCACCATTTTAATGAGGAAAATGTATTTATATCTTGAATATTTACATTACTTTGAAAAATTAAAAAATTCAGTTACTTTCTGGCAATTTTTAATCTATAACCTGAGATTTTTCCATTCTTTCTAACATCTTTATCGTCCCCAAACTGTTCATGACCTTCAAGGACTTCCTTACTATCCTGGTGGAAAGTACTGATTCACTGATTCACTACCGTGTGTGTGTGTGTGTGTGTGTGTGTGTGTGTGTGTGTGCGTGTGTGTGTGTAAAACACTGATGCTGGGAACTGAACTTGGATCCTTTGGAAGAGTGGCAAGTGCTCTTAATTGCTGAGCCATCTCTCAGCCCCAGATCCGTGATTTTTAAATTCAGTAATTAGCAAGCCTTTTCTGGCTAACTATTCCCACAGACAGAATTCTGCCAGCGTCATCCATCAGTGCACTATTCCCACAGACAGAATTCCGTCAGCGTCATCCATCAGTGCACTATTCCCACAGACAGAATTCCGTCAGCGTCATCCATCAGTGCACTATTCCCACAGACAGAATTCCGTCAGCGTCATCCATCAGTGCACTATTCCCACAGACAGAATTCCGTCAGCGTCATCCATCAGTGCACTATTCCCACAGACAGAATTCCATCAGCGTCATCCATCAGTGCACTATTCCCACAGACAGAATTCCGTCAGCATTATCCATCAGTGCACTATTCCCACAGACAGAATTCCGTCAGCGTCATCCATCAGTGCACTATTCCCACAGACAGAATTCCGTCAGCGTCATCCATCAGTGCACTATTCCCACAGACAGAATTCCGTCAGCATTATCCATCAGTGCACTATTCCCACAGACAGAATTCCATCAGCGTCATCCATCAGTGCACTATTCCCACAGACAGAATTCCGTCAGCGTCATCCATCAGTGCACTATTCCCACAGACAGAATTCCGTCAGCGTCATCCATCAGTGCACTATTCCCACAGACAGAATTCCGCCAGCGTCATCCATCAGTGCACTATTCCCACAGACAGAATTCTGCCAGCGTCATCCATCAGTGCACTATTCCCACAGACAGAATTCCGCCAGCGTCATCCATCAGTGCACTATTCCCACAGACAGAATTCCATCAGCGTCATCCATCAGTGCACTATTCCCACAGACAGAATTCCGTCAGCATTATCCATCAGTGCACTATTCCCACAGACAGAATTCCGTCAGCATTATCCATCAGTGCACTATTCCCACAGACAGAATTCCGTCAGCATTATCCATCAGTGCACTATTCCCACAGACAGAATTCCATCAGCATTATCCATCAGTGCACTATTCTCACAGACAGAATTCCATCAGCGTTATTCATCAGTGCACTATTCCCACAGACAGAATTCCGTCAGCGTCATCCATCAGTGCACTATTCCCACAGACAGAATTCCGTCAGCATTATCCATCAGTGCACTATTCCCACAGACAGAATTCCATCAGCGTTATCCATCAGTGCACTATTCCCACAGACAGAATTCCATCAGCGTCATCCATCAGTGCACTATTCCCACAGACAGAATTCTGCCAGCATGCACAGTGATTCTCAGGGCTCTTGAAATTAAGCTGGCACTACTAAAAAGATGCCAATCTGTCTCCACCATCCATTAAGCAACACCACCTCATTCTTTGCTAAGGTCTTAGGAGTATTAGAGGATGGAAACACCAGCCTGTTGCCATGTGAAAAATCAAACCATAGCCAAGGTTCTAAAGAATTGCTAGGCCCAAAGAGCTTCTTGGAAAGATAGGGGACTTGATAAATATACTATGGATTCTGTGAGTTTAGAAAATACATCTCAATAGCTAAGGCAGACTATTCCGTCTTGCACTTTTTTACATTTTGAAAGAGGGTCATGCTATACAGCCCAATCTGACTGGCCTTGGGTTTAAAGCAATCTCCTGCCTCAGCCTCCGGAGTGCTAGGATTACAGGTGGGATATACCACCACACCCAACTGGAAAACTGTCTTATAATGGAAAATTAAGGCGTATTTAAAGGTTCTTGGTTTACTCTATCACTTCAGCCCCACATAGTCGATCATTATTCACAGCGAGCTCTGCAGTCCCCTGACTACCCTATACTCCTGATTTCTTCTAAACTTGGGGAACTAGAATTTAAAAATGCATTTCCCCCTGATGGCGGTAGGCTCAGAATTCATCTCTGGTGCATGAGGGGGCTTTTTGAAGCCCACTACCTATGATGGGACACGTTGCACAGCCTTGAGGCAGGGAGAAGGGGCTGGACTTGCCTCTACTGAATGTGCCTCCCCAATGGGGAGGCCTTGCCTTCTTGTGGGGGGGGGGTTGTGGGGGAAGGATGGGGGGATGGGAGGAGGGAAGAGGGGGATCTTTGATTGGTGTGTAAAATGAATGAAAAAATTTTCTTAATAAAAAAGTACATTTCTTTAAAAGTAGAATAGAGATCAGAAATCTGTCTCCCATGTAGTACCATACATTCTACCACAAATATATCAGTGTGTTGCAAGCTACATCAATTCTGGATAAAATAAATACATATGAAATAACTGCCAGAAAATGAAGCCAGAAATGGTGGTGTGCTGGAGACCAAGGAAACAGGAAGACAAAATCAATAAGCAATTTAAAAAGATTAAGCAATATTAATAAGTTCACCAACCTATTTGACATAAAGAGTCCAATCCTGCTGTGATAAACAGTGGTTTATTCTGATCCACACATATTGATTTGCTGTATGGCAAAGAAAAAGATTCTAATTTAGGTCACCAATCGAATATGCTGCCACACTCTACTGTAAACACGAGGGCCAATTTTATATAAGTCACTGACGAGAGAGCATTGACCCAAATGGACCAGTGAACACTGACTCTGACAGAATCCCACCTTCTAAGTCTAAACTAAGAGAAGAGCAAAGCAAAAAGATAGACACTAAAACTTTCAATTCCATTTAAAATTAGCAGAAGAAAATAATAACAAAACGAAAGCTAAAGAGATGGAAGAGAAGATATAATAGAAATCAGGGAACAAGGATAATTGGAAAATGTTTAACAGTACCTCTTATCAATACCAAATGCCAACTGGTTGATAACACCACGTATTTTCAGTAACAGAGCTTCCGATTTGCTGGTAAACTGCAACAAACAGGAGATTTAATTAAACTCCGTTCTATAATCTCTGTAACCGGTAAAAATACGGTTCTGAACAAGCACACACAGCGAGAGAATTACAACTTCTTTGCCTCAAAACACTTACATTTGGGGAGACAAAACAGAAGCTGAATAAAGAAATCGTGATAAACTTGCCTCGCTACCCAGAATTCACGAGTGCATGATGTGGAAAGGACCCCTGTGAACACAGCAATCACTTCACCTTCTCAGGTGGTCAGAATTTGCACGTTTGTGCTGTGTGTAGACACCAACATTCCTGGTTAGACAACTAGAGGCATATATCAAAAGTGACTGTAACATCTGCAGGTGCACTGCCCGCCATCAGGGCAGTGGTGTGGCAGCTGCGGGCAGGGACAGACATTGGGACTCGCTGAAGTGACTGTTCAGCTTCTTATTTGAATTGCCTGCGGAGCCTGAAGAAAGAATTACCGAATACTCTCATGGTGAAAAATAAGAGGATCGAACCAGAGCATCTCAGGAGAGGAAAAGGACGTGGCTTCTACTGATAACGAGGCTCTGACACTGCGTGGAACCAGGAGGCATGGTTACTCTACCAACTGTTAAGTCAGGGTTCGCCTTCTAAATACCATGCCATTCAAAGGCAAAGGGAACAGCTGGGATGTCCGAAATGGCAGGGTGGGGCCTTAAACTGGAGTGAAATACACTTATAAGGCAAAGATATCAACTCCCCGGTTCCCATGGCAGACCCACAAGGTCACAGAGGAAATATTCAAGGAGGGCACTGGGGTACAAAGATGAGACACAGCCATTTAATACAAAGAATTAGAGCATGTTAATGTGTATCATACGGTACTTAAAAATAGGGAAAATTTTAATTAAAAAATGATTGTTTTGTTTTGCTTAATTTTACTATATAGTTTTATATTTATTACAATATAATTAATATATTTTTGTTGATTTAAACTACGTAATTTTGTAACATTTTGTTTGTATTGCTGAGCGGTAGTGGTGCACGCCTTTAATACCAGCACTCAGGTGGCAGAGGCAGGCGGATCTCTGTGAGTTCGAGGCCAGCCTGGTCTACAGAGTGAGTTCCAGGACAGGCACCAAAACTATACAGGGAAACCCTGTCTCGAAAAAAAAAATTTTTTTGTTTGTGTTATATGGGCGAGGGGAAAACCTACTCAAAATATGTTTCACAGGAGGTAGGTGTGGGAGAACATTGGAAGTTCTCTCACTAATTACTGCAACTGCTCCCTCTCTCGAACACCTCCACACACAGCTGTGGACCTCCATGAATCAGCTCAGTGCTGGGGACTAACTCATCCTCACCTAGAGCAACACACCCCATTTTCAGATAATGATCATGTTGGAACGCCCCTCCCTGTTGATTAGTACTGGGGTATTAGTGTCAGAACACCCCTCCCTGTTGATTAGTACTGGGGTATTAGTGTCAGAACACCCCTCCCTGTTGATTAGTACTGGGGTATTAGTGTCAGAACGCCCCTCCCTGCTGATTAGTACTGGGGTATTAGTGTCAGAACGCCCCTCCCTGTTGATTAGTACTGGGGTATTAGTGTCAGAACGCCCCTCCCTGTTGATTAGTACTGGGGTATTAGTGTCGGAACGCCCCCCCTGTTGATTAGTACTGGGGTATTAGTGTCGGAACGCCCCTCCCTGTTGATTAGTACTGGGGTATTAGTGTCGGAACGCCCCTCCCTGCTGATTAGTACTGGGGTATTAGTGTCGGAACGCCCCTCCCTGCTGATTAGTACTGGGGTATTAGTGTCGGAACGCCCCTCCCTGTTGATTAGTACTGGGGTATTAGTGTCGGAACGCCCCTCCCTGTTGATTAGTACTGGGGTATTAGTGTCGGAACGCTCCCCCCTGTTGATTAGTACTGGGGTATTAGTGTCGGAACGCTCCCCCCTGTTGATTAGTACTGGGGTATTAGTGTCGGAACGCTCCCCCCTGTTGATTAGTACTGGGGTATTAGTGTCGGAACGCCCCCCCCCCTGCTGATTAGTACTGGGGTATTAGTGTCGGAACGCCCCTCCCTGCTGATTAGTGCTAGGGTATTAGTGTCGGAACGCCCCTCCCTGTTGATTAGTACTAGGGTATTAGTGTCGGAACGCCCCTCCCTGCTGATTAGTACTAGGGTATTAGTGTCAGAACGCTCCTCCCTGTTGATTAGTACTGGGGTATTAGTGTCAGAACGCTCCTCCCTGCTGATTAGTACTAGGGTATTAGTGCCAGAACGCTCCCCCCTGTTGATTAGTACTAGGGTATTAGTGTCGGAACGTTCGTATTGATTCTTGTAAAAACTGTAGAAACATTTTCCAAAGCATCGTGTCACCCTGACATACAGACAGACAGAGCTCAGTCTTAAAAGGTGGCGAGAACACATAATGAAGTGTATTTGAAATGCTCTAAACACATAACAATTGAAAATATACAGCATACATGGTACTTTCAGCCATGAAAGCGAAGGGCTTGGCCATGCTGCCTCCACATTTCTCTGAGTGCTTTAATTTAGAGGAGAGGAGACTATTACATATTTATTCAAAGACTAAGGTAGCTTTGCTTTTGGTTTTGAGACAGGAACTGTCAACTTTTTGGGTTGGTCCGTCTCACCATGTAGCTCAGGCTGGCCTGCATGAGCGCCTCCTGCCTCCGTCTCCTGAGTGTGTTCAGACATCACCACCATTTACCAACTAGCTCCATGTTTCAGGCCACACACCGAGCCCTTCCCACCCCTTCCGCTGCTCCTCCTAAGAATCCTATGAAGGAGGCACCATTTCCGTCCGTTTGTGCCCAAGAGGAGGGGGACGCTTACGTGATTGCTAAATCATGTGTCTAATAATCGGTCACACTGACATTGAGCCAAGGCAGCATGGCTTCAAAAGTCATGATTTTAACCGCTACAACATCATTTCTTTTACATAAAAGCATCTTGTTGAAAGTTTTTCCCTGTTTCCTTTTGAGGGACTATAGATTCTAATTCTTTTTTTTTTTTTTTTTTTTTTTTTTTTTTTGGTTTTTCGAGACAGGGTTTCTCTGTGTAGCTTTGCGCCTTTTCCTGGAACTCACTTGGTAGCCCAGGCTGGCCTCGAACTCACAGAGATCTGCCTGGCTCTGCCTCCCGAGTGCTGGGATTAAAGGCGTGCGCCACCACTGCCTGGCAGATACTAATTCTTAAAGAGAAAAATGAAAATGAGTGAAAACACCAATATATCTCTGTCAGCTGGCCTGGGCTTACAGACACAGGCCATGTAGGGAGGAGAAGCCACAGCAAGCAGAGCGTGCTCTGTGCACACCTCACGGCCTGCAGGAACAGGGCTTTGGCAGTGGGGGAGGAAAGAGGGCAAAAGGTGACATTAGGCACATCTGTTAGGCACATCTGTGAGCCCAGCTCCTCCTTCCCGCACATTCCCTCAGGAACAGGACTGACCATCAGTGAGGCTCCGTAATAATGTGCAACAAACCGAAGCGTCTTGCATATCACCTTTCTCTTCTCAGGATCAAAGTCCTGGAGAAAAAAAAATTATTAAAAGGAAAAAATAAGCCGAGAGATCTCAACAGTTCACTTGGGCAGACACACGTTATTTATTTTTAAACCCCCCACCCTGAGGAGTTGGGCGCGGTCACCTCCACGTTCCTGTCTACAGAGACCGAACAAGGCTGCAGCCCGCTACTGCCAGAGCTATCAGATCCGCTTAAACGCTCGGCTTAAGGGAATCCAGATATAAGCACACATTTTATCCTGAGGAATACCCGAAGGATTCTCTGACAAGCCAAGATAAGAAGAAATTAATTTCCTACTTTCTTCAATTTAAAGTTGGGAAGTAAATCTTATCCCTCAGCGGCTGAAGATTCGTTTCCTAAGTCTTCTGCCTCGTCCCTGTTCTAACCATTGTACTCTCTTTCCTCACTTCTTTGGGACATCCTTGCTCTATCTCCCTTTCTAAAATCCTTAAGATGGCTGTCTCTGAGCCTGTCCCTTCCAGAGTTACAGTTCTTATTTCATCATTTTTATTCCTCCCCACAAAGCATAGCCATACATGTCCAACGAAGAGCTGCAAAGGGAGCACCTACCTGAAAAATATCATATTTACTTCCGATTATGACCAGGGGTATTGGAAACGGGTCAATTAACTCACGATCCTGTTAATAAATATACTTGGTTGATTACAATTGTTTATTGCTATGCCCTCAGGAATTTATATTTACTTAAAAAACCACCATTTCTGGTCTCTTCATATTCTCTGTCATAGAGTTTGTTACTATATTTACTTTCACTTCCTGCTGTATTTTAAGTGTGAAGCCAGAAACAGCAAGTCCCTCAACACCATGGTTCATTCATTTCCCTGTTCTGTTGTTCTGTTTTCTTCCTCTCTCCCTCCCTCCCTCCCTCCCTCCCTCCCTCCCTCCCTCCCTCCCTCCCTCCCTCCCTCCCTCTCTCTCTCTCTCTCTCTCTCTCTCTCTTCAAGACAGTGTTTCTCTGTGTAGCTCTGGCTGTCCTGGAACTCACTTTGTAGCCCAGGCTGGCCTCGAGCTCAGCGCTCTACCTGCCTCTGCCTCCTGAGTGCTGGGATCGGAGGTGTGTGCCACCGTCGCCTGGCTATAGTTCTGTTTTCTTTCACTGTACATCATCTGTATGGAGTTTCTAGTGTATGTTAATTGTTTGCTGTTTGGCTTCGTTCTGATCTGATACTATGTTAGACACATGCACACAATGGACACCATGAAACGCTTCTCTTAGTTTTCTAGATGACAACATTTCAGGCTGCATTTAAATAACTTGTGTTGCATCGCAGCAAGTTTATAATTTAAACAGCTTTTAGATGACGGGGAGAGCATCGTGACATGTGACAGACATTAAATGAATGTAGGACACACAGTGCTGGGCAAGGTTGGGGAAACTCGGCTCCCGCTTCAATCTGCAGCTTCAGCCGCTCTGCACCAGTCCATCTGCATGCTCACCTCCATCTTACCGAGATTATAAAATCAATATCAAAACTCTACTTTAAAACTCCATTTCTTTTGAGTGGTATGATATACCACAATAATCACAGGGGATGTCTAACAAGAAGACATAGCCATCTTTGCCTTGTTTTGCTCTTACTGAGGTTTGATGAAATTGCTATAATTTTCCGGTGAGCAGGTTCATCTACATCCAACAAATTTTAAGTCATGCAGAAAACTGAGGATGCTGTGCTGCGACGCTGTCTCGACTCAGTGTGGGGCAGACGCCAGGAGAAAGCAATAGCAACTCACCGGATGGTCCTTCTGCATGATGCTCCACATCTTCTGCCTCATCTCCGAGGCTGCTTTGGAATTTATCTTCCCCAGCTTCATTATCACTTTGTCTACGTGGCTTTTTGTGGCTTGCAACAGATTTTCCATGGTGGGCCAGAGATCATTAGGTTTGGATAGATCCAGGACAAGAACAATAGAGAATGTCCTACAGAGATGACAACAGCTTTAAACAAGATTCCCAACAGTGGCTGTTTTGAGGCATGAATGTACTGACATTTATCTAAAGTAGTTTAAGAAAAACCCAGCATATCATCATTCTAAGAGGGGGGTGAGAGCGAGAACTCAGAGTCGAAGCTGTATGTATGTGGGTGTTCTTCCCCCCGGAGCTCAGTATCACACAGAAACAAACCAGTTCAGACAGAGGGGCTGAAAGCACATGGGTCCAACAACGCCAAGTTTAGACCTAATCTCACCTCGCGCTCCAGAAGAGGGGCCAGAATCTGCCAAGGACAGCAGCAACACAACATGGAGGAGACGGACGACTGACGAGCCTCGCTGGGAGCCCTTTCTGAGGGCCCTCCCTAGAAGATGTGGTGACGCCCATACTATGGATCTGAGTTTAGAAGTTCGTATTTATACAACCAGCAGTCTGAAGAACTGCCTGTAAGTGAAGCTGTACGTCTTCCAGCCCTGCTTCTCTGAAAGCACAGCCCTGACTAGCAGAGGACACTGCTGTCACCACAGGCAGAGGACTCCATCCCTACACATTAAACACGAATCTAAACAACAACGAAATAATCTACTTAAACATTCATTCAAATAACTCCAAAGAGATGTGCTCTTGGCAGAGAAGCACACGAAAAGATGCTTAAGGACTGGAGAGATGATCGGTTCAGCAGTTAAAGCATGGCTGTTCTCCCAGAAAATGAAAGTTCAATCCCCACACCCAAAGGGTGGCTCAGATCCATCTATGACTCTAGTTCTGGAGTGGGGTTGGTGGGTGGGTTTGGAGGGTGGTGGTGGGGTGTGGCACCCCTGCTGTCCTCTGTAGGCACTGCATGCCTGTGGTGCACAGATCCACATGCATGTGTGTGTATATGCATGTTTGTGTGACACCCCCTGCTGGCCTCTGTGGGCACTGCATGCCTATGGTGCACAGATCCACATACATGCAGGCAAAATACCCATACATATAAAATTTTTAAAAATTAAAAAATGCTCACCACCATTAATTATGGGGAAAGTGCAAAACAAACCCCCAGCGATAGGATAATCACAGCCATTAGGGTAGCTGTTACCAAAGAAAAGAAGACAGGAAGTGCTCCTGAGAACACAGAAGTATTCGAACTCTGTAACACAGGTAAGAAAACAAAATGGTGTAGCCGCTGCGGAAAACAGCGTGGCAGTTCCTAAAACAATCAGAAAGAGTCACCACATGATTCAGCAATTCTATTTCCAGGTCTATGCTCCAAGTTCTGAAGAAGCTAAACTTGTTTGTTGTTGTTGTTTGTTTGTTTTTTGAGACAGGGACTCATCTTGTAGCCCTGGCTGTCCTCGAACTTATTTTATAGCCAAGGATGGCCTTGAACACACTGTGATCTGCATGCCTTGGCCCCAGGCTGCTGGGATTACAGGCATGAGGCACTATGCCCAGGAGAAAGCTATGACTGAGTAAGTGTGTGTGTATCAGTGTTCATGGCAACCCCCAAATGCCTGTGGACAGGTCAACAGAAGGACAAACTGTAGTATATACATACACAGATGAGGTATTGCTCACTTTTACAAAGGAAGAAAGCTTGAGACATGCTCCAGTGCGAACCTTGAGACATTATGCTAAGTTAAACTACAAAAAGACAAATACTAGATGACCTCATGACAGAAGGTACCATCGAGTCAAACTGCTGAGAGCCTGCAGGAACTTCACTGCAGAAGGACAGAAGTCCCTAGTACTAAATGTGGTGGCATTGGTTGTAGGACAGTGGAAATACACTTAATGCCACAGAATAACTCGTTTATAAATAACGTCAGTGGTGAATTTTAGGTTCTGTATATTTTATCAACTGAAAAACAAATATATATAAACCTAGGAATGCTTTAGAATATGGTAATAATCTGTACACAGACATTTAATCATGGCCACATATTGGTTTTTTTTTTTTTTTTTTTGAGGCAGGGTTTCTCTGTGTAGACCTAACAGTCCTGGAACTAGCTCTGCTTGCCTCTGCCTCTAGAGTCCTGCTCCATCACACCAAGCTCACAGACAACATTCTTTTCTTTCTTTTTTTTTTTTTTTTTTTTTTTTTCCCGAGACAGGGTTTTTCTGTGTAGCTTTGAGCCTGTCCTGGAACTCACTCTGTAGCCCAGGCTGGCCTCGAACTCACAGAGATCTGCCTGCCTCTGTCTGCTGAGTGCTGGGATTAAAGGTGTGTGCCACCCGCCCACCCGCCCGCCCCCCACCCCCACCCCGCCCACGCCACAGTCAACATTCTTATTCAACAGACAAATACTCTGCTAGGAAACAAGATGATGCTATTTAGTTATTTTGTGTGAGTCAGTCCAACCAGCTGTTCGGTGTAATTCATACCAAACAGTATACAAAGTCTATGCCTGTGGTCTCAATTAGAAAGGAATCATTTAGACATTAATTATGAGCCATAGCTGTAAAATTATTGTCCAGACAAACATTTCCACGTCACCTTACTAAGCTTATAAACATTCGGCTTCACTATAGACTCATATAATAAACATGTAGTAGTAAAGAAACTAATTTTACTTTATACTTTAATAGATTATACTTTGTTTTATAGTTGTATTTTTTTAAAGACCTATGCAACCTTTTTACTATGGTCAAATACATACAACATAAAAATCATTTTTGTCATTAAAAACAGGCAAAAGAGAAATGGATTACCCAACTTTTCCTACTAATAAATGTTTTGCTTCTAGTACTTATGTTGCTCTGTACTTTCTTTATGGCAAATGTTAGCTAAGAAAACAGCTTAAAAAATTCTTCAAGTGGGATCAGACCACAGGAAATGTTCTATTGCAAATTATCTAAAGCCTGTGGAAACACTCAGTTCTATGGACATTTAAAGGAAAACAATATCGCATTGCATGTGTCAATATATCAGTTTCTCAATTTGCTGGTTTTGCTCAATACAAGGAAATTATGTGTAAACTAATTCCAGTTTTAAAATTCTCCATGATTAGCAACTACATGAAGTGAAATCCTCTGCAACCCCAATTCTTTGACGACCCAGCAGCTGACTTTGCACCCAGACTTGGGCCTATGATGCTCTTTCCTATTCGTTACAACTGGGATCCTTCCCATCTCCCAAAGCTGGCTCCAGCTGCCCTAGAGCCCAGGGACAGGAAGACTGAGACCTCACACAGTGAGAAGCATGTTAAGATTTCACTTCCTTTAGAACCCCGAATTTCCACGAGCCTGTCTGGCCCGAACAGTCTCAGATTAAATAAAGAGGAGTGAGGTCACATAGGAGTCAGGGGTCAGGGCCAGGACAGGAGCCCGCCTCTGGCTACACGGTGGGCAGAGGGTTCCTTAGCTCCTCCCCACTCTCACCTCTTCTCAATTGTCAACCATAAATCATGCTAATTCCCAGCAAGCTTTGCTTGTCTCCACTAAAGAAAGTCAATCTGGGCAGTGGTGGCGCACACCTTTAATCCCAGCACCTGGGAGGCAGATGCAGGCAAATCTCTGTGAGTTCAAGGCCAGCTTGGTCTACAGAGAGAGTTTCAGGACAACCAAGGCTACATAAAGAAACCCTATCTTGAAAAACTAATAAAAAAAAGAAAGAAAGAAAGAAAGTCAAATGTAAAAGTATGTAGCTGTGAAGTTCCTTAAAAAAAAAAAAGCTAATGTCACAGTGAAAAGATGATTATAAGCAGAAACATAGGCCCTACATGTATATATAAAACTGGACATCTTGGGGCTGGAGAGCTGGCTCAGAGGTTAAGAGCACTGACTGCTCTTCCAGAGGTCCTGAGTTCAGTTCCCAGCAACCACATGGTGGCTCACGACCATCTGTAATGAGATCTGGTGCCCTCTTCTGGCCTGCAGTCATACATGCTGTATACATAATAAATAAATAAATAAATCTTTAAAAAAAAAACAAAACAAAACTGGACATCTTGCCACCAAATGAAGCTTCCAGTACTGGGAACAGGGTACATCTAATTGACTTGTTGGCCAAAGGAGTCCCACGGGAATCCCCAAACAACCTAGGCTGTTGCCAAGACAATAGATTGCTCTTCACAAACTGACAGCAAGGCTATGTTGCTGAAGACAACATCTACACAACTCACTGAAGACGGAGAAACCAAGCTGGTGCCTACATAGAGCCTTCACCCCTATGGGCTAGCATCTTTGGCTCAAGAAAGTACTGTGCACACTACCAAAGGAGAAACGTGAACATCAAGTCAGCTACAGACCCTTCTACTTATAATGCTGTCCTGACTGTAAGACGTGTGAGGGCAACGGTGGCACAAAGCTTGTGGGAGTCACCAACCACATCTGACTTGACAGAAGGCCACTTCAGGGGACGAAACTCACACCTGACACTGTTTTGGTGACCAAGAACATCAGACTATCCTAGCCCAAGGACCATGATAAAACCAAATACTACTGTTGTACTAAAAGAAAGCAGCAATAAAAATGACTTCTAATGACACTCTGCTACATTCATATCATAGATCAGTGCCTTGCTCAGCCATCATCAGAGAAGCTTCCTCCTGCAGCAGATGGGAACAAATACAGAGACCCACAGCCAGACATTATGCATGGAGCAAGAGACCTTGGAACACTCATCTCTAAACAGGCTGTCTCCATCAAATCCCTCCCCTCAAGGCTCAGGGAACCCTGCAGAAGAGGAGGCAGAAAGCGTGTAAGAGCCGGAGGGGATGGAGGATACCAAGGAAACAAGGCCCTCTAAATCAACAAGATCTGCACACACAGGAACTCAGAGACTGAGGCAGCATGCACAGGGCCTGCATTTGTCTGCATCAGATGGGATCCTAGAGCTGAAAGAAGTGGACACAAACCCCATCCCCAACCCAGAATCTATCTCCAATTGATAACCACTTGTAAATGAAAGTTGAGTTTTCTCTAAGGGAGTCTACAATTGCTGTTCTTGGTTGTTAATTTGACTATAACTGGAATTATCTAAAATCAAGTGGCTGGATATATTCGTGAGAGATTTTTGTCTTAATTAATTGAATCATTTGAAGTGGGAAGACCCACTTTTGGTCCAGATCTTCTGAGGTGGGAGGATCCACCTTTAATCTGGCTGTTCCTTCTGCTGGCAGCCTGGATAAAGGACATGGAAGAAGGAAGTAGCTCTCTCTTTGCATGCTTGCTCTAGCTCTTGCTGACAAGTCCAGTCCTTCACTGGCATTAGAGCCTACTTCTTCCGGGTTCCAGTGTATCCTGAAGACCAGCCGAGACATCAAGCTTTGTGCACTGAACAACTACTGGATTCTTGGACCTTTCATTGGTAAATAGTCATTGTTGGAATAGCTGGACCACAGCCTGTATGCCATTTGAATAAATCACCTTTCTCTCTACACATAGATTCATTCTATCCGTTCTGTCCCTCTAGAGAACGCTGACAACACAGAGTCTCACTGGAGAAACAAACTACTTTTAAGGGTAGACTACACACGCAGCAGTAGACGGCCAAGAGAAAACAAAGAGAACGGCATCATTGGAGGTTCTCTGTCTCATGATGCTGTGTCAGAGCTTTTATTTATTTATTTATTTATTTATTTATTTATTTATTTATTTATTTATTTATCTATCTATCTATCTATCTATCTATCTATCTATCTATTTATCTATCTATCTATCTATTTATCTATCTATCTATCTATCTATCTATCTATCTATCTATTTATTTTATCTCTTAAGATATTTTTAATTTATTTTGTGTGTGTGTGCGTGCGTGTGTGTGTGTCTCCCTTTTTACCTTAATTTGTGTACGTATTATGGCTTCCAGTTTCGTGTTTTTATGGGATTCCTGGCGGCTCTCCGTGTCTCTGTTTCTTGTGTCTTTTCTTGAACTCTTTCCTTCTGTTTGTTTGTGATGTCCTATTCTGATGTGTCAGTTTTTGTTTTGTATTATTATTATTTTTTAATTATTATTCCTTAGAAGCCTGCTTATTTTCTGCTAAGGAACAGAAAACAGGTGAATCTAGATGGAGGGGAAGGTAGGGAGGAAGTGAGGGGGGTAGACAAAGGGAAACCCTAATTGGACTATACTCTATGAGAAAAAAGTCTATTTTCAATAAAAGGAAAAACAAAACCCAATGGCACTGCAGAGTTGTCTACAGAAGGCTGGGAGACCCAGGTCTCCACCTGTGACTCTAGGTACTCTTCATATCAAGTGTCCTGTGTAAGCACAGTCACTTTTGTGTCTGGGCAGATGGCTCAGTTGGTGAGGTGCATACCAAGAAAGCCTGAGGACTGGAAGTTCAGATCCCCAGCACCCGTTTAAATCCTGTGCCCAGGGCATGCACCTGTAATCCCGGTGCTGGGAAGGCACAGACGGGAGAGTCTCTGAGGCTCACTGGCTAACCCAGCTACTAGGGATGAGCTCCAGGTTCAGCAAGAGACCCTATCTCAAAAGTATTAAATACGGTGAAGGATAATGAAGACACCCCATAGTGACCTTTGGCTTCCTTGTACTCACAGGCACATACATATGAACACGTGTATGCACACACACACACACACACACACACACACACACACACACACACACACACAGAGAGAGAGAGAGAGAGAGAGAGAGAGAGAGAGAGAGAGAGAGAGTGCAATAATAGTTCATGCTTGCTTTTAATCCCAGGACTCGGAGGGCAAAGCTGGGTGGACCTCTGTGAGATTGAAGCTACCTGGGGCTACACTGCCAGACCCTGTCTCAAAATAAAAGAGAATAAGTTACATATTACTAAAAAGAAGAAATCACTGGATAAATTAAGCCAGCCTGACCTGTATCCAGCCAGCTCTGGAAAAGCAATTGTCCTGGAAAGAAGACCCATCTCTAAGGCTCTGCATGCTTGAAATGTACCAAATGATACCTGGTCCTTGAATTTGGCTCAGCAACAGCGATGGTTTGGATTAATCACGGACAAGAAAGATACTTCATATTTAATTGTTTTTCTTGGCTAAGATCAGTTCCCAGTAACTCAGAAAGGTCACAAGTTTCCACATCTGATATGGCCAATATGTGGGAGTGTCTGTGGATTTGGGGTGGACCCCTTGGTTTTGGTTCTAAAAAGCCAGTAGAGAGAACAACAACAAAAAGCCAGGCGGTGGTGGCCACACCTTTGGTCCCAGCACTCGGGAGGCAGAGGCAGGCAGATCTCTGAGTTCGAGGCCAGCCTGGTCTACAGAGTGAGTTCCAGGACAGCCAGGGCTACACAAAGAAACCCTGTCTCCAAAATCAAAACAAGATAAACAAACAAACAAACAAAAAAGCCAGTAGAGAGATCTCTCCTCTCCAACAGTCTTCCTTTGGACGAAGCTTAATAATATTACTGTGCATTCAATTCCATGAGAGACTGACCCCAGCCAGATGAAGAAAGATCCCAGAGCTGAGTTAACTTCCACTAAGAGCAGAAAGAATGATGCTTTTCATATTTAGTTTTGAAAATGAACTCATCACCCAAATACTATTTGACATGCTTTCCCTGCTAGCAGGCTTGTAAAGTACGTAGCTGGCAGGAATGTATCTCACTCGGCTTTAGCTGGAACCCTGGGTCTCTCAAGACTTCTCTGGACGCAATGCTCTAAGCTCATAGAAAGGAGGGGCTGGAAACCTCCAGATGACAGAAAACAGTCTCCAAAATGTTGACTCGGGAAGGCCTGTGAGCATGCATCCACGGAAGGCCTGTGAACTTCCACTCACCTCAACGAATCACACGTGATTGGTATGCTTATTAGGTCCAATAAGGAGGTTCCTCCACCCAGCTCCCAAAAGTGAGCAATGTCTTTTGGCTGAAAGAAAATAGAGGGTTTAAAAAATATTCAATTTCAAACTTTTGAGTGGTTTTTCTATTAGCACCTATCAGTAATAATTATAGAAACAAAATATTCACTCACCCCTTGACTAATCCTTTCTTTTTACTTGAAACTTTTGCCTTCCTTTATTCCATACCTCGAAATGCATCAAATGCATTCTATGAGCAAAGGTGAGCCGTCAGGAATAAATGTTTTCTCCTCCCAACTTTATAAATATTAATACACATGAAATAGATACTTAAGTAAAATTTAAGCATAACTAATCAGTTTAACACACTTGGGATTCTAGATAAACATACAGCAGTGGAATAGAACATTATGATTTAGAAATACAGATGCTCACAAATGAACAAGTTGTACAGGTAAGACCTGAGAAATGGGGACACAGCAGATACAGTCTAGGCCCGAGGAACATGACAGGCTGCCATTGGTAATGACAAGCGTGGGCAGGAGACTGGGATAAAGCTAGCCATGCTTTTCAGTTTGGAGAACCCTGTAGCTAAGAGGGGCCTGACAGGGCCAGGCAGCCGTGTGGTTTGGAACAGTCTGACTGAGAGCAGCGCCCGGGACTGTTCGATGGGGCCTTTCTCCTGCTGTCAACTTTTGGGCTGATGCTCAAGCGTCTTTGTCTGTACAGGGAGCTGACAGAGTGCTTCCATCTAGAACTCATAACGAAGCCTTTAACCCGACAAAGTGTGAAACTTTGGGAATAAATATAGAAAATCCCCGTGCCATGGCCCAGTTAGAGGAAAAGCAGGTGACAACCAGTCACGTGGGTTCTCACGTACCTGCTATCACGAACTAGAACGGGCAGAAGGTAGTCAAGCAAGTTTTAGATGAACATACCCTATTTTCCTTTCAGGGGATAAATTCTTAGAATCTCTAAAATCACTTTCCTGTTGTTGATACTTGAATCACTAATGTTTGTGGAATGAATCATGCTTCACTGGAAAATCTTTCTGGCTTCACAATGTGACAAAGGGGGCTTTTACAGCCCTTCTCGAAAGTCAAGCTTCTGAGAGCTCCTTCAAGTTTCCCATAAAAAGGCTAACTCACACTATACACCATGTGAATCATAAAAACGAAACTCTTCTGCATCTCAGTATGTTTTCTTTGCTTTTTAATTTCTTAGTTTTAATAACCGACTTTCATTGGTGGATCCAGGAAGCAATAATAGGCAGTTTCAATTCCTGACACATTTGTATCTGTCATATAATTCTCTCTCTCTCTCTCTCTCTCTCTCTCTCTCTCTCTCTCTCTCTCTCTATCTCTCTCTCTCTCTCTCTCCCTGTTTTTCTTTTTTGAGACAGGGTCTCACTATGCAGTCCTGGCTGGACTGGAACTTGCTACACAGACGCGGCTGACTTTGAACTCACAAAGATCCACGTGCTTCCACTTCCTGAGTACCGGGGCCATGGGTATGTGCTACCATGCTTGGCCACACAATTCTTTAATACACGGTCTAATGAGCAAACATTTGAACTAGATCATTTCTACACAAATGTGCCTCTGTGTAGGAACAGTAGGACCTTCTGTTCTACACCGTTCTTCCACACACCTAAGTTTAAGAAATGACCCCCTTTTGCTATGAGAGTTCCAAAAGCAATTCTACTTAGGAATTTCTGTCCCACCAGTTTACTACTCTATGCTGAACAGTTTCTGAACAGACACTAAAACAGGTGAGAACGGGATTAGCCTCTAGGCCTGTGGTCTCCAACAGTACTATCAACGTTTAGATTATTTCCCCTCCTAAAATGCTATGGACTGAATTCAGGGACTACAGAATGCTAGTCAAATCCTCTAACACTGAGCTACATTCCCAATGCTATGTTTTTTAAAAAACACTAGCAATTTAGATTTTGAACAGTATATTTTCCCAAATATTCCACAGTTCAAGCCCCCTATTTTTAGAAGATTTTTAGAGAAATCAAAAGTAACTCCTAAAATTGATATGGTGATTCATCCACACCTGTAATACCAGCCCCCAGGAGGTTTAAGGCAGCAGAATTGTGAGTTCAAGGCCATTCAGGAGTGAACAGAGAGTGCCAGATATAAGAAGAACCTGTCTTCGAAATGCAACAGAACCATCAGGGGGCTGGAGAGAAGGCTTAGTGATTAAAAAGTGCTTGTTGCTCTGCAGAGAACCCAGTTGTTTCCAGCAACAGCATCAGGCAGCCCTCAACTGCCTATCACTCCAGCTCTAGGCAACCCAATGCCCTCTTCCAGTTTCTGTGGGCACCTGACTCATGTGCAAATAAACCCACTCGAAGATACACATGCAAACACATAATTAAAAAAAAAACACCTTAGAGTTACCATATAGTGTGTGTGTGTGTAGGAGGCAAATTCCACTAGAGATCATATGTGACCAAGTAAAACCTCCAATGCCTGGAAAGGGTTACTTTGTGTTGAGGTGTTGGCCAAAGGGGTCCCATGACCTCCCCAACACCTCTCAAGCATCAAAGGCGATTGCCAACGCTATTGTCTACTGGATGGATGGAAAGGCCCTATTGCCGAAGACACCACTTACTCATGTCATTGAACATGGAGAAGTTGAGCCCCCGCACAACTATCAACTCCATGTCTACTGATGAGCATTCATAGTGCTGGGAGGTACTTTGCATGCCACCAGAGGAGAAGAGAAATCATTAATACCGCCCAGCTATAAACTCTGCAACAGTGACCTGCCTGCAAGATAGACTGGTGCAAAACTGGTACCAAAGTTACGGGAGCAACCAAGCACTTTTTGATTGGATTTAAGACCCATTCCATGTGATGGAACCCCATCTGACACTGTTAATGAGGCCAAGAACCTGAGACTAGACAGGTCATGGGCTTAGAGGAAAACCTACTATTCTTCTTCTAAATGAACATAGCAATAAAATGACTCCTAATGACATATTGCTATGCCTGAGTATCAGTGCATTGCTCAAATCTCATCAGAGAAGCTTCTTCTGGCAGGAGATGGTGATTAACACAGAGACCCACAGCTGGACAATGTGCAGACAGTAAGAGACCTTGGGGCACTCAGCCCTAAATGGATCAAATCCCTCCTGTCAAGGCTCAGGGATCTTTGTGGAAGGGCGAGGCAGGGGAGGGGGAAAGATGGTTAAGAGTCAGAGGTGGTGAATGACCCCATGGAAAAAACGTCTTCCATACACAACAGGGCTGATACACACATATAAACTCACAGAGACTGTGATAGAATGCACAAGGACTAGTCTAGATAAAATCCCGGCATGGAGAAGGGGAAGCAGGCACCAAGTTCCTGACCAAGAAACTATTTGGAATTGATAGCTGCTGGGAGAGGGGAAATCAGTTTTCCCCAGTAGGGAAAATTGGGTATTATCAACCACACTCCGAAGGCAGGCCTCGTGTTCAGGAGTAACCTGTTGACAGATACAAAATGATCCAAAGCTTTTCCTTTCTGTGTGCCTTTTCTTGTTATTATTTGGTGTTTTTTCTTCTTTCCTTTGCTTTCTTTTGTTTGCTTGGATTCCCCACCCCCTTTCGAGAGAGAAGAATATAAAGGCGGTGAGTAGAGAGGTAGAAAGGATAGGGAGGACTTGGAGGAGCGGGAATATTCAAAATATATTGTACGACAAATCTAAAGAAGAATTAAAAATTACAAAAATGGAGAGACAGTAATAATGCTATTTTCATTTGAAAGACAGAAAAAGTCTCATCTATAGAATTACGATAAGTAGGCAAAGAACCCTATACCATTAAGTTACAAAGAAATCTTATTTCATGCCGAGCCTGGTGTCACATGCTTTTCATTCCAACAATACCCAGAAGGCAAAGACAGGAGGATTGCAAATCTGGAATACAAAATGAGTTTCAGGTCAGCCTGAGATACATAAGATCTAGTCTTAAAACACAAAACCACGTGGTGCACGCCTTTAATCCCAGCACTTTGGGAGGCAGAGCCAGACAGATCTCAGTGAGTTCGAGGCCAGCCTGGTCTACAGAGTGAGTTCCAGGACAGCCAGGGCTACACAGAGAAACCTTGTCTCAAAAAACCAAAAAAAAAAAAAAAAAAAAAAGCATAAATACAAAAGTTGCAAATCAACCTTTTCAACACTTTAGGATACAACAGAGAAAGCAAAAATGTTTTCACAGATTCGGCGAGCTTCACATCAGTGGATCCTCATGTGACATTTAACAGCACACGTCTATGACATGCATCATTGGTATGTTTACTGTGTGTAGATAACACAGAGCCATCTCAGCATTAAGGCTTCCCATCGAAGGCATGAGACACTACTTTAAAAAGAACTCACTGTGTTATGCCCCTTCGTTCTTCTTCCATATGTATATTCCAAAGCTAAGGTTGGCTTTGCTGGCTCATCCCTATACAACAAAGGCAGAATTATTTATTATCATGATGGCGGAACTGGTTTCTTATGCTATAGTCCTGCCATTTTTACATCCTCTTAAACACTTTATTAGTAAGGAGGTTACCTTGAATACCAGCACTGAGATAAAGTTAAAATGACGTTATTCCACAAGACCCAAATAAACCCTTCAACACCATCTCAGAGATTTTAGTGGCAGGTGCAGCAGTGAATAATGATGCCTAAATAGCAAGGTACCCCTGCAGGGTGGGAAGTAGCAGGCTGGCAGCATCAAGGGCCGTGCTGGGTCATCAGCTCTCTGAATCCAGGCCGTGGGGAAATGCTGACTTGTTTGCTCAGCCTCGATGTGGGAGCTGAAAACCTAATTCCTGTCAACTAGTAAGGACATCAAGGGAAGACTTTTATGTAGTTTTTTGTTTCAAATCTCAGCCCAAATATGAAAGTTGAAAAAAAATTATATGAACAAGGGCATAAAACCAACAAACAACTTGGAAAATATTCAAATGATTATGAAGTATTCATGCAAGTTTAAATTGTTCAGTAAGCAACTACATGATATACAATCATTTTTAATGTGGTAAGAAATACATGCAGTAAATTTTACTGGTATAACCATTTTAAGTGTGCAGTTCAGGGTTGGGGATTTAGCTTAGTGGTAGAGTGCTTGCCTAGCAAGTGCAAGGCCCTGGGTTTGGTCCTCAGCTCTGGGGAAAAAAGTGTGCAGTTCATAGTATGAAGTATATTCATTCACATTGCTGGGCGATCAATCCTCATGACTCCTCAACCTGTAAAACCACAACTCCATATGCACTAAGAGACTTCCCATGTCCCTTCTGCCCACGCCCTGGCCACTGCCCCTCTCCGTTCAGCTTCTGTGGGACTAACTGCTCTGAGTACCTCATACAAAAGGAAGGGGACAGTTTGTCTATTTTGTGACTAGCTCATTTCACTTAGCATCGTATCTCCAAGTTCACCTACGTTGTAGAATATGACAGAATTTATTTCCTTTTTTATAACTTAAAGATTTACTTATTTTATGTGGATGAGTGAGTGTGGGCCTGCACGCATGTATGTGCACCATGAACATGTCAGGTGCCTGTGGAAGCCAGAAAGAGCTGGATTCCTTGGAGTCACAGACAGCTGTGAGCCACCATGTGGGTGCCAGGAACCAACCCTGGGTTCTCTGCAAGAGCAGCAAGTGCTGTTCAGTGCTGGATTTCTTTCCTTTTTGAGGCTGAATAATATTGTATTTAGTTTTAACTTGAAGAACAAAAACCACAAGTTTAAAACTTGTGATTTGTATATTTCTATGTGTTGAATATTTTGAACTTTATTTTGGCAGATATCAATTCCCAAGATATATACCAAATACTATTTGAATATATTTCCTTAAAGATATAACTCTTTTAGGAAGCAAGATGCTTCCCCGAAGATAAAATGTCTAACACAGTTAACCCACAATTTGAAAAATCATCCTCTACCTGGGTCTACTACCAGAGAGCTGAAATGAACAATTTTAATTCACTGTTGCAGTTTATAACACTTTATCTTAAACTAATGTTACATTGAACGATTTATTATAAAAACCATCTGTTACAGTCATACAGGCATAGATTAGAATTAAAATACCAAAGCAAGATAGCCCAGAACAACATCAGCACCATTAGAGGCTGGGCAATTGTGGTAACATTTCTCCTTCAAACAGGAAACCTAGTATCAACCCCACATTTTTTTGGTTTTTCTTAGTCTTATACTTAAAGGTGCTCTTAAAGGTTGTATTCAAGATTGAGAATATCTTTAAAGGTTGTAGTCAAGATTGAGAATTAAATATTTTGAATCTCAAGATTATTCTCCTTCCATACCTTTTGGGGCTAACTTGCTCTGTTGTAGCTGAAATAGGCATGAATGCTGTCTAATAAAGGTTGACATAACCCTTACCTGTCAAGACACCTTAGAATAATCGTAGTCTTTCCCTAGAAATTAAAAAGAAAGAATATTGTGTTAATGTCACCCACATGTAAAATTTTATTAGTGTTCGTGACTGTAGCCCAAAATAGCTTTTTTAATCATTTGAGTGATAAATTACCTGGAAACTAAAAACTAGGAACTTTCAGAATTACTTGAAAGTTTGATAAGTGGAAAAGTGAACTGTCAACTTTCCATCACAATGTAACTACACTGCTATTAGTGTAATTATGAAGTCCCCCAGACGACAAATCTTAGCTAATCACAGCTCACCTTAGTGGTCACCTGACAGCCGTCTTCGACTGTCTCTCTACTCAGCAACGCTAATTACCGGCTAGGCTGATTGGTGTGTTCGAAAATGTTTCCCTCCCAACTGTTCAAGTGGAAACAAAGGAAAAAGATAACACACAAATAAAAGATGTGCTGTAGACAGGCTCAAAGCCGACAGCTCAGCACTCTGCTGAAGTACTTTCTTTTAATTCTAGAGGATGTATTCATCCCAACTTCCTTCTTAGGAGTCAAGAAATCAAGGCTCTAGCCACGACACGACACTTAACCCACATCCTACCCAGAGACGGGTTCAGTGAAGATGACTGAATGACTCCTTGCAAAGAAGGATGTGGAAGGCATGGCGGGGCAGCCTCCTGCAGGAAGTCTCTGGGCCGCAAGGAAGAGCTTGGAAAACCCTATGTTGCCAAAAAGAATATTTTACTCTCTCTCTCTCTCTCTCTCTCTCTCTCTCTCTCTCTCTCCTCTCTCTCTCCCCCTCTCATCTATCTATCTATCTATCTATCTATCTATCTATCTATCTATCTATCATCTATCTATCTATCTATCTCTCTACCTATCTATCAGCTGTTTATCTCTATCTAAAAGGCTACATTTTTTTTTAAACCAAAAAGATGGTAATCAATCACTCCAGGTTCTATGTGCAGTCAGATTGAACGAACTCTTTGTGACTAGGTAACTGGAATACTGTAAGACAACATGAACTGATGAAGGATGGCTGGTGTCATACAACACTTAACACAGAAACCTGGATGGACCAAACAAATTGATAAGGCAATCCACACAAGGAATATACAGCTATTAAGTATGGCAATGCAGGAATACATTTACATAATAAGAGGTCAGTTTTGAAATGCCTTTTCCTGCTTCCTTATGCACGTATGTCCTCTGCCCGACCCTTCCTACCTTCAACGCCCTCTGTTTCCATCCAAAAGCCAGCAGTTTATCTCCACAATCATCCTTGCAAATAAACGCCACCCTAGGCTTCCTCATCTGCAAACACCTGTTCTAGAGAAACTCAACCACCTCTCCCCGCAACCCCCAAGTCCCCGCACAGGAGTGATGGGGAAAATTAGACATCCCATGCTCCTCAGGACAGCATCACCTTACTCTCCATCATGGCAACAGTGATCTACTTCATTCTTTCCTATTCCACCCATTGCTCTGGATCCTCAGGACACGCACGACCCCCTGCATCCGAACTGAGGTGTTTTCACTATTCCTTGCTCTTCAAGCAATAGCCCTATCTCATAGATGCTGATATGGCTTGAATACAATATATTCCTCCTAGCCTCGAGTATTGGGTGCTTGGTTACCAACTGAAGAGTTCTGGGGAAATGACTGCATCTTGAGGGCCTTGACCTACCGGATGGATTGATCTCTTGCTGGACGCCTAACACAATGGCATCATTAAGAGGTCATGACAAGCGGGAGTCAGGGCCTAGCTGGTGAAGCAGACCCTGGGAGTGTTCAAGTGCTCCTTCGGCCCTTCCTGTGTTGCTTTGCTCTACTTCCTGGCCGCCATGACATGAGCAGCTTTGCTCTACCGTGCCCTCCAACCATGACGACTGAACTCTGACACAGGAGCCAAAAGGAGGAAATCTTCCCTCCCTTAAGCGGTCCCTGTTGGGGATTTGATCACAGTAGAAGAAAGAAGTCAACACGGAGGCTCTCAGGGTCTCTCCGTCTCTGGCTGGGCTGTGTCCCTCTTGGTTTTCACCACGGTGTCTGTCTCATGGCATTGCCGTGATGTTGTATGTGCACTACCGCCATGTCTCTGCACAGGAGAGACGGTGCCCTTGACTCCTGCTGCTACCGTGCCCAGGACAGCTGGTGCACGGGAGATGCCAACAGACAGCCACTGTGTGGAGGAATACGAGGCAGGAAGGAGAACAAGGAGGCACCCAAGGAGAAAGGGTGAACACTATTAGTTGAACAAGAGAAGCACTGATTTCTTCTCTTTATCCTTCAAAGTCAATTAATGCTCTGAATCAATTCCAGAACCAGGCATTTATTCACAGAGCACTACCTGTAAATGTTCTGGCTTCTTCAGGTGCTCCTAAGTCTTCAAGAGAAAATCTGGTCGAAATTTATGGTAGTAGAAATGAACAAACACTGGGTTATACAGGCCACTTACTGCTACCACGAAAAAGAGTGATTTCACAAACATCAAACCCTGAACCAAAACAGGCTGTCACAGTATAAAGAAGTCAAGAACAATAGTTACCTGGAGGGATGAGTAGAGACAGGTGAGTGGGTGTTTAGTGTGGGAGTGAGCATGCCTGGCTAGAGTCAGCAGCATTTGCAAAAGCCCTTCAGGGATACTCTTTATTCAGAATATATGATGTAACAACAATTTATCTGGTCCACAAGACTAGCACCAGTCATTATATATGTGTGTAATGTGTCTATCTCTAACAGGAAACTGTTGACGTATTAGACCCAATATGAAAACCACTCTCCTTTCTGGTATAGCAATTCCAGACCTTGGGAAATTAAAGCATGTTCAAGGCTAGCCTAGGCTACACGTAGTGAGATAGTCTCCAAAAAACATTTTTTAGATGAAAAAAATACTAAAAAGAAAGAAAATTACCCTATTCCCAATGGCAAACCCATGTTCATATAGTATACTAGGTTAAAAGCTGTAAACATAAATAATACCTATGACAATTTTATTCATGTGTCATGCATGTGTTTGTGTGTGCATGGGTGTGTGAAGATCAGGTGTTTCACTCAATCACTCTGTACCTTGTTTGTTTCTTTTTCTTTCTTTCTTCCTTTTTTTTTTTTTTTTAATGGTTTTTTGAGACAGGGTTTCTCTGTGTAGTTTTGGTGCCTGTCCTGGATCTCCCTCTGTAGATCAGGCTGGCCTCGAACTCACAGAGATCTGTCTGGCTCTGCCTCCCAAGTGCTGGGACTAAAGTTGTATGCCACCACCACCCGGCTGAACCTTGTTTTTTGAGTCTCTCACTGGACCTGGAGCTCATGAACAGGACTGGGCTGGCCAAGCTTCAGGGACCCACCTATCTCTGCTCTACCCAGCCCATAAACACATCCTAGCTTCTACATGGATGCTGGGTACCTGAATTCAGACCAGGCACCCTACCAACTGAGACATTACCCTAGCCCATGAAATGTCTATGTTAAAGAATTAAATTCAGATCCAAATTAAAAAGTGCAGGGAGGGAGCTGATAAGAAAACATTGGAAGGTACAGAAGTTAAAAATAAAATGAAATACAATGATTAAACATTTAGTGTCCATAAATTATTTATCTTTGCACATTAATATAAAAGATCAAGTTATTTATAAATTTATATCCAGCTTATTTCAATTCACATTATTTTCTTCCAAAACTCCTAACTTTTTTCTTTTAAACTTGATTTTACTTTCATTTATTTATTTGTATGTGTATGAGTGTTTCGCCTATGTGTAGGTCTGTGCACAATGTGCATGCCCTGGTGCCTGAGGAGGCCAGAAGAGGGTTTCTGATTCCTTGGGACTGGAGTAACAGCCAGTTGAGAGCCGTCATTGGGTACTGGGACTCAAACCCAGGTCTTCTGGAAGAGCAGTCAGTGCTCTAAACTGTTGAACTATCTCTCCAGCCCTGACTTTTTTCTTGTTATGTAATTATTTATGCCAATAAATACAATTTTTAATAATAGTGAAGATAAAAACCCCAAATGAGGCTATCCAGTATTCTGGAGGTATTTCTGAGGAAATGCTGAGACTCAATGAGGTGTACCCAGGCTGCCCACTGAACACATAGCCTTACTGGTTCAGAACTTCATTTCTGGAAGCTTCCTATTTTCCAGTGCCCTTATGTGGAAGCATGAAACATGGAGAATGAATAGTAACACGAACTCCAAATAGCACAGAGCATGATGCTACATGGATTCCAGCATCTGGCAGCTCACAAGCCTTGACCTTTCGTGGACAGTGACACTTAGAAGTCCTGCCTTGCACACAGGAATTCTGTGGTGGACATGAAGCATCTGTTCTTGCTGTGTGGCCACAACCCACAGTTTCAGCACACTTAGTCAAGTGACCTTACAGAGAATGGGCACTACCACCTCATTTCCCCCACATTTTCCAAAACAAACTAAGTCTTTGATAAGCATCATTAACACAATTCAATTATCCCTTCATAGAGATTCCTAAAAGTGAAGTCACTGAGTCCATGGTGTGACTGTTGTTAGGATGCTGACTTACTGACTCAGGGACTGACTCAGACATGTTAAATGGATCCTGGCCTTTACATGCAGTCAAAAAGAAGACCTGCATACTTCAAATTATCTTTTTTTTAAAAAAATTATTTATTTTTATTTCACGTGCGTTCATGTTTTGCCTGCATGTATGTGTGTGTGAAGGTGTCAGATCCCCTGGAACTGGAGTTACAGGCACCATGTGGGTGCCGGGAATTGAACCTGGTTTCTCTGGAAAAGTAGCCAGTGTTCTTAACCGCTGAGCCATCTCTCCAGCCCCACATACTTCAAATTATGAAATAAAAATAGTTAAGGGTTTTCCTAACATTTTGTTCATGGTTATAACTTTTCCTAGGTCAGTGGCAAGCCCTTTCTAATTTATGCTAATTCAGAATGAACATTTGATCAAAGAGTTGAAAACCTGTAAATTTTACCAAAGTATTAAACTAAAATTTGTTGATGATGGCTAAGTTATTTCAATAACCGAAGAATATTAAAGTCTTACCCCATTTTTACTGCCAAGGAAGAAGACCGATTTTTCTCCGATCTCGGCCCCATTCCCTTCACTGCCCTGGCTTGTCTTCTTCTCTACTTCAGCCTTTGCGACTTCCCAGAGAGTGTCACTGCATGAGACAGAGACAAAAGCCAGAGAAACAGAAGGGCTCCTTAGCAATGGTCATTTCCAGCAGAGAAATTTTATTTCCATCAGGTTTATAAAATACGATTTCCCGGGAGTCAATAACCAGGTAAAACCCTGAAGTATCTCTCTAGCACCCTTCACCTGGAAATGGTTCATGAAGCAAACGGAAACAGATAAGCAGACTAGCCTAGCTTCCCTTCCACCACTGTGATCAAACACCCCGACAAAGCAAGGCTTTATCTGCCTCACAGTTCCAGGAGTCACGGTGGCCAGCAGGTAACTCAGGGCAGCAGGAGTGTGCCACAGCTAGTCATGCCTACAGTCCAGAGCAGAGAGAATGCATGCATGCATTCCGATTGCCCTTCTTGGGTAGAGGAGCTGGCCAGGAAGCTCCAGCGGTCCTCCTGTCTTCAACCCCTCCCCAAAGTCCTGAGTTTCCAGGCACCTATCCTGCCCCTTGCTTTTTATCAACCTCTGGTCCTCACGTTTGAACATCAAGCACTTACTTGATCCATTGAACCACCTTTCCAGTCCTAAGCAAATATTTGTTGAGGAACTAAAACATGCAAACCTCTGGGCTAATCCTCGGGCTCAAATCTGTTTCTTTGTCTCTGGAGTGCCAATTAAAAAAGAAGAAAGAAGCCGGGCGGTGGTGGCGCACGCCTTTAATCCCAGCACTCAGGAGGCAGAGCCAGGCGGATCTCTGTGAGTTCAAGGCCAGCCTGGACTACCAAGTGAGTTCCAGGAAAAGGCGCAAAGCTACACAGAGAAACCCTGTCTCGAAAAACAAAAACAAAAAAAACAAAAACAAAAAAAAAAAAAAAAGAAAGAAGGAAGAGGAGGAGGAGGAGGAGGAGGAGGAGGAGGATCTGCTTTCGGGGTCATAATAATTGTTACCAAGTCCCTGTTCATTTTGTTTTAGGTGCTGGCCTTTTAAACTACAAAAGCCATTGATGGCCTATAATTATTACTAGACAAGAACCCAAAACAGGGCTAACAATATAGTTAAGTGGTAATGTGCCTGCCTAACATGCATGAGTCTGTGGGTTCAATTCCCAGAACCTCCAAACAAAACAGGAATGTTTTAATGATGTCAAAAGAGGAAAACAAAGTCAAAATAGAAACCCCGAAAATGTTACACTGAGCTATTTTATTTCATAGGCCAGCCCCCAGGAACTCTGTCTCCATCTGCTTGCTCTGTTTACACACCATCCCTTCAAAATGTGATTGTGTTTCTCAAGTACTCAGTAAAAGGAAAGGGTTCTTCCATCGGCCATGCCTCCACAAAAAAACAAAACAAAACAAAACAAAACACCACTGTATCCATAGCTTCACTTCGTTAACCAATGAGAAAGCGATGCAAAGCGTCCAGTCCTGAACTTCATAAACTCAACCGCAGTTCACGCCTCTGATCCAGAAGGGGGCGAAAGATCCCTGGTCCTCTCCCCGACTTCCTTGTAGGCCATTTGGAGGTTCAGATACTTTAAAAGGACCTTGTAGAGATGAAGAGTTCAAATGTATTTCACAAGCCATCAATACCTCCAACCCTCCTTCAAGGAGGCGCTGCACTTTTCCTTATCTGAAGTAGAGAAGTCCTGCACTGTGAGGCAGGGGGCCCTGGGGAGGAGGCTTTGTGGTCGGGTTCACCACCGCCTAACCTCCAGCCTGCCAGGGCAAGTGGCACTCAAGAAACGTCTATGCAATCAGCGAATGGATGGAGTTGATGATTTTTCCCAGTCGCTGACTTTTGCACTTGTTTGTGACAGAATCCTCAAGCTCTAGGCCTGTCGGGGGAGTTGGGAGCGGTGGCGCGGTTCTGCTGCCGCCCAAACGCACAGTCTCCCACCCACAGCGCCAGGGCTGGGTACCTCCGCGCCACCCTTCCGTGCCCCTTCTATGTCCAGGTGGGAAAGAGGGAGGGTCGTGAGCGGCCCGCGGGCCGGTGCAGCAATACCTGGGCATGGTGGCTGTGCAGCCCCAGATGTCCTGGGCTCCGCGTGGGAAACAGCCCTGACCCCGGAGGCCAGTTAAGCTCCTAGTTGGGCCAGAGAATGCAGGCTCCTCGGTTGTTATGGCAGCGACGTCGTGGCGGGGGTGGGGTGGGGGATTGCGTGCCGAGGAGATGCCTCATGGGAAATGTAGTTCTCGACATTCTGTTTGCGTCTCACTTTTCAGCCTCAACCCCTAGGATGCCAGAGGGAGGGTATGGTGAGCGTCCTTGTGGGTCTGGAATCAGAAGGTTAGGACTTGAAGGTTTTTGGGTATTTCGTTTTGTCTTGTTTTTATTTCTACTGAGTGCCGACTGTATGTCAGGGGCCTCTGCTCTCATCTTTAACTCCCCTCCCCCGCCACATCGCCATGATTTGGGAATAGAAGCTGAAACAATGTCAAACTGTTATTCAATAATTAATAATTATATAATAATAATAATATAATAATAGAAGAAAACAAATTCAGTAATTAAAATCAAAACAAGGCGTGCAACTTTCCCTCCAGCTTTCTGAACGTTGGGCTGTACAATGTTTTAGGAAACAGTACACTATTTATTTATAAGTCAATGAAACGTGTGCCTCTCCTACATAATTAATTTACTTTATGAAGGTGGACTATATTTGTTTGAACTTTGGGAGCTCTTTATAGGCACCCCTATTTACAGGAATCCCCACAAAACGTATATAGACTATTTCCATATACAAAGCCCTGTACTACAGAGTAAGAAATGAGATAAAAGCTCAGCCTTTAAAACAGACGTACACAGATAATTGTAATCATAATTCAAGGTAGGCAAGCTATTGGAGAAGAGGTACAGAAATACCCATGCCTGAAGAACTTGTCGAAACATTCATGGCAGGTTTGGTGTTTGACCTGTTCTGAATGTTGAATAGATCCAGGCCTAAGATCCCTGAATATTTGAAGGAAATTCTCTCCAAACCTCTGCCTTTGGGCTCAGTTTCTGTGACGTGGTGTTTAAGAACATGGGATTTGAAGTAAGATGGACCAAGATTCAGTTCCTAGTATGCAGAAGATTAAACTCAAGGCCTCCTGCAAGCCAGGCCAGTGCTTTACCTGAGTTACACACCCTCAGCCCTGTTGACAGATTTGAGTGAAGAGACGTAAGGAGCATATTCCTGGAAATGAAGCCAGATGTTGGTAAAAGAAAAGAGCCTTCATTTCAGATAAAGTCTTTGGGAGCAAAATCTGCTCAACAGTGCAGTGCATCGTGGAACTAGAAAAGGCCACAGTTGCACCATGAGAAAGGGGTAGACCGAAAGTGGTCCAGTGGAGGAAGGTTGGTTTCCAAGAAAATGGTAAATCCCTCACTGAATTGGCTTGTACCTTCTGGTGCTAGCCAGCCTGTCTGTGGCTTGTAAACTACCGTCATTGTAATGACTTGGGTTCTGGGGCTTAGCGTCCCTGTGTGCGGTTTAGGAAGCCAGGTGGGTATTGATAACAACAGTGTCAGGTTTTAGTAAGAGCTAATGCGTACCGGGCACATCACCACTAGTACTTCAAGATTTTGATTGTTTTGGATAACCAGGATTGGTGGTTGGAGGAGGGAGTCCGGTGGCCTGGAAGATCTGGGGTGATCTGTCTAGACCCTGATCACCAGCATTAACTCAAGGTGGATTCATTTGACCTGATGGGTGACTGAGTTCTCTTTTCTTCCTTTATTTCTCCGGAGGATTCATACTTGACCTTCCTGTTCTTAAGTGCATTACTTTTCTTTTAGGATGAAACACCATGACCAAGGCAACTTACAGAAGAATGAGTTTATTTTGGCTTATAGTCCCAGAGGGTTAGAGTCCATAACAGCAGGAAAAAGCATGGCAACAAGCAGCCGGGGCGGCAGTGGGAACAGAAAGGTAAGAGCTCACATCTTACACCAAAAGCACAAAGCAGAGCGCAAGCCAGAAGTGGTGGGAGTCTTTAAATTCTCCAAGCCTCAGAGTCATTCTTCCTTCACCAAGGCTGCACCTCCTAAACCTTTCCAAACAGCACTCCTTGCCTACTGGGCACCAACCGTTTAAATGCCCAAGACTGTGGAGGACATCTCTTACTTAAACCACCATAGTCACAAAGTGTACTGGTTAGATTCTTAGCAACTTGACAAAAGCTAGAACCATCTGTAAGGAGGGAACCTTAGCTGAAAGATTGTCTTCATCAGATTAACACATTAGAGGGGTCTGTGGGGGAGCATTTTCTTGATTAATGATTGATGTGAGAGGATCGAACCCACCATGGGTAGTGCCATCCATGGGCAGGTGGTACTCAGCGGTATAAGAAAGTAAATTGCTGGGCAGTGGTGGAGCACACCTTTAATCCCAGCACTCAAGGAGGCAGGGGCAGGCGGATCTCTGTGAGTTCTAGGCCAGCCTGGTCTACAGAGCGAGATCCAGGACAGGCACCAAAACTACACGGAGAAACCCTGTCTCGAAAAACAAGCAACAACAACAAAAAAGTAAACTGAGCAAGCCATGGAGAGCAAGGCAGTAAGCAACATTCCTCCGTGGTCTCTGCTTCATTTCCTGCCTCAGGTTTCTGCCATACTTGAGTTCCTGCCCTGACTTCCATCAGTAATGGACAGTGATTCGGACATATTCAAATAAACCCTTTCCTCCCCAAGTGGCTCTTGGTCATGGTCTTTATCACAATAACAGAAAGCAAAACAAGACAAGAAGATTTGAGCCCCCTTCTGCATCACTTCAAGAAGGCTCAAGGATTTCATAGTTGGTAGGGACAGAGGAACAGGCTTTATACTGCCTCCTGCATGGTATGGGCTGCAGCTCAGCAGGCTACAGGCACATGTGGAAACTGTTTTGAGAGTTGTGAACTGTCTGGAAGCATAGAAAGTGCCCATGGAGGCCGGGTGGTGGCGGCACATGCCTTTGATCCCAGCACTCGGGAGGCAGAGCCAGGCGGATCTCTGTGAGTTCGAGGCCAGCCTGGTCTACAGAGCAAGATCCAGGAGAGGTACCAAAACTACACACAGAGGAAAAATCCTGTCTTGAAAGACCAACAAAAAGAAAAAAGAAAGAAAGAAAGAAAGAGAAAGAAAGAAAGAAAGAAAGAAAGAAAGAAAGAAAGAAAGAAAGAAAGAAAGAAAGAAAGTGTCCCTGGAGCTGAGGTGGAAGCACAGGTCAGGCAGGCAGCTGGGAAGGGTCTTGCAGTCTGGGTTCGCCTGCGCTGGCTGTAAGAAGCACGTAAGATTCTAAAGTGGGCATGCTCTGACTGCTCTGACTGGTCCTGTGTTTCGGTGTGATAATTTTTTGCAGCTGTGTGGAGGAGTTTTTGGGAACCTAAAAGACCATATGGAGACTGTTAACAACAGCCGGGAAAGTGACAGCGTTTTTAACCTTCCCCTTTGTTTTCAATGTTTGTCACAGGGGAAAAAATAGTATACAGGAGAGAGAGAGAGAGAGAGAGAGAGAGAGAGAGAGAGAGAGAGAGAGAGAGAGAGAGAGAGAAAGAGAGAGAGAGAGAGAGAGAGAGAAGAAACAGGAGATGTGGCTCTGTTCTAGAATTCATGCCTAGCATGTGAAAAGCCTTGTATTGAGTCCCTGGCACATAAGAAAAAGAAAAAGAGCCGGGCGATGGTGGCACACACCTTTAATCCCAGCACTCGGGAGGCAGAGGCAGGAGGATCTCTGTGAGTTCGAGGACAGCCTGGGCTACAGTGTGAGATCCAGGACAGGCACCAAAACTACACAGAGAAACCCTGCCTGGAACCCCACCCCCCGCCAAAAAAAAAAGAGGAGAGAAAGAAAAAAGACAAAAAAGAAAAGCAGGAGAGAAGACAATGGGGAAATGTTTATCCCAGAAGAAATAAACATTCAGCATTTTGATATCCCTCATCTAATTATTCTTCCTGGAGTTAATGTTGTGCTGTGGTTAAAATCTGGATTTTTAAGCATGTATTTCCATGTATCAGTTAGAAATGCATCGGAACAAGGCTTGCTGGCTGCACATTATTCCAGCATGCAGATTTGTTTTCATAGTTTCTTTTGGCATTCATCCAACGCTGAGTTGGCTTGGCATAAACATGAAATATGAATTGGGTTAATCAGACTCCTTCCCTGGGATCTTTCAAATTACGATTGGAAAAAGCAGGTCATTCCCTTTCGGAGAAAATTACCAAATGTTCTGCTAAATGGAGTTCAAGAACACGAAGCAGACCCAGTGGTATGAACAGACAGTCCTGGTACAGGTCCCCAGGGTTTTCCCAAGGCCCCTCTGTGTCCTTTTCTTATGACTTCATTTAGTTATTTGAGGCATCCTGGTGTCTTTGTAATGCAGATGAGAGGGGTGAATTTTCTCATTGTTTCCTGAGTTGGTTCCCATTGAATTTTAGAAGTTAGAATCCCCCAAACTTCTCTGCTTTCCCACGATCCAAGCCTGTGCTCTAGTAACTTTATTAGACTTCAGGAGTAGCAGATGAATGGAAAATCCTGTTAACGAGGTGTTGATGGCACAGAGGAAGAAAGGCAGGTGTAGAGGGCATCGTGGATTTGAATGAGCATCTAGACAGGCCACTACGGGTAAGACAGACCAGGGGCAATAGTTACCTTACGTAGAATAGGGGGCGTGGTATCAGTGCGGATGACAGCCCCCAGCTCCCAAGGAGCATCGTCACCATGTTCAACGTAGGTGAAGTCACATTTGGCAAATATGGCACAGTTTGGGGCAAGTGGCACCTCATCCCACGCCAGCTTCCTGCACTGGCCTATCAGTTTTGCTGTAGTGCCCACCTTCTAAGTTAAATGACCTACAACACCTTGATACCACCTGAAAACCGGTCACCCTGATATCTAGGTGTGAACTTAGCTTCATTTGGAGGTTTTTTTGTTTGTTTTGTTTTTCAATAACAGGGTTTCTCTGTATAGCCCAGGCTGTCCTGGAACACGCTCCATAGACCAGGCTGGCCTCGAACTCAGTGACTGGCCTGCCTCTGCCTCCTGAGTGCTAGGAGGCATGTGCCACCACCTCCAGCCTTAATTTGGGGTTTCAAGGGGATAAAAGGTTTCTCTTCTGGCTGTAAATCGCTTTCTTCTTTTAGGGAAAAGCGAACTGCCGGCACTCTGGGCTTCTGTGTCTCCTCAAGTCCCTACTGCCCAAGTCTCAGGCCCACAGAAATCAGCTGAGGGCCGGGGTGAGTGCAGATTCTGTGGCAGCCGAGAGGCAGCACACGGGAAAACTGGCATTCTGGAGACACCGAAAGCCTTTACTGGAAAAATACAGGTAAACATGATGGTTAGTTCTTCAGGATTATATTGCAGTTCAATTAATAGTTAAAAGTGAATTGTTCTAGGAACCTGGTCAGATTTTTCTCTATGGAAAGCACTTAGTCAAAATTGACTAAGAAATGCATTTTGGGACAGAGTCTCTTTGTAAGTTGTGGCTAATGTCTCCTGTAAATTGAGTTAAACTCATTTGTAAGGAATGGCAGTATTTGACTTTTAGGGTGCGTGTTACAGATTATCTTAAATTAGTTTTTAGAACATAATCCATTGAACTCGCTTAAATGAAATAAAGGGGTTTATTGGGAAAACACACATTTCTATTTGCCTCTTTACCTAGTCTATATGTATCCATATGCACACGTATAAAAATTACAACTTGTCTAAACAGCTTTCTTTCATGTGAATGAAACAAAGCCACACCGAAGACAGATTGAATGTACGAGGCGGTGACATCGACCACTCCCCCCACCGCACACCTCAGCTTTGACAACGAAAACATCAGGTATTTCTGGAAGATTATTGAAAAGGTGATGTTCAAGACGGGTCTTGCAAATCATTTATTATGATTGAAAAGGAAGAAAAGGATAGGTGAGAAATATTACAATTAAACATGAAACATTATTCTCCTGTAACCAATCATAATAATATACTTGCATTTTAAAAAATGGCTAGATAAGTAATTTCCCAGGAAATAAAATTTTCACATCATTGGTTACAGAAAATTGACTTCTTTCCATCAAAATATTTCATTTCTGCTCTGTCAAAAACAAGCATAATGTCTAAGGCACCATGGTTTATGTTAAGCACTCACTACTTTGAAATCTCATGATGGGGGCGTATGGGACTGCTCACCAGATGGTGAATGAATAAAGCTCGCCCACTAATGATTATTAAGTGGTTTTATGGGCACTCAAAAACACTATTTTATCCCGGTCAAAAACACTCTGAGAGTCACCCCCAAAATGGTTAATCATTTATTCTAAAACAGAAATCTGTTAATTAGGTGAGTGGTTGTGGCTCTAAAGACAGACGGGTAAACAGCCACTGGAAACCCATTTCTATGGGGTAAAAAATATCTTTGTCATTACCAAATGAGTCCAATATGACTCGAGCAATGTGTTTGCTTCTTGACTTTGCTCCTAAGGGCAAAACATATTTAAAAAGGTTTAGTGTGAGGACGGGACATTGCCACAGGAAGAAAGCAGCAAAGAGGAAAATACCAGGAGCTCTGCCAACAAATTAACCGGGCAGCTAGCATTTTTCTCAAATTGGTTTAAAAAATAATGGCACACACAGTGATAAATATATGTCTAAAAATAAATACAAATATTCTACACATAAATAAAATTAGGTAGACTTGTGTTTGACTATTACAGTTAGACATTTTTATAATAGAATTTTCCTATCTTATCACAGTTTCTTTTTTTCCCGTGAATACTCATCCCATTTCTTTGACACAGCTTGGACTGCATCGGCCGCTTCTGTCGCTGTTATGATTTAACTATGAAATGTTCCTAGATGTGTTGGACGCTGGGCCCCCAAGAGGGCGGTGCTGGCTTGAAAGGTGGTAGAAACATTGAGAGCTGGTGCTTTGAGGAAGTGAGCCCCTGGGGACATGCTTTGGAAGTTGTACCTGTCCCCACTTGCTCCGCTCCCTTTCTCTCGGCTTCCTATCCATCACGGGTTGAAGAAACCTCGTAGGTCACATGCTCCTGATACCATGGGGCTCTTCCCAACTGCTTAGAACCCTCTCAAACAGCAAAAATAATCCTGTCTCCCCTAGGCTGTTTCCGTGAAGGATTTGCCACAGCGACGGGATAACTGACACACACAGGCATCCCAAGACAATTTCAACTAAAAATTTACTTCCTTTGGCCTAAGTATTTTCTATTAAAATTTACTCTGGAATTTACTTTTTTTTTTTTTTTTGATTTTTTGATTTTTTGAGACAGGGGTTCTCTGTGTCGTCTCTGTGATAGTCCAGTGGCTATCCTGGAACTCACTCTGCACACCAGGCTGGCCTGGAACTCACAGATTCCCCCAGCCTCTGCTTCCTGGGTGCTGGAATTAAAGGTGTGCGCCACCACCACGCCACCACCACCCAGCTGGAATTTACTTTTAAACTCTAATCAGAAAAGACTGTGCATATAGCTTTAAGGAGCATCTTTGGTACTCTTTCTAACAAAGCAAGGTCAAGGTGACCTAGCATTAAACACAGTGAAACGTGGGGCACTATTCCAGTGATCTTATGCTGTGCTGATGGGCAGGAGTGCCAGGACTTACTACCTCATTTGAAATACCACACTCCAGTGATCTGCAGAGGCCGCAGAGTCCACACTTTGCAATACTGTAGGGGAGCTCTAGTTAGCGCCCACCTGTCTCCTCATGTAAGGCCTCATAGACTCAGGAGATTTATTGCACTTTCTTTCTCTAAGAATCTACCCCCTGCACATGTTCCCACAGCTGATTCTTACACTGAACTTCACTCTTTTCCAAATACCACTTCATTAGCTAAAGGCACATTTCATTACAGTACTTAACAATTTCTGGCAGTGAGTTTTTCCAGAGAGTCAACCGGTTTACCAAATGAGAGTTTGGACTCTCCCTTTCAAAAGATCGCCAGGGTATTTCAAAGCAAAAGATGAGAAGCCTTATTGCTCAAAGTCTGATGGCCAAGGAGGGAGATGGGTGGGCATCTGTGTCTAAGACACGATGAGTATGCTGGCACGTTACGCTTTATTGTTATCTGAATATTTAGGGGTCAGTTAAGAGAGTAACGTGTTGCTGCTAACGTCTGGGGGGCTGGGGTGCGCGCCGGACTGGCAGGCAGTGCGTCAGACACTTGTTAGTCGCTGATGCAGCCACTTCATGGCTGAGGAGTGAAGGTTCAGACTCAGGAGCTTTCAGAGTAAAGTGGGGCCTTTGGTGGGTCTGCTGTTCGACAGGAGGGGCTGGCTTCCCATGGCCCTGGCGTGGGGTCCCTGTGTCTTGGCTGAGAGCAGGGCGGGGGCAGAGAGGTGGTGGAGGGCTGCCTTCTGCTGATAGAAGTTGTTGATGTAACTGGCAATCAGAAGGGTGATCTCAAGAATCTGAAAATGAGAAAAACCATCCTGTCAGGCTCTTGAGACGTTCTCTCCACTGTCCATGGCCGATTTCAGTTGCATTTGCCAAGCCTACCGCCATGCCCTTCTTTTTAGATGAGCAGTCCTCAACCTGTGGGTCGCGACTCCTTTCGGGGTCACATATCAGATAGCCTGCATATCAGATACTCATTACGATTCATAACTATAACAAAATTACAGTTATGAAGTAGCATGGACATAATATGTTTGGAGTGAGGGGTCACCACAACATGAAGAACTGTATGAAAGGGTCGCAGCATCAGGAAGGTTGAGAACCACTGGTGTAGATCACACAATAAAGTTTTAGCGTGCCTGGCACCATCACATTTTTCTGTTATTTCAGTTAGCAGCAAGAATGAATCTCAAAGTCCAGCCAAGCTTATGGACGATGCTGGGAACTGTGACGGTCAGCATTAATAACTTTGGTGTGTCGTTTCAATCCTATTAAAGCTAAAACACTGAAGCTACCACTATCTCTTGAACTCTTTGGTTAACTGCTCTCACTAGAAGCACAGAACTAGTCAGAAATGGCCGGCTGGGTAAAGGTTCTTGCTGCTGAGCTGGGGCCTAGATTCAGATCCCTAGGACCCACCCACATGGTGGTGGAAGTTGGGAGCTGACTTCCCCAAGTTGTCCTCTGACTTCCATACATGTGCTGTGGCATGCACACAGAGATACACATGTCACATAAATAAATGTAATAAAACATTTTTTTAAGTTGAAAGTTTTAGGAAAAACAATTTCTCATCCTTTTTATTAAAATTAGATTTTTTTTTTCAGTACTGGGCTGTGAACCCCAGGGCCTCATTCATGTTAAACAAGGATTCCACCACTGAGCTACAGCCTGGAACCTGAATTACGTGTTAGAATGTAATCTTTTGAAAAGTTGCTTTACTTAGAGATGTTGAAACTATATAGTTTGTTAATTATAACAAAGGAACAAGTACCTCTTAACTATAAAACTCTGCTCTTTAAAGTCCATAAGACAAATAACCCAAGTAGATAAGACCATGTGATGCACCTCACAATAACTCCGTGACTCTCCGCACTCTTTTGAGACAGGGATCTTAAGTAGCCCAGGCTACCCCGAACTCCACCCCTCCTGATCATACTCCGTCCTGAATGCTGGCAGATGACCACTACTTTTGAAACTTCTCCTCACCATAAATTGGCCTATATTGGAAAATTTCACTTAGTTCTTTCTTTTGAGACAGGATCTCTCTGTAGCACTGGCTGTTCTGGAACTCACTCCGTAGACCAGACTGGCTTCCAACTCACAGACATCCCCCTGCCTCTGCCTCTTGAGTGCTGGGATTAAAGAGGTGCCCCACTATGCCGGGCTTTCACTTAGTTCTTAAGCTAAAAGAAGCAGGTAGTATCATGCCACGTTAGCAAAAGAAAATAGAACTCAGACCAAGTAAGCTGGGATTTGAGCTCAGGGTTGGTTAAGTCATGCCCGTTTCCATCTGGACCACTCTTTGTACAAGAAGTGATCCCCATGGAGGGGCAGCCAGTTGAAAAGCTGGCAGAAAGGGCTCCACTCACCTTGGGTTTTGCCATGGCAAAAAGTAACTTCTCTGTTGGTCTGTCTTTTGCATGAGTGTTAATGACTACCATGAAGTCGTCTTGACACCCTCCAAACGTCATCAGGCTCTTGTACACATAGCTGACCACTAACCTCTTCAAAGAAAAGGAAAAGGAATTGTTACGGGTTGTCCACACTCAAGGAAGATGAGGAAACGCTGATATTAATTATGGCAAATGCAAAAATAAGGTTTCAAGATCAAATCTATTATGATTAATGTAAATAATAGTCGTACTAAGTTTATTTGGGAATCGCCAACCTATACAATCAAGTATACATTTGACCCTGAAAAACTCAAATTAGAAACTACAAACACCTATTCACAGCACCCGCTAGAAAATTTTTGGTAATTTCTATATGTCTGCTCAGATCTCTCTGTAAGATATAAGAACTGACTTTGTTCCCAGTGTGGTCTTGATAGGATCAAGGGTGTGTGCCACGACTGCCTGACCTCTATGTCTAATCTAGTGGCTGGCTCTGTCCACTGATCCCCAGATAAGTTTATTAGGATATACAACATATCCCCACGCTGATGTGATGTGTGTGTGTGTGTGTGTGTGTGTGTGTGTGTGTGTGTGTGTGTGTAAGAAAAAGAGACCAGAGGCCTTAAATTGGGAAGAGAGCAGGAGTGTGTGTGCATGGGAAGGGTCTGAGAGATGAGAGAAAAAGAGGGAAATAAAACAAAACCAAGAATTTTTGGGTGCTCTCTCACTATGCCACACGTAAGGATCTCCCACTATATCTTTTTTTGTTTGTTTGTTTGTTTTTTTGTTTTTTTTTTTTTTGTTTTTCGAGACAGGGTTTCTCCGTGCCTTTGTGCCTTTCCTGGAACTCACTCTGTAGGCCAGGCTCACAGAGATCCTCCTGCCTCTGCCTCCCGAGGGCTGGGATGAAAGGCGTGCGCCACCACCGCCGGGCTTCTCCCACTATATCTTTAAAGCAGGAATTACTACCCACCAGACTGAGAGATTTAGGGTTGGGATGTGTAGCTCAGTGGCAGAGCACTAGCCAAGCATGTGTGAGGTCCCAGTACAACAAGGAAACTTACCAAATAGCCTATGAAATACAGTAGAAAATGATAACTTCACATAAATAAATGAACACACAAGAGGAATACTTTGAAAAATTGAGACAGGATCTTGCTATGTAGCCCAGACTGGCCTTGAACATGCGACTTTCCTGTGTCAGTGTCTTCAGTGCTGGGACTACCATCACGTGCCACAGTGTCCAGCTCAGGGTCATTTTTAAATTATATACTCTATGTTTTAGTCGATATGTAACCTTAATGTAAGTAAAACTGGTGACCTTATGGAAAACTATGCAAATTATGCTATAGAAACTTCAGTGAGACTGAAATTTAAACTTTGATAAGTAGTTTCTACTTTTTAATAGCTTAAACATTCTTGTTTTATAGAGAAAAAAAACTGTGGAGGGCCAGTGATATGGTTCAAAGGGTGCTTGCTGCCAAGGCTGTCCACCTGAGTTTGATCCTTGGGACCCACATAGTGGAAGAAAGGAGCTGACGCCAGCAAGTTGTCCTCGGACCTCCACTTGAGTCTCTAAACTCTCTCTCTCTCTCTCTCTCTCTCTCTCTCTCTCTCTCACACACACACACACACACACACACACACACTAAATGTAAAAAAAATAAAGAACTGCCATAGTACTTAAAAAATCAACAGAATCATGACTGCAACTTAATCACACCATCTTAATATTTTTTTCCATATACAACACATATCCCGTCTCATCTCATTTTTTTTTTTTTTTGGTTTTTCGACTGTCTCATCTCATTTTAAAACACTAGATTGTAACATAATTGTAATTGTAAAATGACTATTACAGAGTCAGGAAGAATGTTTTCTAAGCTCAAGGGGAAATCAGAATACAACAACTCAGACTATCATAACTTCCGCTTACCATCCCCTGAGCAATGGAAATAGAAGATTTAATTACAGATATCAGGGTTTAATCTTACCATGGAGGTGTATTCTAGGATGCTTAATCCATTTTCGTGGATAGCCAGCCACACAAAAGTATTGCCAGATGATGATGGTCCTATGGGCTACAGAGATGTGAAAAATATGCTGTATTATAAGATGCGAAGCAAAATCACAGCCATACTTTCTTGTCTAAGATCATGTCCGATATGCCATTACACAAACCCAACAAAAAACACACTGAAAATCCCTGCTACCGAGGAGGCAGTGTGGTACACTGAAGGACGCGCAGTGGGTGTGTCCTAGGCCCCTCATTTGCAGGCTCCCATCTTTATTTAGTGACATGTGCATTCAGACAAACGCTGAGGCTCAGTTTTCTTATCTTTCCCACAGGAACGGTAATTTTTACATCTTGTTCTTGTTTCACAAATTTACTAGTTGTCAGAAGTTTTAGGGTTTCTGTGGTGACCCTACTCCTCAGGAAGACATAGCACACAGCTATGCTTTCTAAGGTGACTGGACTAGGAAGAGTGAAGTATTGTGGTGACCTGTGCATACTTTTCCTGATAGTCAATGTCTAGCAAAAACAGAGGAAAAAGGAAAAACTATGTGATTAATAGGAACAAGAAATACTGGAATTTCCAAAAAAAAAAAAAAAATTGAAGGCCAAAACAATGAAATTTTATTAATAAAAACAATCTCCTGCTGGGAATGATGGCACACACCTGTAATCTCAGCACTTGGGAGGCAGAGGCAGGTGGATCTCTGTGAGTTCAGAGACACCCTGTCTTGAAAAACAAAACAAACAAACAAAAAACAAAAAAACCTCCCACCAGAAAAACCGTGTTAAAATCAAGAATGTTTTTGAGCATTTTTACAGAGATTGTTTTCTTTGATTAACAACTGAAATTCGAAATGAAAACACACTTCTCTTAAGACTTAGAGAAGCTTGTCAAGACTATAGATAAGGAGGGAGGCTGAATCTGACTTTGTAGATAATAAATCAAGTTTGAAGGTTCAGAAAAATCTCCATTATAGGGTTACCACCATCTCTACTAAAGGTGGTTTCTTTCTTTCTTTTTTTTTTTGAGACAGGGTTTCTCTGTGTAGCTTTGCGCCTTTTCCTGGAACTCACTCTGTAGACCAGGCTGGCCTCGAACTCACAGAGATCTGCCTGCCTCTGTCTCCCGAGTGCTGAGATTAAAGGCATGTGCCACCACTGCCCGGCTAAGGGTGGTTTCCAATGGTAGACCATCAGAAAGTACCTGCATTGGGCATGTAGCTTGGTATGGAGTGCTCACCTATACTGCACAAAGCCTTAGGCTCAATCCCCAGCACCATAAAAATCAAAAGGCTGACGGTATATTTATTGGCGGATAGTGAGTTCCTCTAATGAAGAATCCACTGACAAACGGATGAACAAAGTGTGGTACGTGAGTGCGAGTGTGTGAGGGAATATTATTCAGTCCTTGAAAAGAAAGGGAAAGTTGACACTTGCTACAACACATCCTGAAGACACTGCGTAAGTACAACAGATAATATGTGACGTGTGGTTCCTGGAGTCACACAAGTTCATAGAAACAAAGGGTGGCCCCCAGGGAGAGCAAGGGGGAGCGCACGGAAAGTTAAATATTTTCTGGAGGATGGACAGTTGTGATGTCGTGTGAACGACTTAAGGCCAGAGCACCATCCATTTAAGATTGGTATCCCGGCAAATTCCATGAAGCAGACAAGGGAAGTGCCTCCCTGCTCTAAAGACGGACACATGCTGCTCCTGTAACATCAAACACAGCGTCGTTAGCTAACGCTGGTACAGAGAAGAGCACAGAGGGGTCTGTTAACATCACTTCCCCATGCTGAAGCTGGAATTAAAATTCTTTGTCAAATGGTCCGCATTTCAGGTCTATGGATTAACTATTCATCTGCTTTTAGACAGGGGCTAGGCTGGTCTCTACTAGGCTCAAGGAATCCTGCCTCAGGCTCCTCAGTAGCTGGGACTATAGGAGGGCACCACTGTGCCAGGCTTACTCTTTACCCTAAAAAACTAGAGTAACAAAGCCTTGAACTCTTTGCAAATATACTGTCTAGATGTTACGATACTAACAGGTATAATTTTTTTTTCTGTTATCTCAGCAAATGGCTTCTAGTTCCAGTAGCAAGAGAAACGTCTAACCTAATAATCAGCGAGCCAGAGATATTTCTAAACTAATTGTCCGTGAGCCAGAGATAGAAGATGCCCGGGGTTTGGCTTTTCTAGTCCGTGTTGTTTATTAAAAGACGAGAAAACTGAGATCAGACAGTGTGACCAATCTGTCCAGCGAGGCACGGTTCTTCAGTAAGTGTGGATTAAGTGATAATGGCTTCCAAACCCTGACGAAGGGCACTGGACAAGGATGGCAGGATCACTCTCGAGGAAGACGGGGTACAAGACAAAATGGATGCATCTTTGAAGCCACAGAGAGCCCCAGGCGGCACCGTTTAAGGAAAAGAAAAAGAACCGAAGGGCACTGTGGGGCTGGTGGTGTGGCTGGAGAGGAGACCCTGTTCTCAATATGCTCTTGGTCCTGGATTCAACGCCCAGTACCAAAAACGAAAAACCAAAACGTTCCCCAAAGAAAAGGCATAGGCTTTCCCTTAGGGGCCTGGGCCAGCTACCTCCCAGGCAGGGGTCTCCCTGCCCAGTGTTTCTACAGCTGCCTGTTCTGATCTACAACAAAGGGTACTTAGCACACAGCACCTTGTTTACAGGCCTGTGGCAACACCGGCTATGCTGAGAACGGCCCTGAAGTCTGGTACAACTCACTGGAGACTGTGCGTTATGTGACCCTGGAGCCAAACAGGGCTCAGTAAGTGCTCATTAAATAATTAAGCCAATGAGTGATAGAGTTAATGAGTGAATGAGGGATGGACACGAGGAGTTAAGCGGAGTTCAGGTAAACTTTCCTCTCCTTACTGATTGGCCTAATGACTCTTAAAATGGTTTTGTGTGTGTGTGTGTGTGTGTGTGTGTGTGTGTGTGTGTGTGTGTGCGCGCGCGCGTGCACTCGGGAGGAGGAGGGGTGGGTGGGAGATGAGTAGAGGGGAAACAAGAGGAAGGACCTTTTCCCCTTTCCCCAGAATTCCTCATTGGTTTCTTTATGTTGCTGGGAATTTCTTCATTTTTTTAAAAATAAAACCAAAATATGCTGTATCCGGGGTAAATCTGACCAGCCAAGTTCACTGACGTTTTTATTGGGTATCCCTCTTCCCATTCTTTCTTACTTTTGCTAAAAACAACTTGGCACCAAAGAATGGCCACTTCCGGGCTACTGTTAAATAGATGCGCACGCAGTCGGCCGCACTGTGTCCCCGGAGGGCCATCCATCTGGTGGAGAGTCGCTGGTAAAGCTGCCTAAAAAAAAGTGGGGGGGGGGACACAAAAACAAGACACAAAAGCAAACCTGTAAGTATCGTGTCATCCTCCTAGACAAAGTCCCCCTCGGCCCATCCCAAACCCCCTTGATCCCACTTCACCTTTCTGGAAAATTTTCACCAAATTCTCCCACGGCATTCAAGTACACAACGAACCTACCAGGTAAATCTTTATCATCTACACGACTAACATTAAACCCGAGTGTAAGTCAGTTTGGCAGGTAATATCTCCTGAGAGTATTTTCACTTTTCAACGTTCAGTGGTGCCCAAATGGTACAATTTGGAGGAACACTGAGTTCATTTCTTCTCAGACTGAACCCAGGGGCAGCCACTTCCACTACATAGTCAAAAGCTTCTTTATGATCAGGATTAACCCAGGATTAAGAGCAGATGAAATAGTGGTCTAAATTATTTTTAAAAGTTGTTTCAAAACAGGACGTGATGGAACACGCCAGTAATTTCAGCATTTTTGAGGGAGAGGCAGGAGGATCGGGAGTTTAAGATCATCTTCAGCTACATACCAAGTCTGAGGTTAGCCTGGGCTACAAGAGACTGCCTCTAAAAAAACACAGAAGCTTATTTATGTCATCATACAATGAATATATACTTCAAGCATCATATAGGTGACAAATAGATTTTAAAGTTTTTAAAGACATCCTAAACCAGGCAGTGGTGGCATACACCTTTAATCCCAGCACTCGGGAGGCAGAGCCAGGCAGATCTTTGTGAGTCCAAGGCCAGCCTGGTCTACAGAATGAGATTCAGGAGAGGCACCAAAGTTACAGAGAAACCCTGTCTTGAAAACAAACAAGCAAGCAAACAAACAAACAAAACAAAAAAAGGCACCCTAAAATATGTAAAACCTCTTGGGGGCACCTTGGAATTAAACATTCTAAAAGAAGATTCAGACAGAAAATTTTATTAAAATCCTAGTATAACTCTCCGCTCCAAAGAGCTGAAAATGCCATCTTACTGTTGGGGAATATTATTTTGAGGTGCGTTACTTTTGTTTATGTTGCATTTTGTTTATTAACTCTGTGAAACTGTAATACTTTGCCTGTCTAAAACACCTGATGGTCTAATAAAGACCTGAACGACCAATAGTGAGGCAGGAGAAAGGCTAGGCGGGGCTGGAGGGCAGAGAGAACAGATAGAGGGAGAAATCTGGCTGAAGAAGATAGAAGAAACAAGAGAGGAAGGAGGAGGACTCCAGGGGCCAGCCACCCAGCTCCACAGCCAGCCTCGGAGTAAGAAACAAAGAAAGGTGTACAGGAGTAGAAAAGGAAAAGCCCTGAGGCCAAAGATAGATGGATAAATTTAAGTTAAAAAAAAAAAGCTGGCTAGAAACAAGCCAAGCTAGTGCCGGTCATTTATAACAAAGAATAAGCCTCCATGGGTGGTTTATCTGGGAGCTGGGTGGCGGGCCCCCAAAAGAGTAAAAATAACCAACAACATCTTACCGTAACTGTTCCTCAGAGCAGCCTTCCCTGTACCTTTTAGGGTAAAATTTCTCGATGACTTGTTTGAGGTTTTGGCTTGCTTTGCACTGGTTATGCCCGGCTGGAGTGGAGAAAGGTCTCTCAAAATCCCCAATCTCCACCTGGTGGGAGAGCCCCAAAAGAGAAGTCACAGGCCAGTGAGAACAGCTTTCAGAAAGAAAATCACATTTGCTCTCCCGAAATGTTCTCTATGCACAGCAGACCCAAGTCTGTCACGACTGTGCGGCTGTAGAATTTATAACCACATGTCTGAATTGTTGTTTTAAACATAAATGTCACTTGAAATCAAACTTAGGGGGAAATTCTGGGACAAACATTTTGGTCCCATTTCTACTCGGAACTCCTGTGGTAAGCTTCTCTTCCTGTTACCATGATAGAAAATTCTGACGGCAGCAAAGTAAGAGAGACAGGATTTATTTCGGCTCACAGTAGGTTCCATTTCACAGTCCATCATAGTAGGAAAGCCACAGCAGGCACAGGAAATCCGTAATCAGGGACAGAGAACAATGGACGCACGCTTGCATTCTTCTGACCGTGGATGGGATGGGACCAGTAACGTGAACTGTGAGCTGAACTTAAGCTGCTCTGAAATACTTCAGAGTATTCTATCGCAGCAACAGAGGAGAAACTAAACACCCCCTTAGTGGTATTTGCTAAAAGAAAAAAAAAATCCTTATTACCAAGTATAACACAGGATAGTTTTTCATTGTAAAGTTCTATTTTAATCACCAGTAAATAAGCTGAAACAACAGTTCAAAATAAAAGGTCAGAAAAAGACTAAGAAATTCGGCAACAGTATTAGCTGGACTTTTTAAGGGTCTCTATTGTATAAAATGGTAGTGAGGGCCACACAGTCTCATTGCTGTTCCCCTGGATTTTCACAACAAACGTTTCTGTTCTCTACAACTCTTCCTATGAGCTGATTACTTTCGGGAATACAGCCCTCCTTCATTCCCTGCTCCCCCGATGAAAGAATCTTCAGTTCTTTACTAAAGCCATCTTCAACCTACTCATCTGCCCACCACTCTCCCGACTCGCCCACCAATCTCTGCACCCAAACCTCTCTTCAGACTCCAGTGTAAGTCGGGCGCTACAGTACACGCTGTGAGAGAAGGCGAAGTCGAGCATCGCCCCCACCTTCAAGGAGTTTACCATCTGGTAGGGGAGACCGAGGCACAAACAAATACTATGATAAACTGTAATGCCTTGTATAGAGTACAAAGGGTGCTCAAGGAGGAAGATGGTATGGGGAACATTTGGACGATGCCCTACTAAACATATCATTACCCACAGTACCTCCCAACGAGCAGATGGCGGTTCATCAAGCCCCAGTGGTCTTACACAAAGTACTCAGACTCCATTTTTTAGGTTCCCCGATGCAGTTTAGGGTGGGTCAAGCAGCCCATAGGCTCTGAGACTCTGCACTCCAGGCACTCCAGACCTCCTCTTTTCTAATTCATTAGCTCACAGCTGCTGTCTGAACCTTAGGCGAGCCTTGCCCTTCTAGCCTGTATGTGGAACTTTCTAGGTTCTTTGATTCCATTTCTACTTGTTGGTTGAGCATGGCTTTGCTCTTCAGGTCTCATTCCTCATTGTTTCTGGTTTCTCATAACTCCCACTTCCACAGTCAGGCATCCTCCCTAATGTCCTCACTGAATCTAAAAACTGCCCACCCAACCACACCAAAACCCTTCCCATGGGGCGAGTTGTGCATTGTCTCTCAAGGTCAGTATCTCTCTATCTGGGCCCTGACGTACCGGATAGCAGAGAATAAACACAGTGATTGGAGACAGTCAACTCAGGTAACCCCCAACGTGCCCACACATGTTAGAAATACATATCCCTAAGAGGTGGATTTAGGAGCTGGAGGGATGACTCAGTATTTAAGAGCATTGGCTGCTATTCCAGAGAACCCGGGTTCGATTCTTAGTACCCGCATAGTGGATCACAACCATCTGTAACTCCAACCCCAGATGATCAGTTACTCTTTTCTGGCCTCCTAGGACACAGCAAGAATGTGGTACACACAGACATAACCTCCAGGCAAAACCTCATACACATAAAATAAAAATAAAATCTCAAAAAAAAATGCAGATTTAATTTTTCTTAGAGAAGTTTTTTTTTCTTTTTAAACAAAATTAAAAGCAAAAGAAGGTAAATGTTAGTAAAGAAAAGAGTAATTTTCATGAGGAATTTATGTCCCCGGAAAGGTGACCCCTAGCATGGCCAATGGCATGGGATCTCTCCGATTGTCTAGAAAGTAAGGGTCTCGCCCCTTCTTGCAGTCTTTACTATTTGTAGAAAAAGAACACCTGCTTTTTCTACAGCACACATGCTCTCATGCTCAGATGATCTTAAAATACTCTAAAAGTAAACTCAATGACTAAGTGTCCATTCTCCCAAGAACATCAGGGAAAACTGCTCATGGGAATGACTGCTAAGCTGGAGGGACAGGGACAGTGGTGGCCCTTGGGGAGGCCAGTCAATGATGCCAAAGCAGAGCCACAAGTAATCATGAGCCCCCAAAGTCTGCAATGCACACGGATGAAACAGCGCAGAAACTCCCCAGAGGGCCTTTTGAGACACCAGGAAGGATTCAGAAAGGTTCCCAACACCTACAAGAGAAGCTAACGGACAAGAGGAAATTAGCAAGTGACAGACGGAGGCAGAGCCATTCCAGACACCCGGGACAAATCACTAAGATTAGTAAATTCTAGAAAGGAAGCTGGTGCCACACCCAAGTGAGGGACTTTGCACAGGGTGACCCACGCTCCAGGTAGGGAGAGTGAAGGATGTTGAAGCTACCCAGGCAGCAGCCAGAGGCAGATCATGAATGACCCTGGATGTGAATGAAGAGATGACCTCTGTTTTGTGCTTTCTCCCTCGTGGGTACCAATGCTGTGTCAACAACTCTCCGTGGGCAAGTGGCACTGTGCCAGCTTCCAGTCTTAGATCTAAGGAAAATGGCAAATTCTCCTCCACATCTCTTTTGGAGTTTGAGTTTTGCCACTCACCCACCATCCTGGTTGGAGGCTCAAATAGTTCCACGAAGAGAATACATGTAGCTATACGGTGGACGGTCCTTGTAGAAGTCTCAACTGTGAGCCATCATTGCATGCAGACATGTAAGGAGCCTCCCAACGATTCCAGCCCTCACCCATGACATCACAACTCTCCTCAGGCTAAGCTAACTGAAGCCACGGGAAACAGAGACTAAATGCCTTTTGCATATCTGCTCAAATTATGTTTGGAATTTTTAATTGTCGTTACTGTATGCTTTTCTATTTTGTTTGTTTGTACAACAGGGTCTCAGTAGGTCTCACGGGTTGTCCTGGAACTTGCTATGTAGCCCAGGCTGACCTTGAACCTGTGATCTTTCTGCCTTTGCCTCTCAAGTGCTAGGGTTACAAATTACAGGCGTTCATCAGCACACTCAACTTAAAATCATTTGCTAGGCAGCAATGGACACCTGGGAAAATCCCTCCGGCAGCTGTGTGAAGGATAACTTTGTGGGGGGACCACATCAGAGAGAGGCCTACGGTCAGAAGGTGGTTGGGGAGCAGAGGATGTGAGGCAGGTCTGAATCACAGGAATGGAAGTCAACACAGAGAGTGGTGAGTAGAGGACCAAGTATGAGTTTAAAGCGATAAGATGAGGCAGCCAGTGGGAAAGGGGGAGAGAATGGGAAAAGGCCGCGGGGATTGCCGGAGTGGGAGCTCGGGTGGAGGACCAAGAGGGACAAGTGTCGTGATGAAGACGCACAATGTAGAGAAAGGGGAAGATAACTAGTGGGCTGGATTTAAGGAGCCCTTTAAACAGGCATGAACTGGAGTAAAACACTTGGGAATCATCGGCGTGGGTGCTGGATGAGATAAAGATGAGATGTTCCAGGATGATGTGTAGGGTGAGTTCCATGGACTAGGAACCCAGGGACCCACGTATCTGTGCACATGGCACTTCCCAGGGAAGCTTTTATCTCCCTTCATGATTGAGATACAGACTCAGTTGTGCATCTTACAAACCGCCCTCCTCCTCTTGAGTATGACGACCTTAATGCTGCCTGGGTGGGACTAATTCCCAGCCTTCTTCATAGGTAGGCAGGATGGTGTGTTTAAGGTCTAACTAGGGGCTTAAATGAAAAGGTCTATGTTGGGGAGACCGACAGAGGCTATCTAGTGAGACTCAAGGTCAGAGAATCTGAGCTTGCTTTACCCAGCAGGGCTGCATAACGGGATGATTTAATGGCCGGGGGCGTGTTTACCAGGTCTTTGGAAGGGTCTACACTTGGCTGTATATGGTGTGCTTTGATCTTGCAAGGGCGAGGATTTTTGCCTCTTCCCTTGGCATATTATAAAAAATCCTTTTGAATAAAGCTCTGGGCTGCTGGGTATTGACCCAGGGTCCTCCCAAAGCTATCCTGTGTCTCTGTCTTTCTTACCGTCTCTTTCTATCTTTCTACCTAATATTTCCTCATTCCTCTCTCCTCCACCCAAGAACCCTTCATAAGGTGGGAGCAGGTCGGAGCTGTCTCCCACAGACTCCCATACTATGTAAGTTAGGAGAAGTTTTCCCAAAGCATGCCCTTCTCAGTCCCCCCATCCCACACCCTCCCCAACTCCTTAACATGCTGGGACTCTAATAGACCTCCAGAGCCATGAGGATGACACTCATGGGTGGCAGAATCGGTAGAAGGGCCAGGTCCGGATGGCTCTGTAGAGGTATCAGGATGTAATATTTACCTTGTAAGAATCAAACTTGTTTTTTCCTTTTGGGATAGGCTTTTGCTAATGTAGCCCAGACTGACCTTCAACACATGGACTTTCCTGCCTCAGTTTCTCAAGTGCTCAGATACAGCTAGCTACATATTCACCACACTCAGAATAAAACATACTTCTGTTTGGTTAAGTCACTATTAATTTGTGTGTGTGTGTGTGTGTGTGTGTGTGTGTGTGTGTGTGTGTGTGTGTGTGTTAAAGAAGTCCAACCTTACTTCTAATTGATACAATACGTAAATCAAAGAAGGTGCTCTAGCTTTGACCAAGGCACTGTCCTATTGGATTGCCAGTTGCACATAACGTCTTCAGGATCACCACTTTACACTCAGATTCCTTCGATTAAATGCTGTGCCTCGAGAGCAACACTTTCAAAGGAACTAAGAAATGCATTTCCCTTTACAGAATGTAGTGTCTTATCCTATGCGACCGCAATTGTCAGAGGTCAGAAAATAATAATGTAATGGTAATTTAGCCTGCAGTTTTAAGTGTCTTCTTAATCATAATAAAATGAATTTAAAGACCTGCTGAGGGCATCCTGTCTTGCTGCACTTAACTGAAGAAATTAGCGTCTGCCCTTCTCCTTATGCAACTTTATACAACACGGAAGTTACCTGAGCTAAGAGCGCCGCCATTTCTAACGCCAGGTCCTTGTTCAGAGGAAAAAGGCCATTTATTATCTGATCATTTGTCTGGTACAGCAAAAGCAGCTTCTCTCTATCAGTCTCTCCACGAGCTTGCACTGAGAAATACAGTCTGGAAAAAAAGAGAGAGAGAGAAATGTCTCCCAATACTCTTATTTTTTAAATTATAAATCCTACACTTAGTGTGTGTGTGTGTGTGTGTGTGTGTGTGTGTGTGTGTGTGTGTGTGTGTGTGTGTTCCTGCACGTGTGCCACCATACATGTGTGGAGGTCAGGGGACAATGTGTGGGAGTTCTCTCTTTCTATCATATTAGTTCTGGGGATCGAACTCAGGTCATCGGGCTTTGTGATAAGTGCCCTTACCCACTAAGACATCTCACTGTCCCCCCCTTTCTTCCACGATAGAGACAGAACCAAGCACAAGCTAGGCAAGTGCTCAGCCACTGAGCTATCCTAACCCTCACCAATGCTCTCACAGAGGAAGACAGTGAAGAAGAACCACAGGGCTGCTTTTTTAACAGCCCTGCTGCATGATACAAACAGACCACTGCCACCTACAAAACATGAAGTGCAAGAACCCTTCTATTTAAATTAAATTTTAAAAATATACTGAAGTACTAAGTCACCGTGGTGGTTTGAGAAAGATTAGGTGGTTTGAAAAGAACCCCCTAGGCTCATGTATCTGAATGCTTAGTTACCAGAGAGTGGCACTATTGGAAAGGATTAGAAGGATTAGGAGCTGGGGCCTTGCTGGAGGAAGCGTGTCACTGGGGGTGGGCTTTGAGATTTCAAAAGCCCGTGCCAGCGGGCCTAGGTGCACATGTTCTCTCTCTCTCTCTTTTCACTGTTTTCAGATCAAGATGCAGCTCTCAGCTACTTCTCCAGCACAACACCTGCCCGCAGCCATGCTCCCCGCAGCCATGCTCCCCGCAGCCATGCTCCCCGCAGCCATGCTCTCCCCGCAGCCATGCTCCCCGCAGCCATGCTCTCCCCGCAGCCATGCTCTCCCCGCAGCCATGCTCCCCGCAGCCATGCTCCCCGCAGCCATGCTCTCCCCGCAGCCATGCTCTCCCCGCAGCCATGCTCCCTGTAGCCATGCTCCCCGCAGCCATGCTCCCCGTAGCCATGCTCCCCGCAGCCATGCTCCCCGCAGCCATGCTCTCCCCGCAGCCATGCTCTCCCCGCAGCCATGCTCCCCGCAGCCATGCTCTCCCCGCAGCCATGCTCTCCCCGCAGCCATGCTCCCCGTAGCCATGCTCCCCGCAGCCATGCTCCCCGCCAACATGATAATGGATTAAACCTCTGAAACCACAAGCAAGCCCCTAATGAAATGCTTTCTTTTTAAAGAGTTGCTTTGGTCTCGGTGTCTCTTCACAGCTATGCGACAGTGACTAAGACAGTCCGTAAATGAACTGGTAGGTGTTAAGACTCTGAGTGACATTAAATTTATCCTGGTAAGGAATGCAGGATATAGCAAACACTTCACCCTGAATAAGTCCAATTTTCAACACACAATCTTTTTTCAACATCTTGGGCATGCTAAGTAGGAAACGAGGGTTTCAATTTAAAAATTCAACTCCAATTAACATCAAATGTCAGGGGAGGCTTTTCACCAGATATCAAAAAGAAAAGAGTCGTACATTCAGGTCTGTTTTGATTTTTCTCGGTCACACGCAGATAAGCATCTTCAAGAAGATCAGAAAACAACATACTCTCTTATTCCTTATGGAAACAGGACACGGGCTTTCTATTAGTTTTGAGATGGGGGGGTCTCTGTGTTGCCGAAGCTGGTCTTTGGGTGGCCTCCAGTGATATCCACACCTCACCCTCCTAGAACGAGTATGCTCCACCATGCCTGGCTTGTGACATGGCTTTCGTTTGCTGGAGCTGGTGCTCACTGTGCTGTGGGGCACAGGTGTTATGGGTGCGCAAAGCGCTAAGACAATGGGGCAGGTAAGCGACAACCTAACAAGCCTGAATGTTGCCATGACAACACAGTGGTGACCGAGATGACGTGTGGACATATCCCTTAGTTACAGCATCTCTCTCTCTCTCCCTCTCTGAACTTCGGGGAAGGAGAGGCCAGAGGGCTGCGATCTGGGAAAACATGGCAGGTGTTCTCCATGAAGAGAACAGTTCTGATCATCTTCCTGCCAAGCCCGGCTGACAACCAGAGATGTTTCTAGAAGTCAACCACAGCTCCATTACTATCCATGATTATACAAAGACAAAAATGCAGGATTGTTAAGCAGACCAGAAGACGTAGTTGGACAACAGACATAGACAGTACATGCAAAATGCAATCAGGAAAGTGGTTATGACATGAAGCGTAAGAGGTCGAAGACGGAATTTTCACAAAGGGCCCATTTCCTCACTTGAAGTAAGGAACTACATGGTTCATTCCTGAGACCCACCAGGAGATGGGCAAGTGTTATCATTGGGAGTTCTTAATACAATGGGAATGGTGATATCCCGTACAGGGAGCAAGGGACCAATGCATTTTCCAGCACACCTACAAGGTTCAGGAAAGAAAGGTGAAATCCTCTAACAAAGCAGGGACTGCAGTCTCATGCATGCACCGCCCTGGAATGCAGTATGTATTCCTAGGAGCTAGACGACGCTCCGGAGAACAAGGAAAGCATGGCGAAGATGACCAAGGAAAGAGGCTCCGAGCCAAAGCAGGAAGCCCAGGCAGGCATGGTGGTGCACGCCTGTGATCCTCATACTCAGCAAACATGTGAGTTCAAGGCCCAGCCTAGGCTACACATGGAGAGCCTACTTGAAGAAAAGAGTCTTGATTGTGGACTCTTTAAAATGTGAGGGTCTCTAGAAGAAATAGGAGAAGCTAGATGACCTCTCAAGACCCTTTTCGACTTAGGAGTCCATGGATGCAGGTGCTCTTATAGCCGGCTAACTGTGGAGAGGGGAATGTTAAACTACGTTCTAGAAAACAGCAACCACAAAGTGTTACCGAAAATAATCTTGGATTTCAAGGAGAGGGAGGCAGAGTGTTCCCTGCACGAAGGCCCTCGCCAGTTTGCTTTGTTATAAACCACACCTTGACTTCTGCAATCTCAAACATGCAGCAAGAAATCAAATAAAACGAGAACCTTTCCGTACCAAGTCAGAATTCAAATACCAGTTTGCAAGGGATTGTGTCTGAGAGCATGTTCAAAGCCTGTTAATTAGACCTTTGATCCCCGAGTCAAAATAATTAAAATTCCATAACTTGCTAAATATAAACTTCAGATTCCATGATGAAGGAAAATTGGTATTTTAGGCATTACAAAGCAAGTTGGCAGAGGAAGAATCAGATCCCTGGCGACATGACAGGTCACAACCAGCTCCCCTCCTGATTGTGTCACGGGGAGTTAGGGCTCATTGTCCAAACTATTTATAAACGTATGCAAAGCACGGCCATATTTAGAAGCAATGTCCTTTCTCATAGCGTGGCTCTCCAGGCTTTTTGGACTCTGTAAACACTAACCCTCTTGTTTGAGTTGCTTGTTGTTGTTGTTTAAACAAGGTAGTTTCATCATGCTACCCCACCCCCACCCCCAGTCTTTTCTAGTCTTTAAGGCCTTAAAGGCATTATTCTTATCTGTAGGTCTTTCAAACCATCTTTGCCCATTTCACTCAAATTTAATTTTGGTTCTAACCATAGTCATTGTAACCAGAATTGGTCTGTTGCTAATCAACCATAAGTTACTAATTATTAAGAACTGTCTTCGACATAGTGGTCTTTCTATTTTGTTCCGATGAAATCAAACTGAATTTTGACATAACCACAAAGTGACCAACAGATAGGGACAGCAAAATGAGAACCTTCAGATCGATACTTCTGGGACTTTAGGGGCATATGAATTATTCAGAATGCTGCTAAAACAGACTTCCAGAGGCTCTAGCAGTCATCTAGCCTGGGGTGACTAGCCAGTCACCAAACAGCCAGAGATGAAGGTTATCGTCAACAGAAACATCAGTAGAACTACTGTGATGTGACTTAAATACCCGCTAAAGTCTCAACTCACCACAGTAAATTCACTGGGGTACCCTTCCTACTCTCAGGAATTTATCAGCCTGTGCTGCGTGGGGGGTGCTGGACAGATGATGTCTGAGAATCCACTCAAGGGTGGAATCATCTTACACCCTCAAAGTAGAGTCAATAGCTACTTGCAAAATGAAGTCTCCTAGGACAAGGGGCAGCCTGGAAAACCACTGTCTTACACAATATAGTGATGGCTAATCTTGGTTGTCAACGCACTCGGAAGAGAAAACCTCAGTGGACGGGGATTGCTTCCACCAGATGGGTCTGTGAGCATGGCTGTGAGGCATTGTTCTGGATTGGTAATTGATGGGGGAGGGCTCAGCCCACTGTGAATGGTGTCAACTCTGGACAGCTGGGCCCAGGCCCTGTAAAAGATGACTGACCAAAAAGCCTGGGACGGGCCGGTAAACAGCTTCAAGCTCTTGCATTGAGTTCCTGCCATGGCTTCCCTTGATGATGGACTATAACATAGAGGATAAAAAAACTCCTTTTTCCCCAATTTGTTTCCAATTGTGGTATTTATCAGAGTAACAGAAAGCAAACTAGAGCTGGGCGGTGGTGGCGCACACCTATAATAATCCCAGCACTCGGGAGGCAGAGGCAGCTGGGTCTCTATGAGTTCGAGGCCAGCCTGGGCTACAGAGCGAGATCCAGGAAAGGCGCAAAGCTACACAGAGAAACCCTGTCTCGAAAAACAAAAACAAAACAAACTAGAACACCAATACTTCATGGTCACCTTGCTGTTCACAAGAGGAGCAAATCCTCATGTTCACAAGCTCCTGAATTAAAGAGGCTCCAACAGATAAGACAACTAGCATTGGTTCATATAAAAGGGGTCTCTTCAAATAGAAGGTGGCCAGCCCTTGGTGGCTGAGTGTGTAAGGTACATCAAGCAGAAGGTGGCCAGCCCTTGGCTGAGTGTGTAAAGCACAGCCTAAAATATGATTCATCACCTTAATTCAACCATTTTCTTATTGATGAAGATGTAAGCCCTCCCGTTATTTTTCACTATCCAAAAATATGGAAAGATACTGGGCCACCCCGGGATATTCTGTCCACTTATTTCTGTATTTCTGTAAGGGTAAATTATTAGAAAAAGAAATACTGAATTAGATGAAAGGCTGTTCTTTTTATATTATACCCTGCCTTCACTTCAATGTTAAGTCTCTAAAGCTCTTCCAAAAGCAATTCTGAAAGAATTCAACATTATGCCAGTAATTCCACCAGGTTCTTGGCCTGATATTTTATAGATTAATTTATGAGCTATGAGACTCAAAAAAAAAAAAACCTAGAAAAACATCTTTTTTGGAGGAACATTTAATGTGAAGAGGTCAGTTCAATGCCATCTTCTGCTAAAAAAAAAAAAAAGTTAAGAAAAAGTATTTAAAAAAGAAAAAAATCGGGGGGCTGGAGAGATGGCTCAGCCGTTAAGAGCACTGGCTGTTCTTCCAGAGGTCCTGAGTTCAATTCCCAGCAACCACATGATGGCTCACAACCATCCATAATGAGATCTGGTGCTCTCTTCTGGTCTGCAAACATACATGTAGGCAGAACACTGTATACATAATAAATAAATAAATAAATCTTTAAAAAAAAAAAAAAAAAGAAAGAAAGAAAAAAATTGGGTCTCTGACCACGTACCAAAGTGTGTTATAATTTTATCTATTGAGAAGGCTCATACTACAGAACCGCTGGCCATTTCCTGACGTGGACTGTGAGCCTGCCTCCATGGGCACTAACCACTCTTTCAGAGATGGTTTTTAAAGTTCCCACTCTCAGCCCCTTTCTGAACTTAGACTTAGTATCAACACAGTCCCACAAAAGCCTCCAGATGGCTCCAGCCTAGGTCAGGTTCATGGTATACGCTTTCATAGAGCTACGCTAACTTAATGTCTAATGGCATGTTTATTAGAGTGGGTACATGGCTAACCACTGTCATCTTCACGAACTCGGAAATCCCAAAAGCTCGGAGACCGGCTCTTTGTCTGTTGCTATCACCATATTACCCTGAGCATCTATCCAAGCGAACGGCTAACAGCCGAAGGGGGCGTTGGAAGAGGGTGGGAGACAGAGATGGAACAGAAGAGAGACTGGTCTATGAAAGGATGAGAATTAGAAACAAAGTCTCAGGTGGTACTATCTCCCAGAACAGAGTTGTTATTTATAAGCACATGTGTAAATATGATGACTTCCAAGGCCAGTGACTAGAAAACTAGACCACAGGCCCACGGTTTGGACCCAGCTGCACGCTCAGCTCTGGCGTTCCGATCCAGTGTTCCACACCTGTTTTTGTAAGTCAGACGGACAGTTCTTGTGCCATCACATTTCCCGGATTGCTGTTCTTTGGATGCCTGTTCCCATTTAGATATAATGTCACAGATCTAGAAAGGAAATAGAAAGCTGAGATCCACAGGACTTTTAAAATCAACGTTCTAAAAAGATGAGAGCTTCTGTGAGTTCAAACAAAGAAACCCAACCCAAAAACCTTTTGGTTTTAGCTGCTGTAGAGCTCCGGGTTTAGGATTTAATGATACATTGTGTTTTCGGTCCACTTGTCAAATTGGACACACATTAACTTTGGACTGTGGCCATGCATTTTTACTCAGAAAGGAATCTTAATGCAGAATTGCATGGGGCTGGAAACGGGGATTCCAGGAATTTTTCTTTCATGATTTGGTCCTGAAGAAGCAATTTTTTTCCACCTTGTAAATTTATCAAGATTGGAACAACAAGGTCCCCCAAAGAAGTCTGAGACAAAAGGGTGCTCTCCTTTTGGCGCTGGCTGCTTGGTGTTGACAAGACCTTTTCTCCCTTTATTTCCTCACTCGCAAAATAAGTAGACTGTGTCTCTGAGGGCCCAAAGTTCAGTAACTCTATATTTCTAATTGTTGCCGTCATTCCATGAAAACTTTGGTTTTCGGGTTATTTTTTTGTTTGTTTTTGTTTGTTTTACCATGTGCTAGAAAAGATGTTTTAAAATATCTTTTTCTTTATTTTCATTGGTGTATTTCCTACCGGACCGCACTTCAGCTCTCCCCCAAGGCCCAGCGCTGAAATTTCCCTCTACGCAGAGGGTCACAGCCCTCTTAAACCATTTGTCACCTTCAACTCTACTTTAAGATTCTCGGTATATAAATCTGTTCTTTTCTAAGCAAACTAAAGTTCCGCTCGGGATTCCGCTTAGCCCTCAGGACACTGGGAACAGCTGGGAAACACCAGTGAAAGGAGGCGGTGGGGTGTGGCTTCCACTCCTCATTCTTTTTTGTTTGTTTGTTTTGCATTTATTTGTGTGTGTGCATGGAGGTTAAAGGGCATCTCATGGAAGTCAGTTCTCTCCTTCCGCCATGTGGGTTCCAGGGATCCAGCTCAGGTCTGACCAAGCACCTTCACCCACTGAAGCCGTTTTGCCGGCCCAGCACTCTTAGCACCCTAATATTCAGAGTATCATCGCAATTATCACTCCTTTTTCTCTGTTAACACGGAGTTTGTGTACACAGGTTGCATCTTAAGAAAAAAAAAAAAAAAGAATTCTATGTCCCTCCCAAAAAAGGAAGAAGAAGAAGAAGAAAAAAAAAGGAACTCTACAGCTTTGCCAAAATTTGGCCATTTTTAAAAATGGTACTGATCAGGTTTCTTATATTTTTGGAAAGTTCCTGACCTAAACTTGCATGGACTAATGAGTCTTTTGCTTTTTTTTTTGGGGGGGGGGGAGGGTTGTTTTTGTTGTTGTTCAGTGTGGCTCTTTTGGAGAATAAGATTTCACCTTGATATTTCCTTGAAGACAGTGCTCAAGCTCCTTGCCAGAAGGATCGTCAGTGAACAGTGCAAATCCCGACTGCGTCGGCTTCCTCATTCCAGTGTCCTGGTTCAAGGTATTCAAGAATTCTTCCACTGTGGTGGACGCATCGAACCCAACTACCTAGATGAAGACAGCAGGATAGTTCTCTTAGTGAAAAGCACACACACTGAACAAGTCTCCGGGGAAGCAGGGTGCATATGATGCGTGACGAATGGTAGCTTGTTTCTCCGGGCGCTTTAGCTTTTTGTCCAGCGCTAAGCCGGAGAAACCAAAGAAGGCGACTTCGGTAGTCAGCTTGCTATAAGAATTCAGAAATTTCAGCTTCGGCCAACAGACAGACAGGAATTCAAAACTGAAAGGTCACTTGACAGTCTTAGATATCGTGTAGAGCTAATAATTAGGCTAACCCATTAGAAGCTAAGAAATACAGTACAATATGCAATCCAGATGCATATGAAAGAAAATACACTCATTTTAATAAAAACTTTCCAAAGAAGCATTTGTTTTATTTGATGTGTGTGTATGTGTCCCATGTGGAGGTCGGAGGGTAACTCTTGAGTGTGGGTTCTAGCAACTGAACTCAAGATGGAAAGCTTATGGGGACAAAGAGTTCAATGTGGGTTTGTGTTTAGTGTCCCTCTGTGTCCAAGCTTGGCTGTCTCAGAGATCCGGTCTCTCTGCAGGAGAACCCACCTGATAGATCCCATTCATGAAGTGCACGGGTATGCTGAAGGGCAGGGAGTGATGGTAAGGGTTCCGAAGAAGGGTTGAAAGGATTTCCATCCTCGAGGGTCTGGCCTCACGGTCTCCATTTTGCTGTGTCCTTTCCACACATCGCTGGCAGTAAATGGCATATTTCCCGAATTCTGTCCTGTAATGCAGTACTTAAGATAAAAATCTAAGAATAAATTAAATTAAGACAATCTAACATATACAACTTTCACGGTAATATCAAACTGTTGGAATGTTTATTGGACTCCAGTTTCTTTAATCTTCCTGCATTGCTATAACCACAAGCTGGATTTTAAATTGCCAGTAATTATACAGTCAATATATAATCACTATGTTAACAAATTGAAAGAAGACAATACATAGAGAATAATATGCTATAACAAAACTATGGGGTAGAGTTCTCCACATTGACCCCAAGGCCTCAGCATAGCAGGCAAGCACTCTACTTCGAAGTCACACCCCCAAATTTCCCAGTATTCTCATTCGAAGATCATGCAGATTATTCCAGTGTTAAACAAGAAAAAGAAAATGCCTTCAAACAAGAAGCATAGCCCATAAACAATACACTAAGCAAAACCACTCAAGTACATAAATTACAAGTGGGATCGAGATTTTTAGCTCCCCTCACTTATATTCAGCATACAGTTAAGCACAAATTTTAGTTTGATTCTAGAAAGCAACGTTCCTAAATACATTTATATCCAAGGAGATGTCACCCTTTGCCAGAGGTTCCTCAGCCACTACCGTCTCTAGACTGTATTATGGATGGCGGGGCATTTTCCTAGTGTCCCAAGCTGTTTTTTGTTTCCTTGAATATGTTTGTTTGTGCTATTCACAAGGTCTAGTTAGCACTCTACACGAACCTCGTGGGCTGGGGTGTGCTTCAATGGGTAGAGCGCTTACCCAGCCTTCACAAGGCTTGGTAATTTGATCCTGGATCTGATCCCCAGTACCGCCAATAAAGCAAACAAAAACAGCTAACATAAACCTCTCTCAGCTGACAAAACAAACCTGGAAACGCCTTGGCCAACTGCCTTAGACCCCAGTCTAAAAAGATCATTCTCATAATTGGATTTGAACTATCTTTCTTTAAGAGAATAAAAAAAAGCAGAAGCAATTCGTATACAATTTTAAAACAAAGGAAGACCGTGGGGGAAGACTTCCACCAAAAGAATCCAATGTGGATAAAAGCAGTGAAAGGGGAAAACTGAGAAAGCAAGAGAATTGTGCTGCTTTTCCCATGAATGCCAAGTCATTCATACTTGCAATGTGCAGTCTTCTCACTTAAAAATGTTCTTTAAGGATCATCAAGCTTTCGGAGCAATCTTGCATAAGATATTTATCACAACGAACGGAATGTCTTCCAGGCTCTACGTAAATGGTCATGAAAGGCTTCCTGACCCCATATTTGGTTTGCACATCCTTTTATGAATATACGGCAGGGTTATTAAATACTTAGGATTTATTGGAGACTTGCGAGGCCACATAAATGGTTCAGCTGGCCAGCGTTCTGCCCACCTGGAATCTGCATTCCTCTTCAGATGGAGCTGGAGGAGCCACAGGAAAGGGTGGTGGGGAAGGAAGAGCCCAACGCAGAGTGCCAAGAGCTGCCAGCCCTGAGTAAGGAGACATACCGCTCATTAGAAACCGTGCCAGCCACACAGACACATCAGAGCAGTGTGCCTGGTGGAGGGTAGGAGAGCCATGCACAGCCGGCCTCTCCCACACGCGTAATCTCTTCAGAGCATTTCCATCAAAAGCATGACAGTTCAACACCGGGTCAGATCCACGACGCGCCTAGTGGTACCTACTGTGGACAACTGCAGTACCAAAGCTTCCTAAAAGACTCAGCAGCTCTTTTTGACATCACATGCAAAGATTGGGGACGTCACTCTCTTTTGCTCCTTTCTGTTTTTACTTACCCATTGAAATATAACTTTGAGAAAAGTAGATCACAAAGTAGTAAAAATAAAAACCATATACTCAAAATCTCACCTACTCACTATACATACACACACAAGGGCAAAGTATTAAATATCAACAGAGATTTACTTAGGAAACAGGGTATGTGGGGTTTCCCCCCCTTTGTTCTCCTTCATATGTATTTTTCCTCATTAAACAGGTATAGCATCAATAATTTTAAAAATCTTACATAAAAAAGGTGGGAAGGATAGGTCTTGTCCTTGAGAAACCTAATCTAGTAGGAAAAGTGTACATAAACACATAGCAAATTATAATAAAACGTAATATCATGAGTTAATTTTTTTTTATAACATGGAGGTAATGGCTAGGGGAACCAAGGAAAGATTGGCTGGGAAGGTACAGTTAGGGCTGGATTATAAAGTATAACACTGGAAGGGAAGGAAGGAATTCAGGGAAAGATTGGCTGGGAAGGTACAGTTTGGGCTGGATTGTAAAGTATAACACTGGAAGGCACTCAGGAGGGACAGCGTCAGGTTCACGGTAGAGAGCACTGCAAGGCACCATGTGTTTGCAAAACTCATTCACCCTTGAACAGTGAGAGTTCTTTTATTCACTGCTGAGGATCACGTAGAGAGAAGCTCCTGGAGTCAGACTCTGCCCTTCAGCTTCCAAACCCATTTCAGGCGGTTGTGAGCTGCCTGATGCAGGTGCTGGGAACTGAACTCGGGTCCTCTGGAAGAGCAGTATATACCCTTAACCACTGAGCCATCTCTCCAGCCCGTAATGTGATGGTTAAGTTTTTGAAGCTTGGTTAGTAACATGGGAGAAGTGAGGTTTTAGAAGGTAATATGCACACTGCAACTTTGGTGTAAAAAACAGTGAGAGTGTATAAATCTATATATACTTACTTATATACAAGCATATGATAGACAAGCAAGCCAAAAGGATATACACTGAAATATCAATAGCCATTTTCCCTTTCATACTATTTGTATTTTCAAATGTCTGTACTGAATGCATAGCATTCTTACAAAAAGAAGACGTCATTTTAAATTACATGTGTACATTTGCATCGATATATACCTGCAACGGTCCTGGCTGATTCTGTGGCTGCCTTCGTCTTGTCTGTTTAATAAGCTGACAGCAAATCTCATTCTGTAGCTCAGGGTGTGTCAGGCAGACCTGCAAAGCGCTCTGAGCTAGAGAGATATGGTAGTCAATGGCAGGGGAGTCGACCGCAGCGTTTATAAAAAGTTGGCAGGTCTGAATGGAGAAGAATATACTCGAGGTGAGAAATGATCAGATTGATTTTGCACAAATCATAGCCATTCTATCTTTTAACAATAGTTCTTGTTTAAAACAGTGGGGGAAAAAAGTATTATGATAACTCCAATCAAAACAAATCCGGAGTGGCTACTGTAATAGCAAACCAGGCAGATCTCAGGGCAGGAGGATTTTGCCGAAGATAAAGAGGGTCATTTTATAATGGTAAAGGGGTCACTTCATCTGGAAGACATGATGATTACACTATGTTCTCTAATTACAGAGGTTTAAAACGGATGCTTGCCTCATCCAGCCAGTCATTTTAGCCACCGCATTTTCAACTCTGAAGTTCAACTCGGGTCTGTTAAGTACTTCCATTGCCCTCCTTAAAACTTCCCATGCCCATGTTTCCCTTGACAAAACAAAGTACAGGAGCCTCCTGATGATGCATCATCCTCTATGGTCTTCAAAAGACAACGAGGCCGGGGGAATACGGCTCAATGGCAGAGAGCTATTTTTCATCATCATCATCAACACCACCACCACCATCATCATCAACACCACCATCATCATCATCAACATCACCACCACCACCATCATCATCATCATCATCAACACCACCACCATCATCAACACCACCACCACCACCACCACCATCATCATCATCATCAACACCACCACCACCACCACCATCATCAACAACACCACCACCACCATCATCATCATCATCATCAACACCACCACCATCATCATCACCACCACCACCACCACCACCATCATCATCATCATCAACACCACCACCACCACCACCACCATCATCATCATCATCATCACCACCACCATCATCATCATCACCATCATCAACACCACCACCACCACCATCATCATCATCACCACCACTACCACCACCATCATCATCATCATCACAGCTTGGATTTTCTTAGCGTCAAACTTGATAACACAAAGGATGACATTCAATTAAGTGATTTACCAACATGTAACGATTTTACCTTAAATAGCTTAATGGCCTCTGTCTGCAGAGCTTCCGAAGGCAGTGTGGTCAGAGGAGACAGGATTCCTTCTTTGCTGTGACACAGCGTGGGATGTCTCCATATCTGGGAGGCTGAACACAGAAGAGCAGATGAGCAGAGAGAGAGAGAGAGAGAAAGAGAGAGAGAGAGAGAGAGAGAGAGAGAGAGAGAGAGAGAGAGAGAGAGAGAGAGAAGAGAGGATTCATTGGCTCGGTTCTTCATTAGCCTGATCCTTTAGAAACCAGCTCATTCAGGAGGTCTGGCTTGCTTTCTCCCAAGGGACAGAAAAGAAAACAAAACTCCCAGTGACACTGTTTTATCTCATCCCCAGGCCCCTACAGTTTTCATGTTTCTGTTCTAGAGGATGTGAGCGCAAAAGAGTTGAGTCCTAACTGACTAGGCTGTCATAATTCTACATGGCATCACGTTGCTTACACATGCCAACATGTAGTGACCTGGGAGCAAGGTTGTTTTAACAACAAGAATCTTGGGAGAAAGATCTAGAGAGATCTAGAGAGAAGCCAAATAAGAGGAGATATGAAGATAGAGAGGAACATGGAGTCATTCCTGAAATCAGTATTTATTAAATTCCTACACTACGACTGTGCATGTAGCCCAGTGGCAGAATCCTGGCTGAGCATGTACTATCCTACCACTGCTTAAATATAAGCATAATGTGGTCTCTGTTGGTAAAACACAGAACAGAATCTAGTCTCGAGGGAAAACCTTCTATGGCAGCTGATCTTGAACCCCAACAGGACAAGATCTAGAAATGTGCCTCTAGGCGTGTCTAGGCCTTCCCAGATGGCTTAACAGAGAACAGAAGACCCACCCTGAATACTGGGCCTCACTATTCCACAGGCTGGGGTCCTGGAGTGCTAAAAAGGAGAAGTAAGTGATACGATCAGCCACCTCATACCCCGGCCAAAGTGCCTTCCCCACCACACTAAACTGTATCCCCGCACACTGCAGGCCCAAATGAGCTAACTCTCTCTGCTTTACTGTTCTATTAACGTAGTTAACTGCTTGTCAAGCATTTGATCACAGCAATATGAAAGGTAATGATACACCATAGTTCCAAGAAGATTAATGCCAGTGTAAAGCTACAAATGCTATAAAAGAGTTAAACGGGGAAGCGAACTGGGACTTAATTTCAACTCTGATGAAGCAAGCATCTTTTGCGATTCCACTCTGCACTGGAATGGGCTGGCTGGGGGATCTTCTAAAGTTAACTAGGATTTCATCATGTCATCGAGAGGTGCCAAGGGGGCACCCTGGGGCACAGGGAGCCATGGAAGCAGAGGCAGAGGGTGTCACAGGGCAGAACGTGAAGGATGCCGATGATTCCGGAGCTTAAGAATTATGGCCCACTATGAGCAAAGTCAAGGGGAAGGTGGGCATGCTACAGGGAAAGAGGAAGCCACAAAGCGAAAGCCAAGTGAGGCTGAGGGGTTGGGGACCCGCTTCATGAACTCCAAAGCCTACGGGCTTAGGAACTTACAAGGCTCTCCCTCTATATTTAGCAGTTTGCAAACCAGCTGTTCAAATTCGGATCCAACATTGACACTGTTACTTCCGGCTGCGACAGTGAGATGATAAAGCCAAGTGTCCTTCAAAAGAGAACATGTTAACGCAAGTGTTAGCCAAGATGCCCTTTTGACTTTATCCGAAGGAACAACTTGCAAAAACAGTAAACAAAATAACAACAACAACAAAAACTTGAGACAGAAAAGAAACCACTTTAATTCTGAATTTGTACTTTTTAGAGTCTGTATGCGTGTGGGGAGGGTGCACATATGGGGAGGTCAGAGGATAACTTGAGGGAGTTTGGGTCTCTCTCTCTCCTGTGTGGGTTCCAGGGATGGAACTCAGGTCCTCAAGCTTGCTGGCAAGCCTCCGAGGAGGGCTCACTCTCTTGAGCCACGCTCATGCTATTCTTTACCTTTACTATATTCTACACATGCTTCTTAGAAAAGTAAGATACGATTAAGGAGCATAATACATGTTAAGAGTCTAGAATAAATACAGCTAGCTAGCTAAAATTCTTTTAAGATGTATAATTCTTGTGTTCTAAGAAATACAATGAAGTCTATCCAATGTAAAATTTTACTACCAAAGTAATACATGCAGAATACTGAAGAAATACAAACAATTTAAGGAAGAAAGGAATGCCCAATTTTTCAACTTCCTTTTTTCATCTGTAGAAATACATGTGCACACTGGATTCTCTATTTATTTATTTATTTATTTTTGGTTTTGGTTTTTCAAGACAAAGTTTCTTTGGGTAGCCCTGGCTGTCCTAGAACCTGCTCTGTAGACCAGTCTGGCTTTGAACTCAGAGATCCGCCTGCCTCTGCCTCCTGAGCCCTGGGTTAAAGGCGTGCGCCACCACCGCCTGGTGTGTAGACTGAATTTTGACATAGTTGATATTATACTAAGACAGTGTTATAATGTCTGCATTTTACTAATACTCAGCGTTAATTTTTCAGATAATAGACATTGTCCCATCTAACACTTCTTAGTTAAAAAGAGCATTTGTTATATTTTCTATTTTTTAAAAATATTTCTGAAATAAAATTATTTAAAAAATAATATAGCCAATTAATCTGTGATAATTTTCTCAGTAGATATTCCTTTTAAAGAAAATTCTGGGATCACACCCAAAGCCTTGCACATGTGTGGTGAGCAGTCTACCGCCAAGCTGTATCTCTGCCTCCTTAGTGTATAGTCTCTAAAATAATTAAGGGTCATGATGAGGACAGAAACTCTAGGAACTGGCAGAAAGCCATCAAGCGGACAATGCAGGGGCTTCCCAGAGTGCCCTTGGGCTTTCTTGCCCCCTCCAATACCATGGGAGTGCTTCCCCTACCTCAGGGGAACTCACAAAAATTCTTAAATCTTTGACGATTTGAAAATGTGGCATTTTTCCCATTTTCCATCTCTTCGATTATAGAAGAGTCTAAATTACACTTACTAATCATTGACTGCCTTAGTAAGTTCTTCAGTGGGCCATCTCTCATAATGGAAATATAGGGGTTTGTTTATTTGTTTTTAATCAAACAGGAAGCAGTAGAGACAGACGTTTGGGAGCCTGGATTGTGGAATCAGAGAAATGGGTCTATATCTCAATAGGCAAGTATTCTGTTTTTCCTTCTGTAAAATGGAATAAAACCATCTCCTGCAGTGAGTAACTGTAGTAAAGGTAAAGAGGTCTGCAGAACTCTTTGTCTGATACGTGTGTTCAAAACACAACCCCCAACAGTCAGAATTTATTATGTGTTAAAGACACAGTAGCCACACATGTAATATTTTGAGGTTTTTTGTAATGTATCCCAGTCATATTTATGATCTTATCTGATAGAAAGGATTTTAATTATTAAAAATTTATTTATTTTTGTTTTATTATGTAAGTGGTTTTGCTTGCATGTATACATGTGTACCACATGCGTGCCTCATGCCTTTGGAGCCCAGAAGAGGGCATCAGAGCCCCTGAAGCTGAGTGAGGGCTCTGAGGGTTGCGAACCTCTGTGTGGGTGCTGCGAACCGAAGCTGGGTGCTGTGCAAGAGCAGTAAGCTCGTCACTGCTGAGCCTTGGATTTTAAACTTGTCAGGTCAGGTTTATCAACCACCGCCACAGTGACTTCTTACATGGGTATGTTTCTTAGAAAGCAATTTCTATTCAGAGATGAGATAAGAGCTTTTTTAAGGAAAAATTTTCATTAAATTCTTTTTTTAAAAAAGATTTATTTATTTAATGTATGTCTGTATGAGAGTGTAAGATCCCCTGGAACTGGAATTACAGACAGTTGTGAACTGCCATGTAGGTGCTGGGAATTGAACCTGCGTCCTCTGGAAGAGCGGCCAGTACTCTTAACCTCTGAGTGATCTCTCCAGCCCCTCATTAAATTCTTTAAGCTCTTTAAATTCATCTGGAAATTATTCTTTGCCAAATGTGTAAAATGAAAAATTAATATTTTCCTTAACAGTTAATTTCACCAAAATACAATAAAAGTATAGTTCTACATATAATAAATACAGGGTTTACTTCCTTCCCATCAGTTTGTGATTCTTCCTTTGTCATATATAAGTATATACATACAGAAAATATAACTATTCATTATTTGTTTTCTGTAAACCAAAGTTTTTACTGAAAAAAAAAATGAAAAATGTTAAGAGTCCTTATTCACTGAAAATGTCCACCCTGCGAGGGTAATACTTTTTTTAAAATTATTTATTTTATTTTATGTGCATTAGTGTTTTGCTTGCACATATGTCAGTGTGCGGGTGTGCAGACCATTGTGAGCTGCCATGTGGGTGCTGGGAATTGAACCTGTGTCCTCTGGAAGAGCAGCCAGTGCTATTAACCACTGAGCCATATCTCCAGGCCCAAGGGTCACACTTTTTAAACATAAGGTCCCCGAGGGTCACACTTTTTAAACATAAGGTCCCCGAGGGTTACACTTTTTAAACATAAGGTCCTTTTGTCCTCCACTGTCACCATTAATTTCAATCTCAACACAACTTTCATCAACAGATTGAAGACTGACATGAGGTTTATTTCCAGAATATCTCATAAAATTGAAGGGCATTCCCAGCCCCCAAAAGTATTTGTTATTTCAAGCCATAAAATTGGCTTGAAATCATCAGTACCTGAAGCAGAAAATCTGAATCACTTCAGACCAACCCCAAAGACTTTACCTTTTCATGCTTGGATCCGATCAGCAGGTATGTTGGGCCTTGGTCTTTGGGGTGGATAACGATGGTATAGTGAGTGGATAAGAGACACCGTCCACTGGCTTCGTAGTCTTCATCTGAGTCACAGGACCTGTCCACCTCCTCCACCTTAGCCTCCCAGAGTTTGATCTGACCTAGAGGAAACTGAAGCAAAGGTCAGCAACAGTGAGGCAGGCACGTTCAGTCTCTTCCTGCTAGAAGTTATAATGGTCCTTTCTGGTTTTTACTTCTAAAAAGCATGCTTTAACACAAAATGCCTCACTGAAATCTGATTCTCCACTTTGTTACAAATATAATAGCAGCAAGCAGAAACCCCCACAGTGACGTAAAACAAGCAAGTGGATACTGGACATTTAACATTTGAGGAAAAAAGATAACAAGGATGGATGTGTCAGTTTATTCAGCTGGACTCAAACAGCCGATTCCTTGCTCACGATACAGTAACATTTCAGCCAAAATAATTCAGAATTGATGAGAGGTTTGGTTAAGCTAGTGGACCAAATCGTAAAGTGTAGACAGAGACTCCATATTGTTCACAGAAAAAAATAACCAGGCAGCTGATACCAAGGTCACCTCAGACCCCCATAAACATCTAATGTCCTCAGACTATTTATCAAAGTATATAACTGAGAAAGACAGTGGTTCTTTCCATTGCAATTTAAGGGTAAGAAAACCTTCCTGCAGCTAGTTTTGTTAAAGTTTATCTATTCTTTTACTGACTAACATAAACATGTCTTCCATGTTAGTTATTTAGTATCTGTTTTTAAACTTTTACGTTAGTTAAGAACATTAAAGAGCATTCTTCAGGTTTATAGCTTCTAAAATATTTGGCCACGTTTACAATTGCAGGGAGTACCTTTTTTGGGGGGTGGGGGTGGGGAAGGGTGCGGAGGCAATGCATCACTATATATCTAGGCACTGCAGTCGTCCCCCATTCCTGGGTAATGGGATTATAGGCATGCATCCCATGCCTGGCTGCATGCCCTTCTGTGAAAAAGCCCCTTCTAACCACAAAGACATGTGTTATCATCCATTTTTATGATACATTCCAGGGCTCCGTCCTTGGACTCTTTGTCCTGACCACCTACACACACGGTGGGTGATCTCATCCGAGCCCCTAGCCTTAATCCCAGCAGATGTTAGCTACTCCCAAATGCCTAACTCCAGACTCATGATCTGGACTCAGATGTCTAAGAGCGTCTCAAACTCCCTTCAACAAGTCTACCTCAACCACCTGCTCCTCCTCCCAGCCTTTCCCACCGCAATCGATGACTTCATCTTTCCAAACGTTGGGGCCAAAACCTCTGACAGCGTCACTGACCCTTTTCTTTCCCTGACATAAATTCTGTCAACAAGATTTTCAAAATATATGGTCTCTTTTGAGAGCGCCAGAGCCCCACTAGCCACAGCTGTCCCTGCCCTGGATTAGTCTAACAGTCTCCTAATTAGAGTCTTCCTCAATCCCTTCAGTCTGTTCCTAAATAGAAGCCTCGTGTTCCTGGGAGACAGGGAAGACTGTGTGCCGGAGCTGTTCAAAATCCTCCGGTGTGTCTTGTCTCAGAGTAAAAGCTGGGGGTAGCAGGACCCGGCAGGCCAAAAGACACCTCTTTGGCCTGAAGAGTATTTTGAACTATAGCTATTTTCAAAATAAAACAGAAACACAGGTGAAGTGGGGTACTCTGACTCCCCCTTTTTCTCTTCCAAGGCCGGAGACAAAGCTCCCATATGGAAGATGCTCTTGGTAACAGGCTTGAAAACAACATCCTCAGCATCGAGATGGGAAGCTTATGCAGAAACTGTCGTCCAGCCCTGCCTCGCCTGCTGGACACTTCTCCACCCAGTTGGCTACAAGGCCTGTCCCTGGGCCTTTCCCTGTTTTCCCAAGATACTGTTTGTCCGGTTTCTGGGGGTCTTCACTTCCTGTCAAAACCTCATGTGTCCTACGCAACTAACATTCAGTAAGTTTGTATACTTTTCTCCTAGAATCTGTCCCAGGTCAGTTTAATCCTGGTAATCCAGGCCTGCTGAAAACCCTACTGACACAGAGGTAAAATTTTGTCTCCCTTACAAGGCCAGCATTTGACTTTGACCTACTAGGACCCGTACGGTTCAGGCTCTGTCATAGCCCTCACCTCACTTCCACAATTCTTCTCCTAAGGGATTCCAGTCCAGTCACATTGACTCCATTCTTTCTAAACACCGCAGGCATGCTCCTGCCTCAGGGCCCTTGCATCTGGTGTTCCCTCTGCCTGGAATATTGCCACAAATATTCACATGGTTGCACTTTTACCTCCTTTAGGATCCAATGAAAAGCAAGATCCTACTGGGATCTTGCATAGAAAACAAAATAACATCTACCTGGTGGCTGGATAAAGACGACTTATTAAACACATTATCTTTCACATGGAATGTATTTTTGTGGCTGCACTGTTAACCCCATCCCGCCAGCCATGCAGAGAACAACGGCCCACGTGTTAAATACAGCTGGTAGACCTGGAAGCCTGTGAAAGGGGACCAGGGAAATAACTGGCCCACACGATCCCTGGACCAAGTCTAGTACCATTAACCAACTAACCAGCCAGAGGCTGCTGTTCTGTGGAGCTGATACCATCATTTTATACAAGTGTCCAAGGCCCATATATACTGGCTAAATTCATGTAGTCATAGGGACACTAAGGTGGCACTGAGTGCCCACAATGACTTGTGCCCATTTCACCTTTGACAGACGGCCCATCTTTCTACTTTTAAAGTGAAGATTGCTCAAGGTCCTGGGAGTAAGGGAAGATGACAGTTTAGAAGTGAGTGGACAGGTAAACAGGGACGAATGGATGAACGGCGGTATCTGGGCATCTGACGACAGTCCGGATTCCTTTCCCTCCCTTGGCTATCCTTCCTGGTTGTTCACATCTACCTTTATCTCATCTGTCAGGACGCTGGGAAGCGTGGCAAAGTGGAGGTTAGGAGGGCAATAAAAGAAGGCTTTGCTTTTCCAGTTGTTAGAAAATGAGGTGGGTAAAAGTCACTAAGCGAAAGTTTACAATCACAGCCCAAGTAGGTTATTACCCTGGTTATAAATATAACAGCAACCTACCAAAAAAATTCTAGGTTTTTGCCTAGCAACAGAAAAGTCAAAGGGGAAAGCTTTTTGAAGCCACCACAAGCAAAGTTCTTTCTCTCATTGGGATATTAAGATGCATACATACCTTATCCTCTTGACTGCGGAAATAATACAAGGTCTTCCCAACAAGCGTACACCAGACTCTCTTAGAGTAGCCATGTTTTACCTGAAATTAGATTTCAGTGGCTTAAAATGTCGTTCAGAAGTCTGGAAAATTGCAGTAGAGTTTATATGCTCTCTGTGAAGCTCTCCAGGTGTCTGGTTTGCTCAAGGCGGAAGTGCTGTTCTCAGGGGACTGCTCAAACGCTGCCCAGACGTGCCTGTGACAGCCGACAGCAGTCACACAGCCCACTCACTTTACAGCCCCCTCACACAGCACTTCCCGAGAGTCTGCTGTGTGTCACACACGATGCTTCCGACTAGGACAGATGTTCCCAACGTGTGGGTCGCGACCCCTTTGGGGGGAGTCAAGTGACCTTTTCATAGCGGTCACCTAAGACCATTGCAAAACACAGATATGTATATTCTGATTCGTAACAGTAGCAAAATTATAGTTACGAAGCAGCACTGAAAATAATTTTATAGTTGGGTCACAACAAAATGAGGAACTGTGTTAAAGGGTGGCTGAGGACCTTCTTGTTCTAGGACTAGGATCAGGAGCCAATCTCACAATTAAGTTTATTCCATAGTTTCCTTACTTCAAAGATTTCCAATAACCCGGTGGCTCTCTGGGTTAGCATTTTAATGTTCAAACAAAGAAGACTAAAACCCGAAGAATGCTAGGGATTTCCTGAACAAAAAGAAACAAAAACTTGTTGCTTTCTCCAGAAGGAACCACACAGAATGACACACGGCCATCAAAGGCTGTCACTACGTTGAGGCTGAGACCGGCTCCCCTCAGGCCCATGTGAAGTGACAGAGACAGAATCCGAATCCGAGTCGAGACTGTGTCCAGTCGGAGGTTAAACCGGAGAAACTGATGTGAACGTACCACAGCCTACTTCTGCAAGAGCTCACAGTCTTTGTGGGGACACTGTATCATCTGTTTAGTATCGAGAAGGGGTCAAACGTGGTGGCTTCTGTAGCTCTGGACTGTGGGTTCCAACCTGCCCTAGTCCTGCTCGGGTAGAGGCATAGAAGGTCTATACCAGACAGACACCACTACATCCTCCATTCTACAAGAAGATGAAGAAACCCATTCCCACCAGTGGGCAAGCCTAAGATAAAGCCCTATTCCAATATCCCATTCCAGAATAGTTTGTGCTTGTCTGAATCTGCTCTGAAACTCCACTCCCCTGGCAGTGGTCCTGTCAATCTAGCATTGGCATCACACACACACATACACACACACACACACACACACACACACATTCACACTCCGGTGTCCTCAGGCAAGTGACTTACCCAGCTACCCTGTCATAACAGGATTACTGCACACCTCCCTGGGCTATCATTTGACTAAATGAGATAACATATAAATAAAAATTAATAGTAGCTGCAATAAATGCTTCCTTCTTCCTATATAAATTGTTAAACACAGCCGGGCGGTGGTGGCGCACGCCTTTAATCCCAGCACTCGGGAGGCAGAGCCAGGCAGATCTCTGTGAGTTCGAGGCCAGCCTGGGCTACCAAATGAGTTCCAGGAGAGGCGCAAAGCTACACAGAGAAACCCTGTCTCGAAAAACCAAAAAAAAAGAAAAAAAAAATGTTAAACACATGGCCTCTTTCAAACCCACAAAACCAGCTAGCCTCTTGGCTCTCAAAGCTATGGTTTAAACGAATCACTCTGCCACTAATGTTTTGGTGGATTTAGAATGCTCCTTTTGAAACAACAACAACAACAACAACAACAACAACAACAAAAACAAGTAGGTTTTGTTTGGCAAGGCACGTCTCAGTTAAATTAAATTTGGAAACGTGTATTTACAGAAAATATCCTGGGCTTTTCAGTGCTCTGCAGGACCCTTTCCTTTTTCTTTAAACAGCTCCGAAAGAAGTTTCCTCAAAACCGGAGTGAAATTCACATATTTTGGAAATGATTTATTTTGAAAATGGAACAATGTTTGCGTCTACACCAAAAGCAAGTGGAAAGCTTTACCAACTCCCGTAAAAGCTGCGCTTTAAAAGTATAAACACAGCCCAACTTTACACATACATCTTATATTAGGATTTCTTCACACTCTGGTTCTGAAACACATTTTAACAAAGCCTATCATAGCAGACAAATCCTTACGGAGATGCAAAGACCACCTCAAAGGCTTGGCACACCAAAAAGCTTAAAAACTAATCTATCAAGACCTTGCCTTGATAACAGAAGCCTTCCATGTCAGTGGTGTTAAACGTTGGAGAAGAAGCAATAGATTTCACTCTAAGGCTTTGTCAACACACAAACTCCGAGCTCCCCGGTCTCCTCTCTTCTCCGGCCACCTCATCCCTGTCATACTACCAGCCTGGCTGACTTCAGTATCTGCAAGAATCTCCTGTGACGACACCTAGCCTTTTTAAGTGCTTGTGATGGACCAGGAATTGTCCGAACACACTTGACATGTTGAAATGAAACATATTTCATGGTTTCAACACCCTTGAGGGTTGTCACCACGATTACCTCCCATTTCACAGATGAGGACACTGAGGCACGGAGCCTGTAAGTAACTTATTCCAGGTCACACAGGTGGCGGGTACCACCAGCTCTTCCCCTCCTGCCTCTGAAGCATCTCTTCAGTTGTGCTCTTTCCATTTCCAATAAACTTAGCTGCTTTTCATGTTTCCCACCCCTTGTCCTCACACCCTAGCTCCTTTTTCCCACACTGGAAATCACTCTGTGGTGGTATTATGTTCCCCAAAATATTGTGTACCTTAATAAACTTATCTGGGGTCAGAGAACAGAAAAGCCACAAGATACTTAGGCTAGAAAATGTTAGCACACGCCTTTAATCCTAGCATTCCAGAGACAGAAATCCCTCTGGATCTCTGTGAGTTCAAGGCCGCATTGGAAACAGCCAGGCATGGTGACTCACGCCTTTAATCCCAGAAAGCAGCCTTTAATCTCAGGGAGTGGTGGTAGAAAACAGAAAGGTATATAAGGTGTGAGGACCAGAAACTAGAAGCATTTGGCTGGTTAAGCATTTGGCTGGTTAAGCTTTCAGACTTCTAGCAGCAGTTCAGCTGAGAGCCATTTGGATATGAGGACTCAGAGGCCTCCAGTCTGAGAAACAAGACGAGCTGAGGATCTGGCGAGGTGAGATAGCTGTGGCTTGTTCTGTCTCTCTGACCCTGACCATCCAGCATTTCACCTCAATACCTGGCTCAGGTTTGATTTTATTAATAAGAACTTTTAAGACTCATGCTATATCACTCACTTCTGTAACTTACACTCTGTCATCCCCCGCCGCCCTCTCACTCACACCATTGCTATTCTTTGACCTGCTTCCTGCCTCAAGTCCCCAGATCCAACCGTCTCCTAGTGTCTCCCTTCCGGCCTGGCCTCTTCCTTCTCTGCCAACCTGGGATCCCGGTGTTTGATTGTAAAACAACTCTTACCCCAGGGCCCATGACCAAATCGCATTCCTATGCTCCTAACAAATCCCTTCAACAAGACTTCACCTCCACTTGCCTTTAAACAGTCCAGTGGAGGATGTGAGAAAGGAGAAAGCTATTTGTAGATAGGTATTCTGAGGTGGGATTAGTCATGGTTAACAACTGTTGAGACTGGATGGTGAATCTGTGAAGGGGCATTATATCCTTTACTTTTGGATATTTGAAATTTCATAATAAACTACACACTTCAAACCATCACCTTGATAGGCATGAAGTAAAACAAGTAAAAAGTTAATTGTAGAATCCAGGTGGTGGAAATATGGATCCTTACTGTAAAGATTCTTCCAAATCTATTTCATATTTGAAATTTTATATAATAAGATGTTAGAATAAGTCACTATGCTCCTGTCTCCAAACTGCAAAGTCTCTGCTCCTAATATAGGCATTGAAGATATTAGAGAAAAATAACTAATATGAACCCCAACCATTACAGTTCCGTGAGCCCTTAGTAACACAAATAAATCCCAAATGTCTCTGGCTACATATATCCTTAGTGATTACACCCAATCTTTTCCCCTACTCTCAGTAAATACCTTTGTCTTGGGGAGACCAAGAAAACCAAGGACATCAAGAGTGACCTCACTCCATGTCCCTCGAATACAGATGTTCATTGACACCCCTCTTCACTTCCTTCCAGGCCAGCCTCTCTATCATGTCTTTCCCCGATTCCCACCCGCTCACTTCTGGGTCTTATTCTTAATCTTCCACGTTTCCTAGCTTCCTTCCTCAGCTTCTAAATACAGGGCACATGTCTTTCCCATCCTCTTTGTTCACCCCAGCTTGATTCTTTCTGGTGCCCTGGAGAGTACAGACAGCCCTGTAAACTCACACCCTACACGTGCCTCCCATTTACCCTCCACCCTATTGCAACGTGCCCTCTTCACTGAGGATGACCCACAGACATCCCCCCACTCCTGCTCATGGGTTCCACTCCCAGGCTCCATGACAGTACCCTCGGGATTTTCCATCCATTCCCCTACATCCCCTACATTTTGGAGTGTTCCATTCCCCATCTCTTGCTCTGAATGTCACATTATTTCTTTTCTGAATGATTTCTCTAATTTTCATTGTTCTAACAGTTACTTAAAAGATGCCAGGTCCCCAAGCCTTCCTTTCCCAGCCTGCTCTCTCCTCCAGTGTAGACTGTTCTATTGCCTCCTAAGTTTAAAAACAAAACACCAGTTATTATTACTGTGTGTGTGAGAGTGTATGCTGGGTGAGTGTGTACAAGTCATGATGGACATGTGGAGGTCAGAAGACAACATTGTGAGATAATTCCAGGGATTGAACTCAGCTTGCCAGGCTTATGCAGCAAGCACCTTTGCTTGAATGAGCCATCTTGTTAGCCTGTGATGTTTCCTAGATAAGATGTCTTTACAACCTCAAAACATTGGTTGTAGGGTAAAAAGGGCCAGTGAAAGAGCACCCTGGCCCTGAGACCAGAGCCAAGGAAATACACCCTGCCCCTAACCAACCCAGGAATTGAAATCCAACCAATCCCCGAGCACGAAAACTAACCAATCCCTAAGATCAAACTGAACCAATCTCTGAGTTTGTCCCAAGATCAGGAATTGAAATCTTACCGATCCCCATCCTGAAAATAACCACCTTGGAAAGTTCCACCCCTAAGAAACCCTATAGAAGCCCTATGCCTGTTCAGTTTGGGGCTGCCTTTTTCCCACTTTGGCAGAGACAGCCACTCTCCTGGATTCCTCCCTCCCAATAAATCTCTTGAGTGACGTTTGTTGTAAGGATGCTCTTTGGCCAGAGCAGAGCAGAGCACAGATGTAACAACTTTCCCCAGAACACTGCAGAGCTGTCACGATCTTACAGGAGCGGAACAGAACTGTAACACTTTGGCTGGGGAAGCTTTCCCTTGCTGGAGCAGAATTGTTGCACTCGGGGAAGCTGGGAAGAGTTGTAACATTTCTCCAAGCAGAGTTGTAACTACCTCCCTGGGGAAACCCTCCTCTTCTAGAGTAGGGTTGTTACACTTGCATTAAGGATACTTTTCCTAGAGCAAGGACTGTAACACTTTGCTGGGGAACGTCCCCCACTGGAACAGAAGTGTAACACTTCTGTTGGGATACCTTTCCCTTCAGAGCTGTAGGTATTCCTTGGCTTCCAACGGCCGGGATACGTTTCCCTTCAGAGCTGTAACACTTACACTGGTATGTTCCCAAACAGACTGTCCATCTGAAAGCCTCTCCTTTCTCCCAAAAGCATTCTCATCTAATCCCATCCTTCATCTGGACACTTAGAAAAACCTTGTCTACTTCCTAAGCCAATAGAAGAAGAGCTATTTAAATTCTTCCTCCCTTCTCTTTTCCCATGACCAGTTCATAGCCCACGTCCATGAGAGCCATGACTTTAACTGTGCTTAGACTATCTACCATGCCTCCTGCAGGTTCCTCCTCCTCAGCAGAACAAGCTGTTAACAGCATCCATATGTCCACGTCCCCATTTCAAACCCTGAAGAGCTCTAGACAATCCTTGACGAAGCCCAAAGTACTTAACCTGCCATAAAACAAAGAGCTCTCTGGTGTCTGTCTCCAAATGTTGCTAATTCAGGGAACTCAGCTTCATTATGCCTCATCCACATTGTCTCCACCCCCATGGGGTGGCTTCTCTGCCCATTGCCAGTTGGTAAAACTAACTCTTATTCCTCATGGTTATGAATTATAGAGCAAATGGGGATTAGTCTACCACTGTATTCACTTTTAAAGTATATTTTCCACAATGCCATGAAGTTCCCAATAAATAAGTAAATGTTTGAATGGTAATGGAATATTTTACCAAAAAAAGGAAAAAAAAAAAAAAAGACTGAAATGACTCATTCAGTAAAGTGTTTGCCACAGCAAGCGTGAAGACCTGAGTTCAATCCCTTAGAACCACTGAGAAAGGCCAGGAAAGGCATATTTGCCTATAATCCCAATGTTGGGGATGCAGAGACAGGAAGATCCCCCAAAGCCAGCCATTCCAACAAAAGCTGTCAGCTCTAGGCTCAGTGAGAGAACAGAACCCAACAAATAAATAAATAAGTAAACAAGTAAATAATAAATAAATAAATAAGTGGAGAGTGATTGAGGAAGACCCTTGACGTGAACTTCTAGCTTACACACACACACACACACACACACACACACACACACACACACACGCACACAGAGCACATATCTTTATTGAATACACTGGTGAATTCTTTCTCAGAATTTTGGCGCTCAGTGTTACTCCAGTCAGTCAGATTTTGTAAATATTACTGAATACCACCCGCCCACATTTCCACATTATGATTAGATATAAATGACAGCCTAGTATATATCCCACCTGTAAAACTTTGACCTCTTGACATAAACAGAACACAAGCACATCACTACGGATATATAAAAACTTTACTGTGTAATCTCAAAAGTGACCAACAGGATGTTTTCAGCATTTGAAATAATAAGTGGTTCTGTCCTTTATAATTCCCTGTAGAGGAGTTAATGTAGTGGATATCTGTTCTATCTATGACCTTGAAGCACCACCTCTAGAGATGTAGCAGGTAACTGACCTATCTACCTATGACCTTGAAGTACCTGCCCCTGGGGTGTAGCTCAGGGCTACCTTAAGACTTGAGACACCTAGCCTCTCTCTTCTCTTTTTCGTGGGCTTGGATGCTGAGACAGACCCAAGTGGAAGAACAGCGTTGGACTGTACCTCAGACTTCCAGGACCCTATGATAAATCTCCTGTGCTGTAGTGAGTCTTCCTCCATAATAAATTCCTTTACCCATTAAGCAGATTCTGTGGATTTCTGGTAATAAGTTAACATGGCAAAACTCTAGTAATGCACTGTGATTCACACCAAGCCAGAGATATCACTCTGCTGAAGACTTCTGCCAAACCATTTGACCTTAATGAACACAGCAGACCTGCTGACTGACTGCCTTATTCTATTAGTGTCTATATATTGTGTGGAGCTGCTACTGGAGCTGATATGTAGAACAAACTATTTTTCATTTCATGGGAATGGACGGTCCTAAAAAACTCAGTAATTTGTAACAATCTTACATAAAAGGAGGGAAAAGGTGCTGTTTTCAGTAAATATTTCAGAAGTAATACTAATTCTGAAATAGTTAACAAAATTTCCCAAACAATAAAACTACATGGAAATAACCAATCTACCTTGGTATGTATCCTATTCAGACATTTGTTCCTAAGTAAAAAGGAGTAATAATGCCATGATACTCTGTGCCTGTCACCTAACAATGTCATTACACATTCCTGAGGTAACAAGAGTCCTTTTGTAACATTTAAACGGATCATCACACACAAGATTTTATTTAAGCTACTCCTGACCCCACATCTAAGTCTATTTCAGTTTTTCTTGATTATTAAACCACGCTATACAAAGATTTTTTTTTCTGGAGTAATAAGTATGTTCTGTATCATAGCCGGGTGTGGTGGTACACGTCTTTAATCCCAGCTGTCAGGAGGCAGAGGCAGGCAGATCTCTGAGTTTGGCTACACAGAGAAACCCTGTCTTGAAAAGCTCTCCCCCTCCCCGCAAAAAATTCTGAATCTCGATAGTCACAGTAAATGAATTTCAAAATCCACTTTACTTTTGACTTCTGCATTTCAGAGTATGTCAGCTATTCCTCATTTTATCCTTCCCATTAGCGGAGAAAACAAAACACGTTGTGGTGAGCATCCCTATATTTAAATCTTATGCAAATTCAGACTGCTTTCAAAGGATAAATTCTTCCAACGGAGAGGACCGAATCAAATGGAATTTTATTTTATTTTTTATGCTTTACACTCATTTTAAAGTTACATTTATTTATTTGGGTGGATAAATAAATAAATTATATGTCTTTATTTGGATGCCTGGGTGGAGGTCAGAGGACAATTTGTGGGAGTCAGTTCTTTCTTTCCACCACGTGGACACCAGAGACTGAGCTCAAGTCACTAGGCTTGGTGAAAAGTGCCTTTACCTGCTGAACCAGCATCTCACCAGCCCCCCGAAACAGTGTGTTTCTAAGGTATTTGATGTTTGGGGCTGGGGAGGCATGCTCAGTCAGTAAAGCACTTGCTATGCAAATGTGAGGCTCTGAGTTCAAGTTCCAGCACCCACAGAAAAAGCCAGGAACGGTGGTGTGCTTTAATCCCAGCTGCAGAAGAGGATCCCTCAGGGCTCTGGCCACATAGCCTAGTCAATCTCTGAGAGGACCCTGTCTCAAAGAACAGGTTGAGGGCTGGTGACATGGCTCGGTGAGTAAAGGCACTTGTCGCCGAGACTGGTGATCTGTGTTTAATCCCAGAGCCCACATGGTGGATGGAGAGAACTGTCGCCCACAAGTAAGTACTTAGCGGTATAGGAGTACGTGAGGATGTATTGCCAGGCGACACACACAACTGCAGTGGCATGTTCCCCCCTGACATAAACATGCAAGCTCACATAATATAAATAAATGCGAAAATTAAAAAAGAAATGAAAGAAAAAACAACACTGAGGTTGACCTCTGTCTTCCACATACATGCACACACATGCACATATACAAACAGGTACACACATTGTACACACACACACACACACACACACACACACACACACACACACATTAAATAAATAACGGAGTAAAAAATATTTAACGAGCCTTTTCTAATCAATAACCAAAGAGTGGATACCAAAATCCTGAAGGACACAATGGAAGAGGTGTAGATACGGTAGAGCTAAGAAGAGAAAAGATCAGCAATTATAGCAGCAATCAGCTTGCTATCTCTAAGAATTTTTAATGCACAAATTGATAAAATGAATATCATTTTAAAATCTGCTTAAAGGTAAGACTTTTTTTTAAAAAAAAACATTGAAACCCAATATTGAAATGTACTTGTTAGCGCGCGCACATGTATGGAGGTCAGAGGAACTGGTGGAAGCCGGTTCTCTCCCACTATGTGTGTTTTAGGGATCAAACCCAGGCCTTCAGACTTGGCAGCAAACACTTCCATCTGCTCAGCCGCCTCCCCAGCCCAAGCTTATTACACATTAAGGATATTAACTGGGTTTCACACCTTTCAATGACCTTTTCAAATTTTTCCACTTAGATTTTTGCATGTGGCCAAATTTATCTTTTTTTCATCTCTGATTCTCCCTCCACTCCCCTGCTTGGGCACTATGCTTAAAAACACCCTTCCCACCCCCCAAACAAAATATTAAATGCATATTATTATCTGAACCCCATTCTTCATGACGCATGGAGCTTACCAAAGCCGCTGCCTAGGATGCTGCTCTGCATCCACGCGTCCTACCTTGGTGAGCAATCCCTTCGCTGTTGGCTTGCCCTCAGGCTGCAGGCAGAGGGGATTGGCAGCTTGCACTCGCAGAACATTCTGTAGCACTTTAATCCATTCTTCCAAGATGTTGGGAGAATCTGCAGTCAGATAGTACGTGTGCTTCTCGGTGGTCAGCTAGAATGGGAGAAGGAGCAACCGGAGAGGCACTCGCGATGACTTAGTCCTTGTCCACTCAAACATCATTCCTGACGGGAAAGCAAGCACGGCACACCCAGAGCCCCCGGTTCCCAGAGATGTAGACTTCTTTAGCCACTGTGTGAGGATGATGACCACTGAGCTAAAATCCTTTACACCCAGGCCTGACACTGGTCACACTGTTAAATCTAGGGTCCTGGTTGTATATCTTCAATTGTCACACGTCCCTCTGCTCCCCACGGTGTGATAAGCTCTAGGCTGTTGAACAAGAAGACTGGAGATGATGATAGACAGACAGAAAGTTCTCAGGGCAAAAGGGGATTTTCCTGGACAGAAGTGAGAAAGTGAACTATAAACAAATGAGGACTTCCACACCAACTCCTGGCGCTACACGGGACCAGTTACCAAGAACTCAGGATATTCCAGTCTCAAATTACTGTGTTGCCAATTTCCCAAACGTGTCGGGACTTTACGATCGATTCTTGGCAGACATGTGTCGGAGCTTTCCCCGATTCATTCATCTTAACCTCAGGCACCCCTAGTCTACTGGGACGCAGCCATGAACTGCCTAGCAAATGTCTTCTACCCTCCACAGGAACAAGACAAAAAAATAATGGTTATTGAAACAGTTCAGAAGCAAAGTGTCCGAATTTAGATATAAGCAGACTATCTCAAGAGGCTGTTTAACTCAAACACGTGTATGTGTGGGTAAGGCGGGCATCAGCCATCTCCGATACAGTGGCAGTACAGGGCCTCTGTTCACCAACAGATTTCTCTTTCTGAAGTTCATCGGAGAACTGTCACTGTCCGATTCTATACTAAAATACAAACATTCTTGAATTTAATAGTATATTAGATTAGGGCTGTTCCCTGGGAAGCCAAGGGTGGACCTAGCCCAAGTCCACCTTCCTGGCTAGTATTTAATTAAAAGCTTGCTTCAAATTTGACTAAAAAAAAAAAAAAAAAAAAGATTGATTAGATTACAAATATCTCGGAAATTCATTTACTGGATAACCCTCCCCTAAAAAAACTTGACATTTTTGAGAGCTGAAAATGCCCGAGAGATTAAATATTCACAAGATATGCACCTGGACTGTTTGCTTGTTATCTCCCTTAACAATACTGCAGGATGCGCTGAGTTCAATGTGGCCCTGAGGTTTCCGAATTACATCACTCTGTATAAGAGGAGGAAAAGCAAACACAGATCAGCTCTAACAGCAATTACAGGAAATGTTTTGTAGCATTAATGCATAATTAAAATGTCAACCTTATTTTTACTTTATGCGTATGGATATTTTGCTTGCATTTGTGTCTACGCATTGTGTATATGCAGTGTCTGGACAAGCCAGGAGAGGTTGTCAGATCCCCTGGGACTGGAGTTACAGACGGTCATGAGCCCGCCATGTAGGTGCTGGGAATGGAACCAGGATCTTCTGCAAGAACAGTCAGGGCTGAGACATCTCTCCCGGCCCCATAATTAGTTTTGTGTTACAGGAAAGGAAACCACCGGGAGTCTGCTTTACAGTGTGAGGAATTCGGGTCTCAATGGCCACTGCCCACTCACTGGAGACTTGTAGTAAAGTAATTCACCGCCTTTCAGGACAAACCACCTCCTCTTCCAAGTCTTGACTTTCCCGCTCATTTTTAGTAGGTAGCCAGATTTTTCTAATGGTTCCTAATGAAAAGAAAACATTTGAAAGTGATGTTTTGTTTCCTTTGGGAAGGCAAACTAGCAGATTCATTAATTTCTCAACGTCTGATTCAACGTTTACATTTTTCCCACTTTCACTGGAGGAGGAGCAGGTTTTAGGGAGCTTCTGCTCAGGCTGAGAGCACTCCGTGTCGGCGCAATAGGCATCAGGTGGGATGGCGTAGTCGCTTTCAGAAGCCACGGAAGAGACAGAGACGCCTAGGAAAACAGAGACACAAACGGAGTCAATATTTCATCCTGGCGAGGGCCAGCAGCAGCTGTGAGTTCTCTGGCAGATGGCAACTAACTCCTACATCATAAACCATCCTTCACAAGGTTTATTTAATGTAGGAAACAGAACTAAGGGGTTGGAGGTGTTACACAGATTTCCAAGAAAGTCGAAAGAACATAAATCATATTCTGGTGAGATTGGAACCGTGAGTGTTCTCACATACACAAATCATTATGCAAGTCTACTTCTTAATGCATCTTTTAGTAAACATTTAAAATACGTGTTTTTCTATATTGATACATAGACAAATGCTGAACCTCAATAGTATTTTTCATGGAAGTCCAATAAACTACTAACCAGCTTACTGGCTTTAAAAATCCTCCACAAAAGATAAGCAATAAGTCTTTTTGGGTTTTTTTTTTTTGAGACAGTGTTTTGCTGTGTAGCTTTGGAGCCTTTTCTGGAACTCACTCTGTAGCCCAGGCTGGTCTCAAACTCACAGAGATCCACCTGCCTCTGCCTCCCGCTATACCCCTACCCCCACCCAGTGCTGGGACTAAAGGTGTGTGCCACCACTGCCCGGCAAGTCTTAAAGACACACAATTATGAAGTAAAATTCAGTGGAACATTTCCACAATTATTGAGTTGATTTTTTAGAAAGTCTCTTGTGAGTTACAAGCCATACATGGATGATAAATACAAATGGAGAGTTATAAACAGTAGGTGAAGTCAAGAACGTAGGCCATTGTGCCTTTTAAAAAAAATGTTTACTAAAGTGGCAATAATGTTACTCCTATATTACTGACCTTTACTTAACCGACTCAGACAAATAACAGTCATAGACATAGACACCAGACATTAGGAATCTCCGAGATCACCTGGCTAATGTCCTCATTGTTTAAGGAGTGAAAGACCCAGCAATGGCAAGATTAGTCCAAAGTCAAAGAACTAGGCTGGGGTGACTCTGGAGGGCAGAGCTCAGCTCCCAAGCCCAGGGCCAACACACCAGGCCGTGTCTGATGTCCTTGGGCTCCGACACACAACGAAAGACACATTTGAGTCCTCTTGGGACGGAGTCTAGTGAAGGGAAGCAGATGCCCAACCGGTAGCAAGTGTAACCAAAAGGAAATACGGAGTAATCTAAAGCACATGGGAAAGAGTTGGCGGCGGAAGAAGGGTAAGGACCACAATCTGAACGGTGTGGTCAGGATGGATCTCACTGGGGAAGCAATGTTTGAGGAGTGTGATGAAGGAGGTGGAGCTCAGTAACACACACACACACACACACACACACACACACACACACACACACGTGCGGAGTCAAGCGTGATGGCGCACACACACACACAAAGAAGCCAACACTCAGGAAGTGAACACACGAAGATAAGCAGTGTAAGGCCGATCTGGGCTACAGAGCAAGTTCAAGATTAGTCTTAGGCCACAAGAGACCCTGTCTCCAAACAAATTAGGTTTGGGCTTTTTTGTCTTGTTTTGTTTTTAAATCTGTAAACAAGAGGGCCAGTGAGGCCAGCCTTGAGTAAAGGAAGAGAAAGGAGGAGAAGATCAGACATAAAAGCGCAGGCTGACAGCTATTATGAAGAATGCTAGCAGCTGCGTTCTCAGCAAACTGTGACATCACCCGGCTGGCCACCAAGAACCAAGTCAGAGCAAGGACGCTGGTGGCAGCCCAGACATCGACCCAGAGGCAGCTTAAGTGGCTCCAGCTGAAGCCCAGGACTTTGAAGACCGCGGTGGTTCCACGCAACACAGTTTGAAAACCAGCACATCTCCAAGACCACATAGACTTTCCCAAAGAAGAGGTGCCACTCAGTGGGATCAGACCGCTCTGTAACCTCTGCCTGCGCACACAGCTTCCTAACAGCTGGGCTGGGGAGAGGGCTCGACAGAGCAAGCGCTTGCACAATTAAGCATGAGGACCTGAGTTCAGATCTCCTAAGTCCACATCAAGCCAGACACAGAAGTGAGCATCTATCGCTGCAGCACAAGATGGGAGACGGAGACAGGGGGATTCCCTAGAAGTTTGTGGGTCAGCAAGCCTTGTGGGCTAGCCTGGTGTCTAAAGCCTTGTGGACTAGCCTGGTGTCTAAAGCCTGAATAAGACGATACCTTGTCTCAAAGAGGGAAGCGACACTGAGGTTGCCTTCGGAGTTACACATGTGTGTAGTGAACACATATGCACACATACAAGCTCTCAAAATTTTATTGAAAGTTACATGTATGCACAAAGGCAAGTTGTGGTGTTTCCCACTTTCATATCAGATCAACCAACACAAATTGTAGGTGTGTTTTCTGACATTTAATAATATAGTAAATAAGTCTATCCCACAAATTAGGCAGCCAGGTAACTAAAAAAAAAAAAAAAAAACAAAACTTCACTTTGGCCAATTATTTCTTTTTATAATAATATAATACACTACTACTATTATTAATAACAATAATAAGAAGGTGATGATAGTGACAGACTGTATGAAATCACAGAGAACGAAGCAGAAAATTACCACTAGAATATGAATGTCTCAGTCCCTAGGCTGATGCTCATTTCACACGGTTTGGAGAGCGTTTTCTTAGAAATCCTATTAAGCTAAGTCCTGAATCAATATTCAGAACGTGCGGGGCATTGCCTCCTGTGCATGAGCTTTCCCCTCACCTCGCTTCATGGCTCTGGGACTGTTGGGCCCACTGCGGCTGCGCGTATCTGACTCCGACGTCCGGGAGCTGGACCTGGAACTGTCCTCTTCCTCCGAGCCAGAGGAATCATCCAGGAAAGGACTGCTACTTATTTGTGTCGCCTTCTAAAGAAAAGCAGGACAGCCCCCCCCCCCTGTATCCATCTCTAAAGTTACTGTCCTCTTTAGACATACAATGCTTTGTAGAAAGCACTCATAGGTCTATTTTTAAAAGAAAGGAAATAGCATATTTTGACATCATGAAAGTCTGTCTTCAAAACCTTCGATTCTAATTAGCTAGGAATTTGTCAATTATAAAAGAGCCTTGGAACCATAAGACTGTCAGTATCTGACAGTCCTTGTTTTAATTAGGTTCTTCTGGCAATGGGGGCCCTGGCAGGAACACAAAGCCCTTTATAAATTAAGAGTTTTCATTGCATCATTAATAATATGCTAACAGTCTGGGGCAGGGGTAAGGAGGAACCACATCGCAATCATCTTCTCCAGGCCATTCCATTTCTTCTTCCTTTGTTTTTTCTTTTATGATATCTTAATGTGATCTTGTAAAGCTTTACATAGTGGAGAGGCTAGAATGTTAGAGGTGGAATCTGGAGCTTGAAGGAAGTTTCCCTGCACATCCTGAGGAGACCCATATGTTTAACAGCAAGAGATGCATTCATTACCCCCTTCAGCGTTGTGTACACTGGGATCGTCATATTCTTGTATATCAGGGATGTATAAAGGCCTGATGCAGAGCAGGAAAGTATGGTTGCAGAATCTGAAACAGAAAACAACATTGGAGAAAAACTCTCCATCTAGTGCACTGGTCCATTTATTATGAATATATATGAAAAAGAAATCAGATTAGCAGGCGGTTATTAACATTATTTTATGAGTTATGACATTTAGAGATTTACATCTGCACTTTTTGATTTTTTTTTTAGAGCCTTACTGTGGAGCCTAGGCGAGCATCAAGCTAGCAAGTGATCCTCCTGCCTCAGCCTCCTGATTGCTAGGAGTATAGGCACCACACGCAGCTACAGATACTCAGTTTCTCATGGACCTTTATTTCCTCGTGTGTACCAGCTCGTCAACTCGTTGTAAGTTCTCTGACAGCGAAAACCATGCTTTTATTTCTTCAGTCTCTCGGCTCATGCTTAGCTGCGCAGAACTAAGCACCAGTGACCACTCACTGATTCAGTAAGCGGTCCCTTGGAGAGTTGAAGCCCTGTCTCTGACTTGGTGTTAGAGCACTATCATTCTTAAACGCTGTCAGGAGACCCCAGTGGTGATGGGTGATATGTACTTTCCTGAATATGAAGAACTAGTTGGAAGACAGGTGGGAGGCAGAAAGAGTCACTGGAAGTTTGTCTTTTCTTATTCTGTGTGAATCATTTTGTTTGTTTTTATGTTTTTGAGACAAAGTCTCATGTAACCCAGGCTAGCCTTGAACCCACAATGTAGCTGAGGCTAGCCTTTAGCTTTAGAGTCTCTCCTGCCTCTACCCATCAAGGGCTGGCGTTATTTATTTTTCTAGTGGGAATGATTGTTTGATAATAATTTTTTGAAGGAAAGAGGGAAAAAGTTATAGAGACCAATAGTTTTTATAATTTTTGTAACTTGAAAAGATGCCCATGTCTCTCTACGTAGTAGAACATGTGCTACATCAGGGTTGAATGTACTTGTGCCTTTCTCCTGAATGAGATGAAAATCAGATTGAAAACAAATCAGCAACCATTTCCTGAACACTTACATAATTCCATTATTCCAGTAACATTAGAAATTAAGGAAGGTCTTGCCTAGTGAAACACCAATACAAAATCATACAGCTTTAAAACTCTTTTTATTACAGTCTTTTTAAAAATGTCACAAACAAGCCGGGCGGTGGTGGCGCACGCCTTTAATCCCAGCACTCGGGAGGCAGAGGCAGGCGGATTTCTGTGAGTTCGAGGCCAGCCTGGTCTACAGCGCGAGATCCAGGAAAGGCGCAAAGCTACACAGAGAAACCCTGTCTCGAAAAACCAAAAAAAAAAAAAAAAAAAAATGTCACAAACAGTAAAATTTACCGGCTTAACTATTTTAAGTGTATAATTTGCTAGGGTGGGTTTTATCCACCTTGTTGAAAAACAGACCCCTAGAACTTTTTCATCTAAAATTTTAGCTACAAGAGCATATCCCTTTCCCCAATTTCCCATCGTCCTATATTTTGTTTCTGTAATTCTGATGGTTTTGATGACCTCATCAACCCAGAACCATAGGCACCTGCCTCTCGGTGGCTGCATCCTGCATTTGCTCTGAACTATGACATGCACACATCCTCAAGGCTCACTCGCACCACAACATGCAAGGCACTTACTTTTATTAGTATTCTCCATATTGAAGGCCTCAGACATTCGAATGCCTGATTTGGCTACAGCGTATATTCTGCTTTCCTAATATAAAAGAGAGATTGAACCAGGTGCTTACAGCCAAGAAATGATGACAGGGAACATAATACTTTTCAATTGTTCTTCAGGTTACCATCTGAAGAAGGGTAGTGTTACCACAAAACTCATCAGTGCCAATAAAATCCAACATTGTAAATGACTTGTAGAGATTACCCCCCATTCATTAGTTATTCCATTGTGTATTTTTGTTCCCAAACATTGACTTGGTATCTTGACCTCTTTAGAAGATATAAGAACGATCATAAGAAAGCTTATTTAGGATCACTGACCACAGATAAACACCTCCTTTAGTATTCTAACTCTCTACATGTGGCTAAAGACTTTTTTTAAAAGGGGGGAAACACTGAATAGCTGTAACATGAACCCAAAAACTGCTTACAGTCATTGATCACACACAGATATCTTCTTTCATATCCTACCATGGTTAGAAAAAAAAGAAAAGGAAAAAATCTTGCATTCAGAATCACAGCAGAACATTGAATGTACTGCCTTCTTACTTTAATGTACATTTCAGTAAAGTAGACTTTCTTCCAAATAAGAAATGGATTTGAGAATTACACTGGCATTATTATCTTGTTCCAAAAGTAGCTTATTATATTCCCTCTTCTCCAAGGAAGATCTCTGAAATGGGTACTATAAGATTAGCATCACTGCCTAACGAGGAGAAGGACTCCATCATGCCTTTTATGAAAGGTCTGCACTTGAACACCATTGCCTGAAACAGAACACAATAAGTAGGCAACTGATGCCATGCTCTTCTTCCAGGCTGGCCAGTGGCCACAGAAACTGGCATGAGATCATAATGATGTGGGGCACGTTAGATAATGAATGCCAGACAGAGCAGATAAGGTGTGCTTTCTTTGAACACGTAAGATTTACACACAGAAATTAACTGCGGAGATCAATCAGAAAGCACTAAGGCAGTATAAGCAGGAGCTTCGAGGCAGTTGGAGTCCACGTGGCACATGGGACAGCAGGAAGGGAAGCGGAAAGAGAGTCACCATGGATCAGAGGGCAACCTGAGCCACGCCAGGTCACTTATTTATAAAGAGCAGGCCAACAGAGGTATTGCTGGATCACAGCTTGTCCCACCTCAGTGACTACTACATTCTGCACGACACTCCAATTCAACCAAGATGGGCTTGCTTTAAATCAGTGTCTGACTGACTGAGGTAGCTAGAACATCTCCTGGAAACCTGAGAATGCCTATGAACCTTCACCTGTTGTCACTAGAACATTTGAAAAGCAGTACGACTTTTCCAGGACCGAACAGCTTCAAGAGAGGAAGAGAAGTCAATGGAAAAATTGCCAAATAAGATGAACTTGAAAGCTTAACATCCGTCTTTGAAAATCTCAACGTAACAAGAGAAGCCAAATTTCAACTCTCTACTGCCTGAGGATAGCATAACTAGAATTCCAGAGATTCCCATGCCGCTTCCTTCTGCTTTTTTGTGCCGTGCAGAATTTAGCAATAAACAGGAGACAGTTTCATGTGGATGCCGAATGAAAAAAAAAAAAATGTTCTCTTGAAAGTAAATGAAAAGCAGACACATCTCAAAGTTTATATTAGGGAAGCCATGGCTGCCTTAATTTGCTTACAGTTACAGCAGTTACTAAATAAAATAACCATAGTAAAAGAACATGACTCCCAAATCCAAAATACCTGGTAACCCAGATGGTTCTTTTGAAGCCAGGGGTTAAACTGTGCCAATATGGGAAGGGAAAACTTAAGTCTATGAAACAGACCAATTCACTTCATTTTAAATATAGACTATTGGGGCTGGTGAGACGGCTCAGTGCCTAAAAGTGCTTGTAGGCAAGTGTGACCCTAGGAACCTGCATGGAGGACAAGAGAGCCAACTCCTGCAGGTTGTCCCCGACCTCCACATGTACACTATGGCACGCTCACCCCTCCCATTAATAAATAAATGTTAATGCCGGGCGGTGGTGGCGCACGCCTTTAATCCCAGCACTCGGGAGGCAGAGGCAGGCGGATCGCTGTGAGTTCGAGGCCAGCCTGGGCTACCAAGTGAGTCCCAGGAAAGGCGCAAAGCTACACAGAGAAACCCTGTCTCGAAAAACCAAAAAAAAAAAAAAAATTAAAATTTAAAGATAGACTTTTTTTAAAAAAAAAAATCAAGCAATGTAGACATTCCTAAGAACCATCACCTCATTGACAGGTTGGTTTTGTAGGTCACGGTCAATGTTTCCACAGAAAAGTCAGTCTCCTCTAGATCAAGAGGAGGCTGCTACAGCTGAAGGAAGTGGGGTTCATAAGTTCATGAAGAGTAAAGCAAAACCTCTCTTAACAAGTAAATGCCAAACCTGAGGACAGCCAATGAGAATTAAAAGCTGCTTCAAAATCCACTCCAAAGCATCACAGTTAGAGGGAGCCATTCCTTGCACCCCATCCCGTCTCCTATGAGGGGCCTCCATTCAGTGAACATTACCGCTCTCTAGACCGGTCACTTTCTCTTCCTTGGTCTGCACAGCCCAGCACCACTGTCCCCGTCTCCCTTGAGAAGTAGCTCCCCCAGGACACAAGCATCTTCACGTTGTATGAGTTAGAGGGGCCCTGGCCTGGCTTCCCCCAGTGAAGTCGGAGGGATCTAGCTTCAGCTTGGGCCTGTGTGAACAAATCCAGTTCCAAAGTCTAATACTGAAAAGCTCACTTGCCCTCCAATTCCCCTATCTGGAACTAAAGTCAGAGTTTTGAATTCCCAGCTATCCTGTTTCTCAATCTTTTCGGAACGTGGCTGGGGAGGAGAAGGGGGCAGTGCATTCTGAAAACTGTAAAATGTCAGAACAATGCCTTACGTGACAAGAAATAGGGGTGGGGGGGTGACACCTGAGAGGGAGTGCTGAGAAGAGGCCCTTGGGTGCTGTGCTGCACACAGGAATGTAATTACCCAAGAGGGAAAGCGATGCAGAGGAGGCGTGGGAGGTTTGCTGCACGACGCTTTCTTGGTGGGCTCGTTGCTTTCCTGGTCATCTGCACACGGAGGAGGATCCAGGGAGTCATAGGAAAATAACCCATCATCGCAACCTGTGTCCATGCTCTCCACAACGTCCACGCTGTCACCATCAACTACATCAAGATCCGTTTCCTGAGGTCTCAGCGGTCGGATCATGCTTATGGCATTCCTGTTGGTGCCAAACATCCGGTTGGAACATAACTGCGGCTGGCTCAGGTGCCTCTTGGTGAGCGCCATACTTATACTGAAAACATTGGGGATCCTTAGCTTAGGGGGTGGCAGGCATGCCGAAGGCACTAACTGTGTCCCTTTTCCAGGGAGTGAGTTCGGATGTTTGGGGGTTAAAGATGGGGTCAAAATGGGGCTTGGGGTGTTGGTCTCGCTTGATGAGGATGAATAATCCAGGCTCTGGGACTGAAATTTCTTATTCAGTTCATCGGAGGAACTGTCCTGCTCTTTTACGCCTGACTGAGAGTGCCCCCTGGAAAAGCTATTCTGAGTTTTCCACGGTGCCTTCTGTTGCCAAGAATACCGCTTCTTGTGCTCCGGCCTGCTAATGCCAAAAGTCTCTTCTTCGAATACAGAGCTGCTGTCATCAGACGCGGTGAGATACGCTTCGCTGCCCATCCTGCCACCTTGACCGCCCTCCTCAGACGTGTGGCTGGAAAGGGTGGACCTGCACCTGGACTTGGGTCTGCCCTTGCTTCTGTCTTCCTCGTCAGAACTCCAGTCACTCCCCGGAGCCCCGGAATTCTGGGACGTACCACCATCTGCTGCCAAGCTTGCTCTCGTTTTGCGGTTCTGTTCTGAGTTGCAAGGGGTCTCGTGCAACTTTCTCTGGTTTCTCTTTTCTTGGATTTGGTTATCAGCAGGCTTCTCTGCAATTTCCATCTCTAGAGGAAGATACATCATATTGGCAGGTTGCCTTTAATAATGAAACCTTTATGTAACTACCCTGAATGTATGCATTACCCTGCCTGATGTAACTACACTGTAGAGCAATTCATGTGAATTTATCAACTTACGCTATTCTTTGTTAAGTTTTATGCCTTTTAAAACAAGTTTGGAAGATGCGGGACTTATAAAAACATGGAATCCTTATATTTCAATTTAATTGTATGAAAAGTAAATTGATTTTTACAAACAAATATGTTGGAGAATGGAAGTTGACAACAATCTAAAGAGAGAAAGAGCAGAGTGTGAAGTGGGGTGAGTTTGACCTTCAAAGAAGCTGCCAAAAAGTGAATGCCATTAATTCTATTTTAAAAGTGAAGAAAATGGTGACCCTTCACCCATTAATCTTCAAAATCATCATAATGTAAGTCTAAACATAAACATAAAGCCATAGTTTAAGAAACAATCTTTGTGCTGGGTGGTGGTGGCACATGCCTTTAATCCCAGCACTCAGAAGGCAGAGGTGAGTGGATCTCTGTGAGTTCGAGGCCAGCCTGGTCTATAGAATGAGTTCTAGGACAGCCAGGGCTACACAGAGAAACCCTGTCTCTAAAAACCAAAAAAAAGACAAACTTTGTGTCCATAATTCAATACATGAAATGTGTAAATTCACACACACAAAAAAAACTTTCCTCTACTCTGTTTAACTGCAACTACAATATGTATTTTAATAATAAGAATAACCTCTTTAAATGCCTTTAGATATGGATTCCATTTGTTAGTACCGTGAGAAATGGAATGAACCCATAGCTTCATAAATAATGACTTAAAACCTCAGATTAAGCCAGGCGGTGGTGGCGCACACCTTTAATCCCAGCACTTGGGAGGCAGAGCCAGGCGGATCTCTGTGAGTTCGAGGCCAGCCTGGTCTACAGAGCAAGCTCCAGGACAGGCACCAAAACTACACAGAGAAACCCTGTCTCAAAAAACAAAACCAGGAAAAAAAAAAAACCCTCAGATTGAACAGAAAAGGAACTTTGAAAATGTAAATACGAATTTCACAACCTAGGAATGAGGGGCTGCACAATCACGCCCTCAAGTTTTGTGGCAGGTGTTAGCTACATTTTTCAAGTGAATTAGAGCTTTGGCAGAGGCAAACGCCATGGTGTTCAGTTGACTGCCCCAACAGTGGGAAGGATATGAGAAGGGCGTTTTGGAAAAGTCAACGAAATGTAGGTAACAGCAAGAAATAGGTAACAAGGCAGCCTTCTGGCTGGAAACGCATCATGTAGTTTTCAGAATGTCAAAACAGAGCTGAGCGGCAACGTTCCCCGCTGGCATTTCTCACGTGCATTGGAAGGAAACCAGAACCCGGCAGAGCTAAGTTGCAAACTCAAGCTTCCCTAGAACTTTTGGAGAAAGTCAACAAAAAACGATCGCCCCCTGAGGCGTTATGGTCAGGTCGCACCACCAGGCAAAATTTGGAGGGACGCTGTGAGAATGAAGAGTGAAAATCTTTACACGGGACCAGGGTCAGATTATCTAGACAATATTTCCTTCTCTGAAGTAACAAAGAAAGTAGTTACCAAAGTACCTCCCACCCAAACGTGTTCATTTCTTTATGTGTCTGGTACGTCAGTCTTCATTTAATAATAATAATAATAATAACAATAATAATAATATAATACTAGGTAATTAAAAAATATTTTCAAGAAGCTATGAATACAAATGCAGAGTTCTCATCTGAAACTGGGTTAAAATGTGTACCTTTTGGTTAGAATTATAACCATTTATAGTTTAAATGTCTTTTCCACCTGCTGCAGGAAAAAGCATTAAGATGGTGGGGGGCGGTATCAGTTGCTCCTCTGGGCCCCTGGTAAAAAAGTCTACACAAGACACAACATAACTAGTGCTGTACAGCTCTTACTGAATATTCCCTTGAAGTATCGAGGTGTTGGGGAGAATCGAACTTAATTCTGATCAGTCTCAGTGAATGTTGTTTTAGCTTTTTAAAAAGAATGCTGAGGTAGACTGCTACAGTCCGTAAGTACCTTCGCCCCTTTTTCCTTCGGTGAACTCGGGTTCTTTAGATGCCATCTTGCTCACTTCCTCGCTTCGGACTTCATGAGGAGGACTCTTCCCTCGGGACAAGAAGCATCCAAATGTCAAACCGCTCAGGCTCTGCCCCTCTGAGAGCTTCGGTGTGGAGACACAGGAGATCTTCTTCCCTTGGAGTTCTGCAAGGTCGTTAAACAAAATGGATTGAACTTTTATAGCCGTTCATCAGGCACGGAACAAAAGCATAGGAGGACTTGAATAAATCACTCAACACCAGAAAAGAGACTGAACTGCATCTTTTACTAATGTATAGTAAAGAGAAACCCTGACATAGAGCATAGAACCCTAGATCTGTGTGTGTGTGTGTGTGTGTGTGTGTGTGTGTGTGTTTGTGTGTGTGCGCACCAGGGTGGAGGTCAGTGGGTAAAAGCACTTGCTGCCGATCCTGGTGACCTGAGTTCAGTCCTCAGATCGCTAATCATGCGTTTAATCTAGTAGTTCTCAACCTTCCTAATGCTGTGACCCTTTAATACAGTTCCTCACACTGTGGTGACCCCCAACCATAAAATTATTTTCATTGCTACTTCATAAATGTCATTTTGCTACTGTTACGAATTGTAATGTAAACATCTGATATGCAGGATATCAGATGTGCAACCCCAAAGGAGTTTCGACCCACAGGTTAAAAACCATTGGTTTAATCCATCTTTAAGACATTATTGCATGTGAGATCAAAGGCTTGGAGGACCCAGGAAGAAAGGTTCCTGAGGAAGTTAATTTCAGAGCACGGGTAAAGCAACAGAAGGTGAAGTGTGTTGTACCAAATAGCAACTGGTAATAAAGGAAAGTATTTCTAGCATATTTCTTCAGAGGTATCTTTAAAATTTTTTGTATTGATCTTCTACCACAGAACAGATTCACAATCATACAGCAATGATTATGTACAGTTGGTCTTCAATTCCATAGATTCTGCATCTGTGGGTTGAACCAACTGTGAATCAAAAATATTTAGAAAAAGAAAAACTGTCTCTACTGAATATGGACAGATATTTTACTATGATTCTCTAAAAAATACAATCTAACAAATATTTACACAACATTTACCTTTTTATTAGGCATTGCAGTAACCTGAAGATGATTTAAAGTTACAGGAGAATGTGTGTAAGACATTATATGCAAAATCCTGGACCGTTTTATTTAAGGGCCTAGAACATCCTTAGAGTTTGGTATCCATGGGGATCCTAGAATCAGTCTTTTGTGGATACTGACAAACAACCACACAAACGTGCACACACACAGAGACACACAGAGACACACACACACACACACACACACACACACACACACACACGTCTGTGTGCATGACATATATATATACATGTGACATATACATATATAGACAATATGTATAATATATATACATTCTGTACATACATAAAATCTAGCACATATATGGAATCTATGCTCCATTCTATGCCTAGTCTCCAAGGTCAGAACCTCTTAGCATACAAAACCCAAGAGACTGTCAATGAAGACCAGAATTGCAAGCCAGGGAGGGATATCAGGGAAATTAACAACCTTTTGGAGATAGAATTGGTACATCTGATCTATTTTAGAGAAGGTGAGTGTCACAAAAACAGGAACCTTAATTTCCAATATAGACCTTCAGATCACTTAGGGCAGTGCCTATTTTTAATCTTTCAGATGGAGGAAATGAGAGCAAGTATTGCCATGCTCTAAACAAATTGTCTTGACAGGTGTAGTGGCTGATACCTGTCATCCCAGTTGAAGTGTGTGAGTGAACTGAGTTATGTGGCATTTGCAACGACCAGAAAAGGCATCTGAGAATCCACAGAACACACCTCAGCTGCCTTCAAAAAACACCAGAATATATGAAGCGCTCAACACATGGACAACTAACTACACAGCATTTCTGGTTTGTTAACCCTACTAAAAGGATCTACTCTTTTCTAAGACCAAAACTGAAGTCTTGGAATGCAGAAGTACAAACCTCTAACACAAATACCCCTACCATTCAGTTTTCTATTACCATCTCTGTTCCGACACGATAACAGAGCGATGTAGCACTACACTGCTCAGAAGGACCACAATACTGCTGGAGACTGGCATCAGTTGCCTGTGGTCCCTGAACTGCAAGGCTAACATTAACATGTAGTAGTTTCAGCAAACTGGATTCTTTGGACCTTAAATGGATGTCTTTTAGGAGAGAGAGAGGAAAAATTACTAAGCAGCCATGTTTTCCTATATAATAGCCACTTTGCTAAATTGATACATCATTATTCACCTTTTTTTGCCTTGGACTCCTCAGTCCAACGTCCCTTGGGTACAAGACTTCTGGTTGGTGGGAGAAATTCGTTTTCATTTACTGACAATAGCACCTCACATGATGTTTATAATTAGATCCTTAAAACACGAGCAGAATAATAGTAAACTCCTATACACCAAACAAATCCAGCTAAACTCTCTTAATGAAAATCTATGTACCTTGCAATTGTGACTGTATTGCTCTTATCTCTTCAGTTTGGTTTTGGTTGATGAAACGAAGATTCTGATTCTCCACTTCCAGCTAAAAGAGCATAATGATATTCCTTAATCTAGGGATAATATTTTTTAAATACACTAAAATTATAAAATTTAGAAAATGACAATATATAATCACTCTGTTTGCAAACTGGTGAACTTATCAGCACTGATTATCAACCTTAACAATTATGTCATTAATATTTATTTGTCCAGAGCTAAAGGTTTCCAACCCTATGCATTTACCAATATAAATGAATTTTAAAACAACTATTTCAGCATTTAGTCTGTGCTTCTCAGATATACCAAACCTATTAAGACATATACATGCAATACTCATAATTATTTAAAATTACCCCATTATAATGTGGCTGTTTACAATTTTTAATTTTAAAAATATAATGGATATTAAAATGAAAGCAGTCTATCACAAGTTTACCAAAATATAGGACCACAACCAATTGATCGGAATTGTATGTCTCACTCAGGGTTGTATATTCTGAAGATTTTAATCAAAAGAAGTAAATAATAAAGGAAAAATATAGCAACAAATACCTCATTTAGCTTAACTGTTACCCATTCTTTGATCTTGGCAGCTTTTTCTTCTATTATTTTAGCTTCTTGTAGTCTCATTTGTTTCTGAAATAACATAAACAACTTGTTTAGTTCAAACATAAACTCCACCGATTGGAGACATCACATCGTAAAACATGGAGGCAAATCCACTTAGAACCTGTTTCCAGGTTAATACATTTGCCTCCCAGTCACGAAATAGACTTTTAAAAGCCCCAAATTGCCAGGCAGGGTGGTCCATGCCTGTAATCCTAGCTCTCGGAGGCCGAGGCAGGAGGATCATGTGGTCTAGGGCCAGTCTGAACCGGGAGATCTTGTTAGCGCAGAGAGAAAGAGATGGGGAGCGGGGGAAGGGAAGGAAAACTGTTCAGCAGATGGAACAAGAAGTCAAAAGGCACCTGCAGCTGTGATGATACACCTGACGGTCCACTTCACGGGATTTAAGAAGAGCTACACGGAAACAGACCTCTGGGCTCACCTGTCTGAGGGATTTCCTAGATTGGGGTAATCAGTGGGAAAAGCCCAGCTTAAATGAGGATGGCACCAGTCCATGCAATTCCATGGACTGGGGACTTGGATTGAATGAAGGGAGAATGTGATGGACTGTACCCTCCAACTGGGAGATAAACTGTTCCTTCCTCAAGTTTCTTTTGTGAGGTGTTTTGCTGAAGCAACAGGAAAGTGTCTACCTCGTACTGCAAGCCTGCTAAGCGGCGCTTGTCTCTCTTTCTCTCGGGTACTTACACAACAGAGTGAATCCCCTAAATATATCCACAAAATGAACTATTTCTGGACCAGTAGAACTGGACCAACGAAGACGGGGGAAGCACACACATCCGCTTAGGAGCAGGGCTATTTTCTCCCTCAAACACTAGCTTAAAACATCCAGAAAAACAAACACCAAGAAATTCTCGTTCACATGTAACAGCCTTCTATCTCTGGTCACAAAACTACTGAGGATGTGACTACCATAGAAATCACAATGGGTGGGGGTTGGGCTGCTAGAAATTGAAAAAAACCACTAGCCCAAAACACTGACCCCACAGAAAAGTGAAAATGCTAATGCATTTGACAAACATAGCAGTCACATTTAAATGATATTAAATGGCTACTTAAGTAGTCATTTAATCCTAATGCAAATTTTTGTTGATTTTGAGATAAAGTATTAGCCCAAGCTGGCCTCAAACTCATGGCAATCCTCCTGCATCAGCCTCTCAAGTGCTGGGATGACAGGGATGAGCCATTACACCAAGCCCCTAGTGAATTTTTTGTCATAAAACTTATAGTACTTGAGCCGGGCAGTAGTGGCGCACACCTTTGATCCCAGCGCTCAGGAAGCAGAGCCAGGCAGATCTCTGTGAGTTCGAGGCCAGCCTGGTCTACAGAGCGAGACCCAGGAGAGACACCAAAACTACACAGAGAAAACTTGTATTGAAAAACAAAAAAACAAACACACAAAAAAAAAAACCCAAAAAACAAAAAACTTACAGTACTCTATGTACTCATATGAAGCAGCTGAGAACTGTACGTTTCTGAGCAGTTAGAGGATTAGTATCAAATATAAATATATACAACGATCTGTAAAGATTTTTTTCTTTAGATAGTCTCGTCATGTTGTCCAGACTGGCCTCACACTAACGATCTTCCTGCATTAGCCTCCAGCATTCTGGGATTACAGGCATGCATCATCATACCCAGTTGGGCTGCAAATATTTTATGGACATAAATGCCTGCTATAAACTAAATATTCCCAAATGCAAAAGATCCCATTTAAACTCTAAAGTGTGAATGTTAAGTAATACCGCCATATCTAAAAAAAACTACTAGATCTTGGACCAGAGAGATGGCCCTAAAGGTCCTTGCCGCCACGCCTGATGACGTGAGTTCTCTCACATGGTGGAAGGAGAGAACCAACTCCTGTAAGTTGCCCTCTGACCTCTACACAGAGCAATACACACACACACACACACACACACACACACACACACACACACACACACGTGTGTGTGTGTGTGTGTGTGTGACATGCACAATAAAAAGTACTAGATCTTGCCTTGAGTCACTCAAGACAGGAAGGGAATGGCACCTTTAACTTGTTCCTGTTACCAACACCTGTGACATAATCCAACGAGTAAGAGTTCCCCTCCAGATAAACAGATCTCAGCTAGGTCTTTAACCACATATTAATGAGCACATATTAATACGGTCGATGATTCGGTTTCCCTAACCTGCTCTTCAAGCCGCAGCTCCAAGTTCTGAATGATGTCATCCTTCTCCTGCATTACAGACTCCAGGTCTTGACACTTCTTATACAGCCGAGTCTCTGACTCACTGGTTTGAATATTAGCTGCCTTTAGTTTCTCTTCCATAACTTGTACCTAAATTCAGAGGGTAAAACAGTAACAGTATGCCATACTTAATAGTTTTAAGCTTAACATTTTACTTTAACATTAGGTTTCTAAATGGTATCACAAACTGAAAATATTAAACAGCAAGGTGTATGACGATTTGAAAATCCGAAGACTATTTTGACAAGTGGTGTTACCTTCGGGCGTGGTACAAGTGATCACCAGACTGCTGTGGTTACATAGGGGGGGTAAGGCACATGTTTACGAGAGCAATGTACACAAAGTGTTCATAGAGAAGCAAAAGTTCCTGGCCCCATCCCCCATATTTAGACAAGAAAGAAATATAGAGAAAGATGGTGAGTAGTGAGATACAACGCAAATTAGATGGCCTGGATAAAAAAACTGAATTTGAGTTAGAAAAAAAACACACACAGTAGAAAAGAAAAGAAAACCAAAGACATTTAAAGTCCAAATAACAAAATCATTAAAAACAAACAAAAACCGTGAGTCCAGACACAGGCAGTAGGAGGCATTCAGGGAGGGCTCACGAGTTTATCAGCTTCATGAATGTTCTCCAGTTCCAGCAGGAAGACGTCAGTGAATAAAACAGACCCTCGAGTCTCTTCCTGCATCCAAGTTACCCTTCAGTGGACAGCGAGAGAGTAAGTGTAATCACAGAGACGCGCAACTCAACAGTGCCGTATATACACGGCTGGCGAGTGTATCGGGTGTGAGGCTGCCGGGTGAGCCACGCTTCATTTTTTCACGTCTAAAACAGACAGACCTTGCTTGGATCTTCTGCAAAGCTCACAGAGGTATATGGAATCTCTGAAGGACTTCTGTGCCAAGTCCGCTCACTCACACAGATTGTGTGAATCTACCCAACTCAGTGAGGTCGACTCACCGTGACCACCTTCTGAGTGTCCCTCTGCAGATCACAAACCCATCCCTGCACTGTGAGTGAGTGCCCTAACACACTGTAAGCCTCACCTAGGACTTCTCCGGAAGGGATAAATAAGGAAGGTGTTTGTGAGAGAAACTATTGAGAATGCTATACAATGATCTATAAAGAAATCTCACTCTAATATTCTTTTTTTTTTTTAAGATTTATTTATTTATTTACTATGTATACAGTCTCCTATCTGCATGTACCCCTGCAGGCCAGAAGAGGGCACCAGATCTCATTACAGATGGTTGTGAGCCACCATGTGGTTGCCGGGAACTGAACTCAAGAGCTCTGGAAGAACAGCCAGTGCTCTTAACCTCTGAGCCATCTCTCCAGCCCCTCTAATATTCTTAATAGGTAAGGATGTAATTTTATCAGAAGCTTGGCGATTACAGGCATAAAGGAGAAAAATGAACACGTCTGAAGAATTGAAGGTGACAGTTCAAACAAAAGCAAATCTTTCCATTATTTTAATAACATCAGAAAAAAACAGAATGAATCCTTAAAGTCAGTTAAAATTTAGATGTGTTTGACTAAAGGGTGTGACTAAAGGAAGCTGTGAAGGTGTGTTTGGTTTTATTTTTTAAACCATGAATACCAGGTTTCATGTGTGTTCGCTGCGTAAATGTAACTTGTATTCAGAGGCCAAAACTGTTCTAATTAACACATACACACACACAGTTGGAAACTTTGAAAACAAAAGCAGAATTCCAAAACAGGAGGAAAACGTATTCTGCTCTTCAATAGTAATTTAAGTGGCCTTAGGTCTAGATTCTTTAACATAAAGCAGTGATTTTTTTTTTGGATGAGCCATAAAAATTCATACGAAAGACAAAGGTTTACCTAAGAGATTTCCCATGAAAAATAGCCCAGCAGGAGAAAAATACAGTAAATAATCTCCAAACATTTTTCCAGCGATAAACAGGATAGTCTGTAGCTATAGACGTAGGGAGAAAATAGAAGTCAACCCCAAGATGTCAGTTCCTCTCTGAGAAGAAAGAAATAGAAGGTAAACCTCAAAACAGACACATGGGCTTAGAGAGGTCCAGGCAGTTAGGTACCTGCTGCGCAACTTGAAGACTTGAGTTCGGATCCCCAGCACCCACAGAAAAGCTGGGCATAGCAGCTCCCAGTGCTTGGAAGGAGGAGAGAGGTAGATTCCTGGTGCTCACTGTCCACCTGGCTAGGCAAATCCATGAGCTCTGGGTTCAATAAAAGACTCTTTTAAAACATGAGATGGCCCTCAACAAAGATGCCTCTTTATACAGTGGACTAAGGTTAATAGCGACTCATAAGTAGTCGGAGCGCAGAGAAAAAGTAACCGCAGAGTGTGCAGTCCTAAGTGGGATATCTAGATATAGACCCTTTCCTCCTGCCAAGGCTCAGAAGTGGTGTGTGTGTGTGTGTGTGTGTGTGTGTGTGTGTGTGTGTGTGTGTGTGTAATGAGCGTAAGAGCAGAGGTCCGGGAAGATGGCTTTGAAAATATGTCTTCTAGGACATGACCCGGGCCCTTGCTCATTAACTCCAACCACAGTAGCCATGGTTGTTGCCACAAGATCAAGCCAATCAACTCTCTACCATGGAGAATGAAGAGCTACGCTAGGCCCCACCCTTAGCTGAGTGGCTACTGGCAGTTGATGGCCAGTGGAGAGGGAAAGTCAGTCTTCTTCAGTACTGTGGCCCGTGGTTGGATGCTGCCCTATACCCATGTGCATAATTGGACTAACTGGACTCAGAGAGGAAGAAGAAAAAGAAGGGGGAGGAAGGATGATGACATGATGGAGTTGTGGGGGGGGGGTGGAATTGTTGAAGGGAGGTCCGGGAGAAGTTGGAGCTGGGAAGTTGGCATGGGTGGATATGATCTAACTACATGTAATCATCCACAACATTGCCAAAGAATAAATTTTTAAAGCATTTAAAGGAAGAGGGTAATTGAGGGAGACACCTGATATTGACTTTTGGTTTGTACGTGCACATGAGTATGTACACACGTACACATACACGTAGCAGAGAGAGAGAGAGAGAGAGAGAGAGAGAGAGAGAGAGAGAGAGAGAGAGAGAGAACATGTGAGCAAAATATAAGGAACCTTATAGTTTGGATATGAAGTATCTCCCAACGTGCTCATATGCTGAAGGCTTGGTCTTAGACCTGTAGACCCAGCCATTGAGCTGTGGCTGAATCCGGAGAGCCCTGACTCCAGTAATGGATGGAATAATAATCTGATGGCATCATAGTCTGATGGCATCGTTGATGAAGGAGGGACCATTTGACAGCATGACTTTGAAGCTCCTGTTCCCTGGTGGCATTCTTACATTTTCGGTGTGCGTCTGTCTCTCTGTCTCTGTCTCTCTGTCTCTGTCTCTCCTCTTCCCACCCCGCCCCCTCTCTTGCTGTCACTGTAAGGTGAGCATCTCTACCCCGTCACCAGCACTCTGGACCGTGGGATGATTTATCTCACCGTGGGAACCGCCGACCACAGACTGAAACCAAAAATGATCTTTCTCCTGTAAACAGTTTCTCTCGGGTTATCTGTCACAGCGATGCAAGGTCTGACTCCCCCAAGCCATGTGACCGCAAAGACAGACATTCACCTACACTCTCCTGGTGTGGGATATTTTGATCTCACTCTCACACTCCCGAGACTGACAATAAAGTTTACTTTGAATTAGAGGGCAGAGCTAGCTACTAGCTGACCAAAATTAGCCATAGAGGTTTTGGAGAACTGAGGGCATATAGAAAGACACAGGAAGTAGTAGGGTGGGGCTGAGAGAGAGAGAGACAGAGAGACAGAGAGACAGAGACAGAGACAGAGACAGACAGAGACAGACACAGAGACATAGAGACAGACAGACAGACACAGAGACAGAGACACAGAGACAGTGACACAGAGACAGAGACACAGAGACAGAGAGGAGGTCACTGGTCGCTTCTCTGCTGCTTCTCTGACCATTCAGGTTCTTACCCCATATCTCCCGAGTTTTTATTGTTAAAGAATAATTAGATAAACAACACTTCAGTCTCCTTTATTAGGTCAGAGCAACCACATTCGGTTGCTACATGAAGCTGCCCTTTCATTTCATAGGCAAGGTCTACAGCTCTGGACAGCTAGGACCTGGAACCGTGTCTTTATTTCAAAGAACACATTCTTGTGTTGTGCATAAGCACCACAGAGATCCCTTGATGTATCATTGTCGTCTGAATCTTTTTAAAGTGACTATTACTTTTGGATAAGCAACTTTCTGAGGCAAGAAAAATAATAGCCAATGTGCAAAGTCTCAGAGAAAGAATCACAAAATAGTCCCAAATGTCTTGCCTGCCAGCTGGTCCTGTTATGACCAAGTTCCACAGGACTCCCAGCCTTCCTTGGTAATCACCATGAATAAGATGTCTACGGAAAAGCTAAGCGCTTACAGGAGAAACAAGCAGCCCTTTTAAAATGTCCTACCGCAAGCACACGGAAAACAGCCCGGTTCTTTTCCATTCATTTAACCTTAACCAGACGAGAATTTTAGCTACTCAGAGACTGGCCAGGAACAAACAACAACCAGGGGACTGGAGAGGTGGCTCAGCGGTTAAGAGCACTGGCTGCTCTTCCAGAGGATTTGGGTTCAATTCCCAGCACCCAGAGGGCAGCTCACAACTGTCTGTAACTCCAGTTCCAGGGACCCTCATAGAGACAGGCAAAATACCAAAGCACATAAAATAAATAATTTAAACACACAGACACACACACACACACACACACACACACACACACACACACACACACACAGAGAGAGAGAGAGAGAGAGAGAGAGAGAGAGAGAGAGAGAGAGAGAGAGAGAGAGAGCACAACAAATTCAAATTGGTTAAACTCTTGAAAATGTCTACACGTAGTTATATTTTTTTCCTTCTGGGTGAATTCCTATTTGCTCCCACTCAGCATACTCTTGAAGCATTTCCCCTAAACATCTTTGATCTTGGAATCCCTAAGCTACTCTGCAGCAAAGAACCAGCTCAAGCAGACTTGAACTGCTCAGATTCCCAAACACAGGACTGGCCTCTGACTGGTTTGAGGTAGTGGGTAACAACCTCTGAGCCCTT